TGTCATAATCAATCTTTTCTAAATAAGAGACTAAGTCAGCTAAATCACCGTTCTTATACTTTGTGTAACACTTTTGTGATGTGCAGGTAGTTTCTGATGAGAAGAGTGATTTTGCTAGTAGCTTCTTAACCAAATTTGAAGAAGCGCATGCAACAATAAAAGAAGCTGATGTTATGTTAAATGCCTTGATGGAAGCAAATGAAAATGCAAAAGAATTGACTGGTCTGTGGAAACAAACAGGTGAGGAACTGATGTTAGAGAAAGCAAGCTTTATTGAAGAAGTTGAACATCTCAAAAATTCAGTACGTTTGAAAGAAAGAGAGAATGAACTACTGCAGGATCAATCTCGTTATAATTTGGTGGAGATAGCAAAATCATTGTCTTTGCTTGAAGAGTGTTTTATGCAATTAAAAAGTGAAGTGGAGGACAGGTTCAAAGTATTATATGCTGACACTTTTTCTATGGGAAGGGAGATACACTGCTTCATTAGCAAATCAAGATCATTACTAGAAGAAATATGCGCTGAGACATTGGAGAAAAAATTTGCCATATTTGTCCTTCATCAGTGTCTCACAGGAGAGCTGATCCACAAAATACCATGCTTTAACGTTGGAAGTGGTTTCCGCTCCAGCCAACAGCAAGAAGGCCTTTCAATTACAAACAAACAACAAAAAATGTGGTCAAATTGTGAGGATGACATTGCACTTACTAGTAACATCTCCAAAGACGATAATGATCAAATTGGAGTCACAAATTTGAAAGCTGGTGAGCTCAGTTTGTCCCGTGATAGTTTGATGCACGAGAATTTATCACTGAAGGAAGAACTGCAACGGAAAGATGCTCTACTGGAGGGCTTGCATTTTGATTTTAGAATGTTGCAGGAATCAGCATCCAACACAATGGATATAAAGGATGAAACTGAAAAGCTGATAAAATCTTTGAGCCAAATTCAGAATGAACTAAAAATAAAAACATGCCAGCTTGATGACATGCTGTTTCAACATAAAAAGCTCGAGGATCATCTTACTGATACAGAAAGGGCTCTGCTTTTATCAAATTCTGATCTTGAGCAGGCCAAAGATACAATCAATACTCTTTCAGAGCAAAATTTTGAGTTGAAAGTGCTTCTAAATGATCTCTATCGCAAAAATTCTGAAGCCAATGAACAACTGGAAGAGCAGAAGGAAGTGGTGAAAGGTTTGGAAAAAGAAATTCTTCATTTGACTTCTTCAATGGAAACAAAATTACTCTGTCAAGTTGAAGGTATCGAGGATGAGTTGAGAAGGGTCATCAGCGAGAGAGACGGACTTCTTGAAGAAGTTGCGTCCCTGAACGATAAACTTGAGATGGCATATGCAATATCTGATGAACATGAGGCTATCTCTATTGAAGCTCGCCAGGTATGTTCTTCAGGTTTTTTTTTGTTCATTTGATAGCATAGTTATGATTGCAGGTGGATTTCTCTTATTTTGTACTAATATTTCTAGGAATCTGAGGCAAGTAAGATGTATGCCGAACAAAAGGAAGAGGAGGTTAAAATATTAGAACGCTCTGTTGAGGAGCTGGAATGTACCATCAATGTACTGGAAAAGAAGGTTAGCTCCCTGGGCTTTTTGTCTCTGTATTTAACACATGAACATCAATGGAGTGCCAGTATCGATACTCTCGCTGTTTTACAATCAAATTTCTTACATGCAAACATTTGGCCAAGTATGCCTTTTGTTGGTAAGCGAGGGATTAGAGCGGTTATTGATGTCTTTTGGCTATTGGTTTCAATTCCCAAAATCGTTCCTTCTCTTAGGTATATGAGATGAATGACGAGGTAGAAAGGCATCGGTTGATCAGAGATGCACTAGAGCTGGAGCTACAAGCTTTAAGACACAGACTGTTAACAGTTGAAAATTTCAGTGAAAATGTGGACTCAGAAAACATGAATTCTGAACAAGCTGAAAATCTGATTTCTAGGTATCGCTTGCTTTCTCATATAAATTCTATTTTTCTGCTTTTAATTTACCTTAAATTTAAAGAAATAATTTTGATACAGGCAACTGCAGAGTAGGCTACTGGAACTTCATGAGGCTCATAATAAGATAAAGCTTCTTGAAGAGGAAAGAGCAGAACAGGATAAAGAGGTGAGATCCTGTCTTGCTGGTGGTTTTTATTTTTATTTTTTATGTTAGTTGTCTTTTTCGACATTGTACCTTAAATTATCTTGTATTTGTCTTCTAAGAACTAAAGTTTGAAAATTTGTGCATAAATCTTGAAGATCAAACAATGCAAAGAATACATCTCTGAACTCGTGTTGCATGCTGAAGCCCAGACGTCACAGTACCAACAGAAGGTACATATACTAGAATTACTATCACTATTCGATAGATCCTTAAACATTTTCTATGCTATTATTAATCCTGAAATAGCTGAACTTTTGTTGGTGAAAAAAGGAAAAGAAGGGTTCGGAATAATTTTGTTAATTGTGAATGGATATATGCATAATTGTAAATGATCTAAATCTTGACATTGCACAACCTTTTGAACAGTACAAGACTCTTGAGGCCATGGTTTGTGAAGTAAAAGCAGATAAGACAGATTCAGCATCAACAGCTGCGGCATTAGAAAAATCTGAGAGGAGCTCAATCAGGACAAGGGGCTCCAGCTCACCATTCAGATGCATTTCAAGTTTGGTTCAGCAGATGAATACGGAGAAGGATCAGGAATTGTCTATAGCAAGGCATCGTATTGAGGAACTAGAGGCACTTGCAGCCAGTCGGCAGAAGGAGGTTAAGTGCCCTTTTTGCTTAGTTTCCCTTTCTCGAATGCTTTTGTAGAAACAATTGTTAAAATTAGAAGAGTATTTGATTTTATTGAAACTTGCTCTCAGGTATGTTTGCTGAACACTAGGCTGGCTGCAGCAGAAAGCATGACACATGATGTCATTCGGGATTTACTTGGTGTCAAATTGGACATGACCAACTATGCAGTAAGTTTCAGACCGTCACTTTTAAGCATGACAATTGCAGAGCCACAATTCTCATTTGTTTCACTTCTTTTGGTATCATCTAGAACTTGATAGAGCAGTACCAGGTTCAAAAGTTAGTAGAAGAGGCTCATCAGCAAACAGAAGAATTCCAAGAAAAGGTTTGTACCGCAGATTTTCTTTTCATTTGAATATTTGTCTTCCCTTTTTTCTGTGGACCTAACTTATTGATCTTGGCATCATTTTAGGAGCAAGAAATTCTCAACTTAAGGAAGCAGATAACTGATCTAATGGAGGAAAGACAGAGGTTAGACACTTGCCATCACATCTTTTTATCCAATTTGATTTTGTTTCCTTGTGATTACAATTTATGCAACCTCCCAAAAATCAAACTTATAATTGATCCATTTGCCGTACGATTGATCTTTTAACAGCAATAAAAAACTATCAATCAGCAAGCAATAAGCTAAAAATTAGTTCTGTTGACGAAATTGTAATTAAAAAAAGTGGGAAAATTGTGGAAAAGGAGAGAGGATATTGTCCAATTCACAAATAAGTTTCATGTCCTTACGCAAAGTGCTCACATTTGGTATATTTTATGACTACGAACTCATGTCACTGTTCATCATTTCTTTTAAATTTTGTTACTGTAGTTGCATATCCGAAATAAATAAAAAGGAAGGTGATATAGTGGCAGCCCAGATGACTCTGCAACAACTCCAAGACAGGGATCAGTTGCTTTCCGCACAGAACGAGATGTTGAAGGCGGATAAGACCAATTTAAAGAGGAGAGTGGCGGAACTGGATGAAATGGTAAAAACAATTCTTGGAACACCAACTATACACCAGCCAATTCAACATCCACATACATCCAAGCCCAAGGCATGTTTTCTGTTTGTTTCCACGTGAATTTGGGTTTTTCACCAAGCTGGTAACTTTTTTAATTTTTTTAAACTTGTGTTTCTTGATCAAGCAGAATAATAGCTCGTTGAAATTGCATGAAATTGATTTCACCAAGAGGCTGGAACAGTCTGAGAAGCATCTTTCTCGAGTGAATGGTGAACTTGCTCAGTACTTCAAATCTGCAGGTGGCGGTGGCGGTCTTCCACGTGACAAACGCGTGTCGCGTTAGAAACAGATGTATAAATTATAGGTGAGTGATTTTTTGGTGAATGGATGGTGCATGAAAAGATTGAACTCAAACATTCTTCATTTTGGTAATTCAAATATTGGCCCACGGGAAGCAGAAGATTTAAGTCTGGATGGAGTCAAATGCTTCTGCAAAATTCCTATTGTCTGGCATTATTTTGATGTCTATAAAGTACATGGTTTGGATGAGTCGTGGGTTCAACTCTTGTGTTTTTGCGTAGGGTTGATATCAAAACAGAACGTTCTGTTCTTTTTTTTTGTTTTTTGTTTTTTGTTTTTTTTTGTGTTGGTCGGGAAACAGAACATTCTTTAAAAATAATATTTGTGAATATAATTAATTATCAGATAAACATTTTAAACAGTTGATTCTATTTTGCAGATAATTACGAAGAAGTGTCACGCAAGCCCTTTGTCAAATAGTTTTGTTCCTTTACACTCGTATATGTATATTTTGTTGTGCTATTTTATCACGTGTGAAAAAATATTACGCAGACGGTCAAATAGTTTGATATTTTGATGTGGAAAAAACAAAACAAATATGAAGGTAGCGGTCAATTGATAAAAGAAAGCTGAGGTAACTGTAAAATATAGCTCCACTGGTAACTAAACTTTTGTCCAACTGTTGTCAAATTTTGAATATGAGCTGCCCCACCTTTTCATTACCCTATGAACTACGTCAGATAAAATTTGAACTACTGGTTAAGTCGAAGAAAAAAGAGAGAATCTGAGCCATATACAATTCTGCCTTTTCCCCTTTTCTCCTCCCTTTCTGTTGTGTTCTTGACAAAGTAAAAATCATGGCGGACGTTTACTTACAGGCAAAAATATTATGGGTAGCTTTGCTTCCATAAAATTACTTGACATGGTGTAAAGATGATCATTGACCTTCGGTGAGTGCAAGCAGAACCTCATCTAACACTCTTTCGTCGGAACTTTCAATTTGGTTGGAGCTCTCCCCATCAGCCATCTGGTTGATGACACAATAGGCGTGAATGATCGAATAATAAACTATGCAATTGCACATAAAGCAAATGAAAGAACAATGATCGAATATTTTTTATTTTCTTTCCAAACAATCGAGTTTGGAGAACTTATTCCTGAAAACCCGCTTTTGTAGCAAGACCTGTTCCCCCACATTTTGACTGTTGAAGATTTATCTTGTACTTACAGCATCATGAAAAATACTCATGGCAGTTTATGTTGAAGAAAAAACAGATGCAAATTTATTCTTTTAATAAATGCAAATAGAATGAAATATTACCTTAAGCTTTTCAAACTTTGAAAGTAGCCTCATATATTGTTCACGCGCTTCAGGCTGACGAGCCATGGACCTTACCCTTGAAAGAGCTTTCTCAACTCCAGCATATTTCTGCTTCCGCCCGACACTAAGAAATTCATAGTCATCGTTTTTCTTGACCTCCGAGGATACATCTTCAATAGCTTTTTCCACCCGAAATCCTCGCAAACCAGCTCCTTTTCGCCTCCAACGCAGTATTACTTTTTCCAATATACCAACAGACCACACAACTTTTTTGTAATTCTTCCGAACCTGATGTCCCCTTACATGAGCCTAAAAGTGATAAGCAGAATCAATACTTCAGATAAGGTACACCCCAAGTCCCAATTTTAAAAAAAAATGGTCACAGTTAAAAAAAAATAAAAAAAAACAACAAAGTTATCGATAACATATGCAAGGAGGTACCTGAATTTTAACAATACGGTCACGTATCTTCAAATAATCTTTTCTTCCCTTCCATCCACGATAGTTTTGTTGGATCTTCAGAGCTGCTGCAACATGGAGATAATCTTCGTAGTGAGCAAACTTTTGGACTCTCTTCAAGGAACGACGTGCAATTAGGTCATGAGACTGAACTTCAGAAACATCAGTTCCGCTCTTAGTTAACTGTCTCTGACGGAATGAACGAGTCCGGAAAGCTTCTTGAATTAGAGCAGCCGCATGAGCTGATTTCCTAACAGCTGCCATAGAGCTTTTGAGAGAGTATTGCTCATCTACTACCACATCAGTTGCAATAACTTCAGCAGTCTCAATGGCCTTCTCAGCTGCAATCGTTGCAGAAACATTGTTCACTATGTTCTCATTCATGGTCAACGTCTCTAGGTGACTGGTTAAATCTGCTTCGGCCAAATATCCAGCAATCCCTTTATGCCCTCTGCTCGAGGCTAGATCAGCAGCAGTTTGTCCACCAGGAAATGCTGACGTTGGGTCCTCGACTGCACCTGGCGCGGCACCCAATCTAAGTAACGCGATGACAGTTTCCTCTCTAGAAATGGAGAATTTGAAGTTAAACTAATCCCCAAATACAAAAATACAACCGACGATAATACTGAACATAAAAAAGAGAAGGATCTATAAGAGCAGCAACTATACCTTCCAAAATATGATGCCCAGTGAAGCCCTGTTCTTCCGCGAGCATCTCTGAAATTGGGACTAATGCCAGAAGCAATTATTGGACCCATGGCCCACTCATAACCAAGAGCAGCAGTCAAATGTAGAACACCTTGGCCTTCATTATCCAGAACATGTGGTCCTTTGCCTCCTTCATGAACTTTACAGACTAGCCATTCACAAAGTCTATCCTTTAACAAATTCTGAATCAAGACATCTCTATGGGTCAAGTGATCACTTTTGCACGCCACAGAAGCCCCATCAATTCTTTCCCAATCACTTTCTCTGTTGTTTCTCATTGAAAATATGGAACTTTTGAGCTTACATTGATCACAATCTAGAGCAGTACATTCCAACCACTTTCTCTCTGAGCCCAAGCTCAAGAGTTTTGCTAGACGTATCTGAAAGCGCAATTCATCATCTTTTGAAGTGTTTCCAATGGGTTTCTCTCGATATTCAAACTCCCTCACCTCACTGCAGGCTAACCTATTTCTGCAGGTCACATAGAATGGAACACACCCAGGAGCATGTAATGGAGTTTGACATCGAATGACATTATTAGACAGAACTTCAGCAGAAACTTCTATTTCACCAAACATGCATCCCCACTTAGTCTCAGTGGTATGCTTCTTGCTTCCCAGAAAACTACCAACTATTAAAACCTGAAAAGGGGAGAGAGGAAAAAACTGAGGATCAACATATATTACAACAATAACAAATGTCCACGTATGTGTATATTTATTATTATAACAATAAGGTATGACAAAATACAAACTCTATTAGCTGTGTATACATACCTTTGTTTCAGTTTCTGAATAAGCCCAATCTGGCGAAAAATCATGAATAGAAAATAGTTGTTCTTGGGAAAGAGAGGGGCCAAGTGATTCTATATCCAGATGCATATGATGTGATAAACTGGATACTTCCTTATCACCATTCTCTGCATCAAGTGGACTCCAGTAATTGCCAGAGTCAGAAGCCATCAAGGAATCATCACAATCCACACCAATTTCTTTATCCATCCATCTCCCAAAGCTGTCAAGTTTCTTAAGCTCTACTGATTCGGCATTGCGCATGCCACCATCTCTAGAGTTCTCTTCAACTTGGTTGGAAGAATTGACAACCACTTGAGGATCAGAATAATCTTGAACCTGAGGGTGAAATACATTAAAGTCATGCTCCTTTGACACCTGCAAGGAGGTCCACGTACCAGTAAGTAGATTCACACCACAGGAAACCTAACTAAAAAGAACCAAGTAAATAAATTGCATTAGCAAAACAAACTAAAAGAAAAAGAATTTTAAACAATCTGATACTTGGGTTTCAAAAACAACCTAACAGAGAACATGCAGATTAGTATTATGATTTTTCCATGACATATGACAACAAATGCTTACACATCACATCAATTACTACATGAAGAAAGAGGGAAAAGCCTGCATGACTGAACTTGTCATCAACTTCAAATACATCCCAAATTGCACAAAATAGCATTCTAAAATAAGTTACCTGATATGAAAATGATCTGTGGAATCAGGAAAAGATACTCCACCTACCCCAGAACGTGAACTATCGCGGTAGGATTAAATAAACTTTCATAACTTCATTTATTATACGTTGAAGTTAAATAGGATATCCGAACTGAAATATCAGTATGACTCTGGTCTCCTTTTTTCTTCAAAACATGATAATTTACTGAAGGTTGTAATATCAGCTATCATTTTTTCTTTCAAAAACAAAAACAGGGCATGAACAGAAAGAAAAATTCTGGATTACCAAAAAGAGTATTGAAATGAAAATTCACCATGTTTTTATAACATTTACTAGAAAATAAAATAAAATTAGAAAGAGAAAATTGGAAAGAAAAAATGCATAGAAAAGTGACTGTAGAAACAGACCTGCGCTTCTCTCTGAGAAGATGCTGTGGCAACCTGGACATCTATTTCAGTGGTCAACTTATCTTCACAAGTTACATTGTTGACTCTACAATCAACATCTAATCTAGCATCTGTTAGCTTATGAGTTATGAAGTCAGCTCTGTTAGGTGCTTCAACAAAAAGGTTTTGGTCATGCATGCTGTGCTCAGTTCTTGTTGAGCTATCCATTCCATTCCAGATAGATGAACCAGCACCATGAGCGAATTTAGGTCCAGCATACCACGAACTAAGGGGATCCCTGAATGACTCAGGAAATCCTGAAAAGCACCAGAGAGACCTGGTCACATATTTTAATTTTTGGAGACATTATTGCAAAAGACATCAATCACTGAAACAAATATGACTTTTGTATGTGTAAAAAGATACCATTACTCAATAAAGTCCATCTATATATTGGGAAAAGGAAAAACAACTAAAATGAGAAGGGAAAAACTGAGAGATGCCAAAACATAAGGAAGCAGAGTATGATCAAATGGATAGTGCAAGTTACTCTTAAAAAGCCAGAGACAGAGTAAAATGTGTTTGGACAACCAAACCAGAATTTGTGAAAATATTTTTACCAAAATTAGAAACTGAATGGAACGGCAGTAGGTCCAGAGATGCTGTGTAAAAGAATAAAAAATATATATATATTGGACTTAAAAGAAATGTTCAAAACAGTTTCAACGAATTAAACATAAACAAAATGGCATCTGTGGCTATGCATTTTACCTCCAACTTGTGAACGAAGAGAAGCATTATGCAAAACGGAACCAAACATAGTTTGGGCAACAGATGAAGTTCCTGCATCTCCCCCAGAATCCACATCCTCAAACTCTGTAGACAATGTTTTTCCATTCCAGTCAACTCTGTTTGGACTTGAAGCAAAAGATGTTTGACCTGTAGGGGCAGGTGAGTTTGCCTGTGCAGAGAAAGGTGCTGAAACACTTTGAGGGCTTGCAACCTGTGACCCTGGATCTGCCAGCAAACAAGGGACACCAGACTGGTACGCCTGCAAAGCATCACAGGACACCATAGAAAGTAAGCATACCATAGACAGTAAAGTTAAATCATTCCACCAAAGACAAAGGAAGGACAGAGAGTATCTGCAACACACACAAAGAAAAACACAGTACCTCTCCCACATTTCTGTAATGGACAAGAACAATGTGCTGTAAATGCCTGAAAATCAAGAAAAGGAATGAGAAAAGTGAGACGAATATGCAAACACAGGAAAACAGAAGATACTAATTGCACAAAAAAAAATGTTATTGCATTTCTTGAACATAACTGCAACCCAACCCTTCCTCTTTGAAGTGTATACTGAGAACACAGAAACTTAAATATCCTAATTTGCAGCTTCAAACAGACTTTTAGAAAACCATAATCTAGGCTATCAGAGATTTTCCACCCAAAGACCGAACTTTGATTTTGCAGGCTTTTTAAATTAAATGTTTAGTCCTCAAGACCAGAAAACTCACATGTCAAGCATCCAATAACTCCGCCGTTGAAAATTTGAATTGTCCTCCCCATGGGCATAGTAACAATGAAGAACGTCTACACTGCCAGCCTACAAAATGTCAAAAACCCAATAGAAAGCTAAATATTAAGCAGTACCAATATAGGCCAATATAATTGAAGTGACTTAATATTACGGAAGAAATTTTCCAATGTACCAAAATGGAAAAGGTCAAATCATAGCTAGTGTTAACAAAGAGCTTAAACATAAAAGATTTGAGCACCAGAAAGACAAATTTAGTGACATTGAAGAAGATTTCGGGAGAAGAAACAAAAGAATCTATTTTACATTACAAACCTACCAAAAAACAAATTAAATAAAAACGAATGTCAAAACATGGGGATAAAAGAACCTTAATGGCCATTGGCTGCCAAAGTGGATAGAATCAACAAATTTACCATTTAGGAAACATTTGCAACACCCAGCACTGGATTTCATAAAGTATGCGTGCAAATGTATATTCTATATGAGTTCTCTTTACATAAAAACTAAAGATGGTCAGGTAATCCAGAATTAATATATTAAAGGGACATTCAATGGTCTAAAGACTCTGAACTGTTGAAAAGCATTAAAATCATAGCATATGACCTTATATGCTCTGCTTACCTTGATCCTTTATATTGACAATCTAGAAAGAGACATCATAAAATTACAATAAGTTCAATTCTGTGCTTACCATCCTTGTACCCACAAAATGAACTATGAAAACTTACAGGCACCTATTGTGATCCATCACTTCTGTGGTATCTGTGTTGCCTGTCAAACTATGACCCCCTAAAGACAGATGATACAGGTACAAAAGACAATAACCAGACAACAACTCAACTCCATCGCTTAGGACCAACCCCTAAAGGTGTACTTACTAATAACAGATTGAACAGCACACCTTCAACTTTTCATGGGCTTCTTTGACAGTCTTTCCATCCTTTTTCTTCCTCCAGCGGTGACCATCTTTACGAAAATACCGGAGTGCTTTTCGATCAAACAGGAACAAAGAACCAGCTGGAAAAATGAACATTTAGATTCCATTTGCATGTACCAAGGAAGAATGTCAGTGATCCATCTCTGTCAAAAGGATAATAGTGTACTATTGATTTTTTAGCTGAAGTAACAAGTGCACGAGTAAAGAAACATCATTTCGGATGATTCTGGGCATAGAATGGGAAAAGGATAAGCAAATAATTAAGTGATATAATTTAATAAATGACATGTGTTTGTGTGTATATGTACCTACAGTATATGCAAATGAAAAACAGAACATATCAGTCCAACTGTTCCACATCTTAACCCATATCAAATAAGAATCATTAAACAAATCAATATCCCTTTCATATCAAATATACCACATGTCAAATCATTAAAATTAACCATAGCAATTAGTGAGTACTTTAAACATAATTGTGAATTTCTTGCAGAGAGTTTTGTAACACCTAGCCATCAAGAGAAAATAACGCACATGGAAACCCCGGGGGAAAACAAAGAAAGAAAAGTTTCATGCACCAAAAAATAGTTGTTATGGCAATTTCTGTCCCTCATATTCTACAAGTAAATGAAGCTCACCTCCCAAAAATTAATAAACAGACTTCCTACTGAATTAGAAAAATAATTCAATTTACAGAAAAAGTATAACAGCAAAACTAAAGGAAGATGGAATTAACAAATTCAGACAGAACACACAGTGATCAAGCACATATAAACCAAATGTAGTAATTCAGAAAAATATGCCAAGTACAACCTGGAGGCCTGACGGGCGGATCTGCAGTTAACTCAAAATTCTGAAAGTTGCGAAGTATTTCACAAATTTCAGCTGGCCGGAGCCAACGATCCTTGGCTTCTTGCAATATCTGGGGAAGGTCTGCCAAATTCCCAAAAGTACCAAAAGGTTTAAAGATCTTGAAACTAAAATACACAAAATGAGTACGGGGAAGAATAAAAGTCGGAGCAAATACGTAGACACTTTCAGTATCACAATTTGGTGAAAAAAACAGTAGACGCACCTCAATGCACTTACAATGCATTATGCAATATGGGCCCTAGATTACTTCAGTGTTCAAAATAACATTCCTTTCTAGGATTATTAACTCAGTTAATGCATACAAACTAATTCTTGCATCAACAGGAAACCACCGGCGATGACAAAAGGGAAGTGAGAGTAATACACGAATGCATGAAGTGTTAATCAAATGATCACACAAATTTATTATTTCCACGAAAAAAATCATACCATTCTTGACAAGAAGACTATTACCGAGTGAGAAAACAAAACGAAAATTGAAGAATCCGATTTGAAATCCGAGAAATATAAAAAATAAAAATAAAAATAAAAAAACGCGTTTGATATGGAAAATAAAATATATATACAACATACACATATGTGGAATGAGAAGAGGGAGAGAAAGCTGACCTAGTTGCTGAGTGGGGAGGTATTTTCTGGTATCAGCCATGGGCGACTAATGACGACCTCACATAAACCCTAGATTTCATGAGCGAGGGACTGTGATTACCACCAATCCACAGAACAAAACGCAAAAAGCAAAATCCAAGTCCAGGAATTACAAAGATCATCAACAAAATATTCACTCTGTTCATAAATAAAACGACCTTAAAATCGAAAACAATAACCAAAAAGAAATGAGAAATGCTTTCAGGCAATCAGTCTCCACAGAGAGAGTGAGAGAGCTGGGGAAGGAGGTTTCGGTTGAAGAAACGTACCTTTTAGAGAGAGATAGAGGGATAGAGAGCGAGGGAGGGAGGGGGAGAGAGGGAAAGCGAAGCTTGTGAAAAGCACTAAAAAGTAAATAAATAAATAATAAAAAAGAATTGATTGAGAGGGATTGAAGTCAATATGTAAATGCTTTGTGTTTACACTGACTGATTCAGCGAAACAGTTTCTATTTTATAATCCGACGTGGTACGTCGTCTTCCTTTTATGCCAGCTAAGCTTGCATCGCGTCCTATTTATTTTATTTTTAATTGTAGCCGAGATTCCTGTAAATTTATTTAATTTTATTTAAGCAGATTAAATTGAAAATCGAATATGCTTTATTTATGGTAACTTTATTTTTTTTTCTGGGTTTTGAGGAAAATTGAGGAAGTTAGTTACCATTCAGATAAGATGCAGTCGTGTCATTTCTGACTCATCTCCCGCTGTTACTTGATCTTGCTTTGGTCACATCTAATTAATTGTAATTTGTATCACAAACAATGACTTGATACTAATTTGATTTGCTTATTAATCACGACTGTTCAAATCAATTTAGAGATTTTTATTTATTTTTATAAAGTGGAGGGGTTTCGAACTTGGACATATTCTAATTTCGAAAAATATGTAATTAGACTAACTAATAGCAGTTGATAAATTAATATGAGATTGATCACCTTCATCCGTACACAAGCAAATCATGAAAAAGAAAAAAAAAATCTAAGAATTCATATAATATAGACATATGAAGAAAGAAAGAAGTCACTTTCTGAGATTTCTAGTCTGCAAGTCAATGACCTATTCCATTAGGATAGACCACATTGGCTCTTCATTTAGTATGGGTTTATCATGTCATAATTATATTTGAAAAAAAGTCATGATCAAGTTCTTCAGGTACGTTGGTTTGATATATTGCTTACTAGGTGATTCTAAATTTGTATTATGTGTTCAACCCCCTATGGTACTCTGTGTGTGAGTTTTCTCCCCTCTCCTTCTTAACTTTGACAAATATACAAAAAGAAAACAGTAATTTTCAACCAATAAAATGGTAATTCTTTTTTACTTTCTTTTTTTATATAAAAAAAGTATGCTTTACTGTTGGAACCTGTTGATTATGGAATGAAATATCCTACTCCTAAAAATAGAAATATCCCATTGGAACCTGTTGATTATTATTATTATTTTTTGGGTCAAAAAAGAACCTGTTGATTATGGATTGAAGAATGATTGTATTATTTTTGGACCACAGAACTCGTGGGAGGGTCCCGTCCTCATTAATTTGAATTTCTTCATATGGGTTATTACATGCTCTTACTTGTAGGTTACCAACGACCAAGTCGAAGAAACCCACCACCACCACGCCACACACAAAACAAAAAAAAAAAAAAAAAAAAAACAAGACAAAAAAAAAACAATTCCGTCAGAAATTTCAGAAGTCACTGAAGGGCAATGTATAGATCATATCACAAGCCAATGAGTGCCATAAATTCCACCAGCCACCGACTGCATGTTGCAGAAGTTACAGAATAGGGCAGTGATGGATGCCTGTCCTGCTAAGTTAGTTTTTCTCACTTGCGAACCGATAAGTTATGTCGAGTAAGAAAGATTCCAACCAACAAATTTACCATCATACTAGCTGGAAGAGTATTTCTGCTCATGATTGGTAGTAGAGGAGAAGGGTTGGATTGGAAAACTTACCAGCAAAACATAGTTTGGATATAATGTTTTGGACAGACGCATAGCTTTGCTCAACTTATCCATAGACTAAAACCCGAGTCTGTGTAGTTTGAGGTTGGCCAGTATCAAAATCATGTTGAAACTCAATACTTCACCATTACATTGTTATCAGTTCCAATACGATAACTTCAATATATCAACAAATGAATTGCAGATCCCATGCCAATTAGATGCTCAGCTTATGGTTCAACATTATACAGACAAGACAACATACTAAAAGAAGCTAAAATTATCAGTTTCAACTTTCAACACATGCAACAATGCAGGTAAAGGGAAAAAGATTCTGCAAGAGGTTGAAGATTCTCATCTTCCTCAATCAACTGATGTTTCACGCTTAAGGCCTGGCTTTAAAGAATTATCCTGACCAACAGAAAGGAAATAAAATGTAATGAAATTGTAGTAAACATATACGCTTCACACCTATCTTAAAGAACTAAACTTCTCACATGCTTGGGTGTATAAGAAACTAACGCATAGATTCCCAAAAGCTGGTCTGGAAAGCCATGTGTTTTATGTTTAGTAATAAGCAACTGAAAAGCATATTCTAAAATGCTAGGACAGGGGAAATTTGTTTCTACCAACCTTTGCACAAACGTAAATATAATGCACATCAGGGTTGTTTCCGAGCAATTCCTCCGCTGAGCTTCCATCGTCATTCAATGGAATAGGATTTGTCAGCTCCCATATTGGAGGTTCTGATTTATCTTCGCAGGCAAGTTTCTCTGCATACATGGTGACAGATAGAAAATCAACAGCTATACATAATATACAGACCAATGCCATATAAAAAAATTCATTGCCAAACATAATAAAAAGAAAAGTAAGTATGACTTAATCAACCTATCACATGGAGTTTTATCGTCCACGAGCATGACTCTCTCAACAAATGCAAACGATACAATGGAGCTCCATACGTGATCTGCAGCAGCATGTTTGAGACTAGTTATGGCCACATGAAAAATGTGAAATGCAAAACCAACAACCATAAATAAATAAAAACAACAAAAAGGGGTGGGGGAAGGTGTATTGAAATCATAGGCAGAGAACAAGAGTAAGCAACATTACCAGAATATAGACTCCTTTATCCTTGAGGACCCTATAGTTTGTTATTAACTGCTTCAATATATGGTGAACAAATCAAGAAAATAAACAAAATCAAAAGCTTAGGGTAAATACATTTAACAGCTAATAATTTTAATGTACCTCCAAACTTCGTCAAGCATTTCAGCAGCATTTTGTCGCGAATTACTTCCACACTAGGCACACAAATAGCATAAGCCAAAAGAGAAAAAAAGAAGCAAGAACACACTACATAAATTAGTAACACTCACCAACAGAGAAAAAAAAAAAAAAAGAAAAAAAAAAAAAAAAAACAAATTCATTTTATTTCACAAAACACAAGTTTCAATTATGTGTGCAATCGAGATCTTAAAAATGAAGCACCTTTGTCAACAACAGCATCAAAGGAATCAGTTTGGAAAGCACTCATATCTCGAACATCCATTTGCAAATCTAATAAATTATTAAATAAATAAAAAAATCTGAGCACATCGACCAAAAATAAATAAATAAGTAGAAAAAAAGAGCAAATTTTAATAATAAAGGACTTACATTTGAGGTGTGGACGGTCAGAGTACTTGTCCTGCATAGCTTGGATGACCACAGAGGAAATGTCAATACTAACCACATCATCGTATCCATCATCAGCCATGCCTTCGCTGAACGCTGCGTTTTGCAAATGAATTTCTCTTGAGCGATCAAACAACGGGAGATCTGATCAGGTAAGTGCGGATGCAGGGAAAAGGCAGAGCTTACCTGAGTTGCCGCAACCGACGACGAGGATGCGATGGTGCTGGTTGGAGTGGCGGGGGACGTAGAGATTGATGAGCGGCGCCAAAGATTGGTACTTCTGGTACCAATCGAACGGCCCTGATTCGTTGGCGTAGCGGTTGTCCCAGTACCACGGCTCACCGTACGCCTGCGTCGTCGTCGTCCCCATCGTCATCTCTCTCGCTCTCTCTCAGTCTCAGACTCTCACACTGTCTCGTTTGCTCGTCGGTTTCTTTTTTGGTTTGTCGTTGATGAGGGATGGGTATTACTGTCAGTTTGGTTCAGGAAACTTCTTGAGCTGCCACGTGTTGGCGGGTGAGAGGATGGAAATGTGGAATGAAACTAAAGCCCAACGACGTCGTTTTAGCTGGTCGTCTTCTTCTTCAAAGTGTTGTTGATCTGCGTTTTGGGGACGAATTTGAGCGAGATGGATGCAATCAGCCAATTACAAGAGAAAGTGAATACAATCGCGACAATCGCGTTCACTACCATCGGAACGCTGCAGAGGGATGCGCCGCCGGTCCGAATCTCTCCGAATTACCCAGAATCCGGATCTGGGCCGACTCCGACTCCGGCTCCGAATCCGAACCCGAACCCGACCCCGACCCCGGCGGCGGACAGTGACGCGGATTTCGCGAAGCAACCCAAGCTGATGAGTGCTGAGCTAGTGAAGGCAGCTAAGCAGGTCTTCAATCACTCGATGACGTGGCAGCTAATTTCTTTTTTATGACTTAATTTTAGTTTGAATAATTTCGTGGTTTACATACACTTTACTTTGTGTAGTTTGATGCATTGGTGGCGGCACTTCCGTTGTCTGAGGGGGGAGAGGAAGCTCAGCTGAAGAGGATTGCACAACTTGAGGCTGAAAATGATGCTGTGGGCCAACAACTTGAGAAGCAACTGGAAGCTGCAGGTGATGAGTCTTTTCATTTGGTCACATTTCACAGAATTTTCAGTTTTCTTCAGTTTTAATGATATAATTAGTTGATTGTTTTTAGGGTCTACAAAATTGTCATTTAGAACTTGAACTTTGGGTTTATAGTCTCGGATTGGTTAATTGCTTCGGTTTTAGGTTTTAGGTCTTAGAACCTAAAATCGAAACTCGACGATTCTATACCCTAAGTAATCAACCAGGGTTAGATATTTGAATCACTGTGTCAATGTGGTTTTGATGGTGGCAGAGAGAGAATTGCAAGAGGTCAGAGAGTTGTTTGGACAAGCAGCAGATCACTGTTTGAACTTGAAGAAACCAGAATGAAGAGCCTAGTGCAAGCAGCAGTTATTGACGTATATGATAATGGTGTAAGTTTGATTAGGAAGATGTAATTTTGACTGGAAGAAGGGCCAGAATTTCAAATATAACTGACAGTATTTAGAAACCACCTTTTTATTTGTGGGCAAATGCTTTGATTCTCAGGAGGATTAGAGCTCAACCACCTTCTTCTTGTAATGAGCCTTATGGCTAAAGTTAATGTTTCTTTCTGTATGTAACAATGAAATCAAATGACCATCCGGCAATGAGTTTCGACTGATTGAGTCGAAAATTAGGATCCTATTCAATGGGAGCCTTTACACTGATGTCAAAGGGAACGTTATGAGTGATTTGTCGTGTGAGACTCCGGAAGTATTGGCTGGATTATATGGAGTTCCCATCTGCCTCCCTTTTCAGCAAAACCCTCCCTATTATTTAGGGCTCGTTTAGAAATGCTTTTACGATAAGCAGTACCACACTCACAGCCACTACTGGGACTCTATATGCTTAAATTTTAGGCTTATTTGTTGAAATAAGTCATGTGATTTCCAAATCGTCTCAGTTTGCCCCCTGAAGTTTTAAATGACTCAGTCTCCCCCCTAAACTTCCATTCCATGATCAAGGTTGCTCCTAGTTTTCAGATAAAAATCGTTACATCAGCTGACGTGGCGTGAATATTTTGGTAATTTTAACTATTAAATATTAAAAATGTTTGAAATTATTCAAAATAAAACACGTAAATAATAAAATACCAAAAAAAAAAAAAAAAAAAAAAAAAAAAAACAACCCCAAGTTCTGCATCGTCTTCTTTGGCTCCATCACACTAGCACCCGACTGTACACCCCAACCACGTCAGCAGCCGCCCACAACCACCAACACTTACCCTTGCCCTGTGAGATCCAGTTGCCCCACCCTCCATCAAAACCTCAACCTCTAAAATTACTCATGCCACATCAGCAGGATTAACGATTTTTTTTTTCTTCCAAAAACTAACAGAATGGAGACAACTTTGGTCACATAATGAAAGTTCAGGGGGGAGATTGAGTCATTTGAAACGTCAGGGACAAACTGAGACAATTTGGAAACCACGTGGGGTATTTCAACAAATAAGTCTAAATTTTATGATACAGGAGATGGTGCATATGTGATGATAGCAAACCTCAATTGCAAATGGGAGCTTGAAATGAATGCAGCGCAAGTGGTAATTGTGCTTCATGTATTTAGAAGTTAGAATTTAGACCCTGCCGAAGGATTTAGGCATGGCCTAGTCACTCCCATTGGCATAAAATTGTCATCTTTGAACGGACTAATTCGGCCTAGAAGCTTTGATAAAAATAGAATATTGTAAAACTACCAGGTTTTCAAATTTCAATAATGGACACTTGACATAGTAGCGTGGTAGCTCTCTCCGAAAGGATGAGAAACCCATACGCTTCGGAGTGGTATTTACCCTAAAGTGCTATCATCTCTCTTTTCCTTTGTCCTACTTACACCGTTAATGAATCTGTGAACTTGCTATTGTTGTGGTGCTATCAAATCATAGCAAGACTGTTTTCTTTATTCTGCGTTCTTTTCGGATTGAAAATCCAAAGCTCTTTACTTTTCTTTAGTAGTCAAGGGCGGAATCTTTTTCCATCTTCCTTCTCTTTTGCCTTTCAAATCATCACATCAGATCAGAGAAGGGGCCTACGCAAATGACCACTATGGAAGATGACGCAACACGACTCGTTATACAGCTTGAAGACAATCTGGGCGAGCTGCGCAACGGAATCCCTCTCATTGGTGTCCTTATGGCTGACAAACTCCCTAACCGAGGTGCAGTCAAGGGGATTTTGAGGAAAGCCTGGGAGCCGTTTGGGGAGGTTAAAATCTCGGTGGTGAAGGACAACTTGTTCGCTATAACAGTGGAATCGGAAGATATGGCTGGGAGGATATTGGAGCGAGGCCCCTGGGCTGTTATGGGGTACGCTTTCAGTACTCACCCTTAGGAGGAAGGGATGGCTATTTATCACAATTTTTTTTCAAAAAACTGAAGTATAGCCGGGGGCTATACTATTAAATTATATTTCAAGCGTATAGCCGGGCGGCTATACTGCTGATTAAAAAAATTTAAATAAACTTCAGTATAGCTGCACAGCTATGCTATCTCATTATAATAGTATTTTATACGTAGAGGGATGCATTCATCTACTAAAGACATGTAGAGAAACATTTTGTATTTGATACTGCACATAGGATTTTAGGACAAGCATGTTTTTGCTTATGTTTTACTTTTCAAATAGCACTTTACATGAAGAATACTATCTTCTCTCTTATTACTATTCCCAGAAATCTTAGTTTGAAATTGAAAATTTTGAAAATAAATATTTGTATTAGACACAAAACATACGTACGTACATATATTGTATGTTTGTTTTTTTAAAAACGTGTATTTTCTAAAGTACTCTTATTGATAAACGAAATCCAAGGAAAAAAATTATTTAAAAAAAATAAGGAACACAGTATAGCCGCTCGGCCATACTGTATTTAAAAAACTTTAAAAACCTCAGTATAGCCGGGCGGCTAGACTATTCATTACTATTTAATTCAAAGTGTCTAACTTCATCCGGCACGCCAATATCTATTTCCCTATCAAATCTTCCAAACCTTCTATGAGCTGGATCAATGTTACTGATTTGGGGGCTTCACAAGAATTGATTTGAAAAGCTAAGGATGCCTTAGGGGCAACTCCTCCAATTCGCGAATCTGAGCCATTTGTTCCTAACTCAACCAACATCATCATAGCCAACATCATTAAATAAGCTTTCCTAATCGAACCCACCAACAACCCCACCCACACCAAATCAGACAACCACCATCCAATCGAACCCACCAAAGAACGGCAAATCCCAGAGGGAACCAAAAAACGGGAGAGAAAGAGAGGAGCCAGAGAGCTTTTGGGGGCGGCCAGAGGGTGTGGCGGTGGCGGGGAGGCACTGGGTGCTTTGGGGATTGGGGTAACCAGAAAGGGAAGAGGGGGGAAGATGGAGGTGAGGAAGAAAGGGAAGGGTGTTTGTGAACCCTATTTTTTTTATTTTTAAATATGTAAAATATGTTTTTATATTTAATTTGGATTTTAAAGTTTTTTAATAGCTACAATTACTAAAATGCCCATGCCACGTCCGCACATTTTACGGTTTTGTGGATGGAAATGGACAACAGTGATAAAGTGAAACAATTTCAGCAATTTGAAGAGATTTAGAGGGTTAAGTGAGAAAATTTCAATTCCAATAGGTAAAGTGAGATTGAGTGCCCGTTTCAAGGATAAAACATTAATTAAACCAATATAAATTAAAGAGTATAGCCGGCTATACTTCTTATTAAAAAAATTTAAATAAACTTTAGTATTGCCGATTGGCTACACTATTTAATTATAATAATATTTTATACGTAGAAAGATGCATTCATCTGTTAAAGACATGTAGAGAAACATTTTGTATTTGATACGTCACATAGAATTTTAGGACATGACATACAACATACTTTTGCTTATGCTTCACTTTTAAAACAACACTTTGCATGAAGAATACTACATTCTCTCTTACTACTATTCTCATAAATCTTTCTTTGAAATTGAAAATTTTATAAAAAAAAACATGTGCATTAGACATGAAACATATGTTCATACATGTATTGTATGTTTGCTTTTTATTAAACGTATATTTTCTAAAGTATTCTTATCGATAAATGAAATTTAATGATAAAAAATAAAAAAAAGAACCCTGTATAGCCGCACGGCTAGATTATATATTAAAAAAAAGTTTTAAAAAAAAATCACAGGTCTAGCCGCGCGGCTATACTATTGATTAGAAAAATTTATAGAATAACTGAAGTATAGCCGCGGGTCTATTCTATTTAATTATATTATAATTAAAGCATATAGCCACGTGGGTTACTATTTATTAAAAAAATAAAAATAAAGAATTATAGTATAGCCGCACGGCTATACAATTTATTACAAAAACTTGTTAAAAGACTGAAGTATTCCCGTGGGGCTATACTGTTTAATTATATTAGTATACCCACACAGCTATACTTCTGATTAAAAATTTTAAATAAACTTCAGTATAGCTGTGCAGACATGCTATTTAATTATAATAGTATTTTATGCGTAGAGGGATGCATTCATCTGTTAAAGACATGTAGAGAAACATTTTGTATTTGATATGGCACATAGGATTTTAGGACATGGCATGCTTTGCTTCATATCGCCATGGCGAGTAATTTGTTAACTTCAACCTGATTACAATAACTATGCAAAGAGCACCATTTAGGTTCAAAAGAAAGATGCTGATCCAGGGATGCTACATTGATCCTATAAGTCAATTTCCCCAAATAATAGACCAGAGCAATGATATATGAACTGGGTTGCAAAAGCCACCAACCCCATTTTTATATAGAGACATAACAAAAGCACTCTTTCTCAGAGGCGGACCTACAAAGGCGCAAGGAGGTGCATATGCACTTCCTCTCGCCGGAAAGAGCTATGGAGGTTGTGGAATTTGCCCCTCAGCTCTGCCATAGAAGTGCCCACAATCTGCTCGAAGAAATGCCTCTGTGAAATTGCTTTTTGTTTGCTGTGTGTGTTGCGTTGTTGGGCTGCTGCGCGCAGCACAGCCGCATTCATTTTTTTAAAAAGTCCCTGGCCAAAACGACTCGTTTTGGACCAAGGCAATGAAAAAAATAGGGATAAAGCCTTATATCTTGCGGATAGGAACCCAATGCCAAAGTACAATTAATATTATTAATAATTTAATATAAAGAGAGTCCTAAATTGAATTAAAGAAGTCAACAGACCCAAATCTCAAGGTCTATGTTTTTTTTTCTTCTGGTTTTTTATTTCTATTTTTTTATAATATGTTTTTTTAATAATATATATATATATATTTTATGTGGCTCTCTCTGTATTTTTTAATTATAAAGTTATGAAACATTACTAGTAATCTTCAATTGAATATTGCCCTTTCTCTGAGAAATTCTTGGGTCCGCCACTGCTCTTTCTACAAAGACTAGTTGTGCTGATGAACTTTCATGCAACAGTCTTGATTTCAAAGACCTATTGTTGGTTAGAATCCTAAAAGGTGTACCAAGTTTGAAGTACAAATTCCCTTCACCCAATAATCATATGCAAGAGCAACTCATACACCTCTTTCACTTGAATGAACTTTATCAAACAAAACAATTTCTTGTTTGCTAAATGTTAGTCCCAAAACGCACTAATTATCATGCTAGCAGTCATTTTTCAAATCCAATGTGTATCCCACTCTCATAAAGCAATCATACCTGAGCAACTATGTCATTGCCTATGTAGATGGTGCAAGATACTTGGTAAGGGAAGCCTTCCACTTTGAAATCACAGGTTGAATCTGCTGAATACGAACAAGAAAAACCTCCAACTCAGCTCTGGTGTACTTTTCGTCCTCTTCACTCTGAACACCAAGTCCTTCTCCCCAGCATCACCACCCTTCTATCCTTCCCAACATCCCTTCTATTCAATTGGGATTTTAATAGATTTTTTTGAAGCTTAAAAGTCTAGTGGTATTCAATTATGATTTTTAAGTAATCAATAAAAATCTGATGGTATTCAGTTAGGATTTTAAAACCATCAATGCAAGTCTGGTGATATTCAATTAGGACTTTCAAAAGATTAGAAAAAGTACGGTGGTATTAAAAAACTTACCGATTTTGAGGTATTTCATTAATTGATGTATTCTGTGAGACTTTTCAGGGGTAATATAAATACCAAACCCCACAAAAAATCACACCCTATTACATCTGATTCTCACGTTGGTTTGTTTTGGGAGAAGATGAACAGACTTGAGAAGTGAACATGGTTCTCATCTTTTTGCTTTATATCTTCACATGCTATCATATATGCTGTCATACCTTTTTTTGTCTCTATTTGTATTATATGTGTTGCTTTGCTGTGGGTACCTACATACATCCGTGTATATCTGTATTGCTTTGCTGTGGAACAGACAAAGAAAGAAACCAATCTGTAAAGATTGATAGTTGTTGTTTTTGGTTTGTTGTGCACTGCCTCATTCTTTAGGAATGATTTTTCTTATTTATTTATTATTTCATAAAATAATATTTTATTACTTTTGTGAAAACTGGAGAATGACTATAGAGCTTACAAACCTGAAATAACTATAGAGCTTTGTGTTTCTTTTTATATAATACTAATAAATAGTGGATGGTGGAATGGCTAGAAGAAGTCCATCACTAGGAAATTTCCTCGCGTTAGGATGCTTTATTTCTTGGTTTGAATGCATAGTGTTTGGGTCTTCTAGTCCCACTTGGGAGAAAAGGACCATTGTGCTACGATTTTTTTATTTATTTAAATTTTTGGTAAAGATGAACTTTCATTAATAAAGTTGATATAGAGGACAATTTTGAGTTGATTTATCAAACCCAAGACCAACAAAGAGAGGATGCTAACACATGGAGAGCTAGCATAGCTTCAGCTATGTGGAGAGATGCTATGTAGGTCATATGAGGAGATGAAGCTTCAACAAATGTTTATTAAGTCTTGAATAACTTTTGTTTTCCTTAAGCCATGTCTAGTTGCTACATGACATTATTGTTATTACTTTTATCATTTGGTTATTTATCCATGTGGCATAATTAATTCATGTTATTATATAATTTTTATTTCATATGAAATCCTAGAGAAAATCTTTTGATTCTTTGGAGAATACAAAAAAGTCCTAAGTGAATCATAAGAGAATCATGTAATTACAATATATTAAAATCATAAGTAAAATCTTGTAATTACAAATCCTGCTGAAATCCATTATATTAAAATCATGTGATTACAATCTATTAAAATTCTAATTGAATACACCCCCCAAAAATAAGAAAAACTTAAAAACCCAGCAACCACCTTCCCCCTCCCCATTCCATTTCTTCAGAAAAGAAGAAAATGAAAAATTGAAAAGGGAAGACACTCAACTGCTACAAAGGGAGCAGAAGACAAGATCTTTTTTAGATCCATCCTTGCTCATCTCTCTCTCCCACCCTCCATAACCACAACTGCCACTCCACATTCTAGCCTACGAAAGAAGCTGCTCCACCAACCTACTGCCCCACAAACCAATTGAAAAAGCCAAAATCTTTTTCAGATCCACTTTCTTCATATTGATGTTCATTTTTAAATTTGTTAGATTGGTTGAATGGATCTCGCAGGGTAGCTGTGGTTGGGTTGTATTATTGAAAATTTAATTAAAAAAATATGTGTATTAAACATTAAAAAAAAGGGAGTTTCACTAAAACACCCAAATGGGGGTTGAAATTATAAAAAACCCCAAAACCCATTATTACACACACTCAAAACCTATTTATAAACACACCCAAAAAATTGACTTTGGGGTTGATTTTGGGTGTGTTTCTATGTTTAAATAGTGCTTGGGTTTTTTTATAAATACATGTCTAGAATTGGGTTTATTTATAAATTTGTATAAAAAAAATGTATGTACATGTTGAATACGAGTATAGCTATTCCTTTTTAAAACAATTAAAAACCGAGCATAGCCGCGCGGCTATACTATTTATTTTAAAGAAATAAGAAAAAAGGAGTATAGCCGGACGGCTATCTATTTCTTTAAAATAATTTAAAAAGCAAGTATCGCTGTGCGACTATACTGTTTCTTCAAAAAATTAGTAAAAAAGAGTATAGCCTTGTGGCTATGCTATTTAATAAAACAAAATTAAGAAACAAGATCCTCCTAGTTGCATTAGTTTATACTTTATACATATTAATTTGGCATAGCCGCGCAGCTATAAGAATAAAATACGTATGTGTTTTATTCATTCGGCAAATTACAAGTTAAAAGTTCGTCCACTATATAAAATTTTAATATAATATATTAAATTTTTTTTTTCGTATATATCATTTGTATTCAATCATATGTGATAAATTTTTTTGTATAATTTGTGAAGTTTTTGTGTATTATTAAAAAATTTATAAAAAAAATACGTGTATTAAACATAACAAATATGTATGCATATGTTCAATGCGAGTATAGCCGCACGCCTATACTATTTATTTTAAAACAATTCAACAACCCGAGTATAGCCGCGCTTTATAACAATTCAACAACCCGAGTATAGCCGCGCGGCTATACTATTTCTTTAAAAGAAATTGAAACCGGCACGTATAGCCGTGCGGCTATACTATTTCTTTAAAAAAAATTATAGCCGGCCGGCTATACTATTTAATAAAACAAAATTAAGAAATAAGATCCTCCTAATTGCATTAGTTTATACTTTATAGATATTAATTTATTATAACCACGCGACTATAAGAATAAAATACGTACGGTTCTTTTAAAACAATTCAAAAAACTGAGTATAGCCGCATTAGCAAATCATAACTCATTAGCAATATAGCCTACTTATAACATCAAATTATCCAACAACTCATAATTCTTTGTTCTTTAGAAATTCAATAAAATTTATTTTCCATTTTCCTACAAATATGTAATCTTCGATTCTTGTCGTTGCAGTCTCACAAAATGTACATACACAAAAGGAAACCAGAATAAAATTTGCTCTTGTTACAAAATCGAACCAAACGAATATTATACCCTATTTCCAGGAAAGTTTTGAACTATGATTACCAAACTGCTTTTTATGGACATCGTCACCCCCATTATCCTCATCATTATAAAGGCAACATAATTCATACCATAGCCTAGGAATTCGGACTCAACATATAAAGTTTATAGAAGAGGATTTTTACCACGATTCCCGACTAAACATTGGTAACTTTTTCCATCCACATCCTCAACACACCCCCCTTGTCTTACGTTACGGTTCAAAGGTTCAATGGAGATTTGTTCTAATCTAAAAAAAATTAAATCCATTATTATTTATGATGTTGTAGATGGCTGCAATTAATTTCCTCAACATACAAATAATTTGACACCAATTTCTAATAATACAGTTTGGACTCAATTATGTTAGCACAATGAGAATGAGAAACACACTAACCTCTTTGCTATCAGAAGGCTCTGAGGCCGAACCCAAGCCACATTGAGTATAAACAGAACCCAACCCACATTTCGAAGATTATTTACGTGGCAACATTTTTTTTGGTTGATCATGAAACAACCGTCCACGTGGCAAAAACCTGGTCACTCCCTAAGTACCATCGCAAGATCCTGACCGTAGAAAAAGGAATCTGAGGCGTAGAAATCAAACAGTGAAATACGGGTTAATATATCCAACGGTCGAATTGGATTGACAGCATTTTAATAAGATACGCCTGAAAAGAGAGATGCAAGAAGCAGAAATCCCAGAAACCCTAATAGCGGAGGAGGAAGAAGCAGAAGAAGGACGATTCTTCGCATGCTATCTGTTGAGCTCTCGCAGCCCCCGCTACAAAGGCCACACTTATATTGGGTACCTTCCATCTTCCCCTAATTCTTTTTTTTCTTTTTTCAAATTCCCAATCTGTTGAGAATAATAAGATCAATCTTGATTTGAACATTTTCGATCTGAACTTCTTTAAAGTTTGAAACTTTCTTGTAGAGCTTGGAGTAATAAGAGAGCCCACTTGAACTCTGTGCCTTTGTTTGTGCTTATTTGGGTGATTCTGATACAGATTCACAGTGAACCCACGGCGTCGTTGAAGACAGCACAATGGTGAAATAGCGCAAGGTGCTTGGAGAACGAAGCGGAAGCGTCCATGGGAGATGGTGTTGTGCATCTATGGTTTCCCAACTAACGTTTCTGCTCTCCAGGTCTCTTCATTTCTTTCTTTTGTTCTCTTTACAATTAACTTGTCTATGGATTGCTCTGTATGATCTGTTTGTGTCTTTAATTTGATTGATTGGGACAAATTTCTTGAGAATTATATTCTGATAATTATGTGTCGTTTGAGGATATTTCCAGCTTGATTGGGACCCGTCTTGAGTAAGCACCAGATTTGACTCATTGGGATTTAAGGTTTTTTATTATTATTTTAGGATTGATATTAATTGGAAATTTGGGACCTGCTTTCTAATGTTCCCTTTGGAACTTTGCAGTTTGAATGAGCCTGGCAGCACCCAACTGTATCGAAGGCGGTTAGGCAGGCTGCTGCAAGCGTTAAATCACTGGGAGGGCTTGTCCGTAAGATCTAACTTGCATACACCATGCTCACTCTCCCTCCTTGGCAGAGGTATCATCTTATTATCTTCCTTGTGAGTTGTGAATGGATGAATATACATAAGCTTTTGCTGTTATTGATGGTAAGTGATATTGTTTCTATGTATCATCAGCTTGAACATCACTGTAAACTTCTTTTCAACCCAGTACACCAAACATTCTGCTGGTTGTCCACCCCTTCCGGAACAGATGAAGGTCAAAGTCTGCTCCATGGATGAGCTTCCTTCCTGTACTAAACTATCTGATGACCTTTTGGAAAATGAAGATGAGTGGCGTCATGAAAGGGAATGTGATGAAGATATGAATTCCAGTACACTACCCGAAGAAACATTATTGGACTTCAGGACTCATAATTCAGCAGCTGATCAGCAGAGTGATAGTGGCATTAGAATGAATGAAGTATATGGATGCAGTAAAGAAGTAGGAGAAGATGAGTGGTATAATGGAAAAGAATGTGATGAAGCTATGAAAGATGGTACATGACAGGAAGAAACATTATCAGATCTCATAATTCAGCAGCTGGTCAGCAGATGATCAGCAGGATGATACTGGCAAGATAATTAACGAAGCATATGGATGCAGTGAAGTAGTAGCAGAGGATTGCACAGAGCAATTTGGTTTTATGGCATCGCCAGTGAGAATGCCATCTTCAAATGTCACTACCTCATTTGACACAGAAGTAACTAAAGATATAGGTTTGTGTGGATCTTCTGATGACATGAGTGTTGATTTGGGCCGACCTGCAAGGGAACAATCGACAGCTATTGTTGCAGACGATGATCAGTCTCCCAGCAGAAGCTATCTCCGGCCTTGTGGAGCTGAGGTAATAGATTTGACAACCCCAGCTCCCCTATGACTTGACTGGTTCTCCCAATTTCATCCAACTGTAGAATAAAATGTTGTACATGTGTACTACAAACAATCAAACAAGTGTACATATATGTTTGATGATTTTATGGTTTGGTCGAATAATTTAGAGAAATTTATTGTCATATTTGCCAGATGGCTCCTTGTAATCACAATATATAGTAATAGCCGTCTGGTTCGAGTCTTACAGTTTGAATGAAATAAAAGATCTTTTTTACTCACTTCACTTGCTACATTTTATTCTGTTATTTTATATCACATATCATCTGCTCTAGGAATTAAGAGACTGGAAGAGTTGCTAATTCCAAGTTAATTAGAGCAATTTTAAGTCACAACTAGCTAGCAATATTTGGTAAAATTAACAAATTAAGAGTAAATTTACTAGACAAATAGAATCAGTTCATTGATAACTCAAAAAGGTACATGATTAAAGAAACTAAAGCCGATCAAAATCGTGGTACAAATATATTCATCAATACTCAGTTCTCTGCACACATTGAAAATTAGAGAGCTACAGCCATCACTTGTAGAATTAATTCCTTATACACCAACCAGGAGCTGATCTAATATCGCTTGGGACCAGTTAGACAATTGGCTACTTTGGGTTTCACCAATCGGATCAACGTCATGAGAGACCACATTCTCAAAGTTACTTGGGCTCCAAGCTTCACCAAGTAGTTGTTCCATGTTGGCCGTCGTATTTTCCTCATTCTCGAAGTTACTTGGGCTCCAATCTTCACCAAGTAGTTGTTCCATGTCGGCCATCGTATTTTCCTCATTCTCAAAGTTAATTTGGGTTTCACCAATCGGATCAACATCATAAGAGACTGCATCCTCAAAATTACTTGGGCTCCAAGCTTCACCAAGTAGTTGTTCCATGTCGGCAATCTTATTTTCCTCAAAGATTGTCAGATCAATCGGATCAAAGCCCACAAGATCACCACCAATTGGACTGGAAGAGCAGCCTTGTTGAGATGATGATTCTGTTGATCCCATTTGATCATCTTTTTTCATCTTTTTGTTTGTGGTCATCTTCTTTTCTTCTTTATCTTGTGATCCACGCTTTAGATTTGTTGCCTTGATCCCGACCCTGTCGTTCTTCCTCATCCGGCAAATGACAAAATCAAAATCGTAACTACGTTGATTGTAGTCATTCTTGGGACCATCGAAAAGACTATATTCATCTAGTAGCCACCCTGTGTGATCCTCGGAACCTTTATTCTCGTAGCGAAACTTTCTCTTTCGGCCAATGGGGTTTGGGTTGGGATTTCCAGAGACCTTTTCATGAACCAATTTGGAGGATTCAGTTTCGCTCCAAGTACCCCCGTTGCCAATCCTTCGATCCATCCGCTTGGGGGTTAACTTCTTGAGCTTGGAGATGAAGTACAAGTCTGTATCAACGAGTTGCGGCCCTCCGTACTTTTTCCAAATCTCCGAAGGCTCTGTGTTGTTGCCGAAGAGATTGCAGGCATGGAAGAAATTGTTGTATAGCGACATGAAGGGCTTGCTCTCTACCAAAAACGGGTAGAGAAAGGAACCCACAATCTCTTCATCGGAGGGTCTGAAACGAAAACCGAACGGCACAGGAGGCTCTTCCATTGCTTGATGCTGCTGATAATGAAAGAACACAAGAAAAGAGAGAGTAGAAGAGAATAAATTTTTGTCTGAATTTCTGTGAGTGTTGTTGCGAACAAAGAGCATCTCAGTCACTGCTATTTATAAGTTTCCTTGGCGAGCATCTCACTCACGGAATCAATGTGGTAATTAAACAACTAGTGCCTGTCAACTTTTAACTTTGAGCATCTCACTCACTGAATCTGGAAACTCCTTTTCTTTTATTTTATTTTTCATTTGAGAGAAATTCGGAGAGTCGGTTGTGGTAATTAAGGAAGTAGTACCTGTGAACTTTTAACTTTGAGATCCAACGGCCCAGATAATAGTACCGTTGACATCCAACGGCTTATTGTGGGAGAGTTAATATTGGAGAGAGAGAGAGAGAGAGATCGGGTCCGAATAGTTAGTACTTCGTGGGAGAGAGAGAAAGATCAATTCCATCTTTGTTTTATTTGTTTTTTGTTTTTTGTGTGCTGCTGTTTCAATTTTTGTTATTGCAACATTTTTATTTAACGTTGCATTTTTAAGTGAAATAAAATTGTGTTTGTAGAATTTTGATTATTATTATTATTTTAATTTGTTCAGAAAAATAAATCACAAAGGTATGAGTAAAAATTAACTCCAAAAAAATCACAACAAAAAGTTAAGAGTTAAATCATTTTAAAGCAATTTAATAAAGTTGTATACTCAAATTTAAAACTATTTCATGAGGTAGGATAATTTGATTTGAGATCATTTTAAATGCTTGGGATTTCATATTCTCGTACTGTTTGCCAATAAATTAATAGAATTGGCTCTCATATGTCAGCGTCATTACATTTATCTAATGTCATAATTATCTAATGTTTCTTCATTATTATTTCAAAACTCCTTCCTTGACGTCAAACTTCTGATTTTTTTCTTGACAAGTTTAAGAACATGAGCAACTAATCTTGTTAGTATATATGGGTTAGACCATTTAGTTTAGGTAGTGTGCTCGCCTCTTTCACCCGAGTTAGATTCTCTCTTTTGTACTTTAGAGTAGTTTAGATTTGTGTAAAAAATTAATATTTTAAAGGAAATTCACCAAATGTATTCATTAATAATGTCTATGTTATAACCCTTATTAAATTAGTTTGAATCTTGATGTATTAATAATAGTACTGTTTGGGCCTAAAATTGACATGCCTAGACCAACAAAGGAGGCCCAGAATAAAACCACAAAACTCAAACAGTTTTGTCTTTGAAGAAAAAAGAAGGGGAAACAGAAGGTCAAAATCCAGAAAGGCCTAGCCCAAGACCTATCAAAACAGACATGCAAAACTTGGGCCCCAAAAGAAAAGTCACTTTCGGGCTCCAGACAAAAATAAACCCAGTACGATTTTGATAAAAGAAAAGACCCATTTCTTTTCAGAAAACCACGTGACACCCTTTTATCAGATTTGGAAAAGTCAACAAAACCAGCCATTACAGAGATGATTAGAGAGGGTCAGTAGCTGGCAAAACTGGGAAGGGACATCTCTGAAATTCTGAAAGATCAAATCCCCTTACACATGAATATATTTAGAGATATTTCTTCTATTCAGAAGGTGATTTTCCCAAAGAGATAAGCAAACACAATCTCAGAGAAAGATAAACAGGAAAACAGGGACCTGTTCAAAACTGAGAATTAGACTAACCATCACGGTTCTCACAGGGGGGCAGTTGGAATTAAAGAGGGGTTAGGTTCTTTTTCAAGAAAAACAGGGAAGTGATCTTAAGAACTGACTATTGAGAGCTTATCTACCCGAAATTGATCAAAACCCCATTTCTTTACAATTAAAAATGAAAGATCTTTTTAAAGAAAATTGCCGCCCATTATTTAAAAGAATTACCCTACTCCAGATAACATCTCTTATAAATACAAGAATGAGTGAACAGGGCAAGGACAATCAATCCAACACTCAAGTCATCAATCAAACAAACAACTCAAAATCAACCAGAAGCTCACTTGAATTCCAAGTGAAAACCAGCTTTAGATCAGAATTCCCAAGGTTCAGACTTAAGTCATTCAAAACGAGATTTCTCTCGTTACAAATTTGGTTCAGCAAAAAACCAAGATAGGTAGAGCTTGAGCTTTTCCCAAACATGAAAACCTCAACAAATTTTACAGTGCAGTCTCTAGCCCACTGAAGTCCTCGAGAACAGCCACTTCTGCCCTTACAGACTGAAGAAGCCGCAGTTCTGCCCACTCAGAAGCCTCACAAAAGCTTGAAGTGTATTAAAGCTATGCCAAAATTAACCTTTGATATCGATCTACAGCTGAAGCTTAGCAGTTGAAGTTGTTAACAGTCCAGTCCAGTCCAGATATTTCCAGTCCAGCCCGGATCAGAACCTCCTATCCATGCAGAAATGGAGTTCCAGCTGTCATTTCATCTTTCTAGCTTGGATATTTATGTTTATAGTTTTGTAAAAGGCAGTTCTGCCTAAGACAGCTTAAATTCCATCAACCATTTTGGTCAGAACAATCTCTTTATACTGAGATAAATTGTTAAAGTCCTCACCAGTCTAAGATAAGAAAAGAACTTACTTGAGAGATATTCCTCACCCAAATTCACAATCGCTTGTTTATGGAAATCAGTAACTTGGGGCGCAAGTTATCTATTCTAGAATAAGTCTGCTAGAATCTTCATTGCTAGCAGTGGCACGCTCATACACCAAAAAAGCTGATTTGTTGACCAGTCAATGGTTTTCAAGGCAGTTGGGAACTTTGCCCTTCCACCACAGGAGTGATCACAAAACGGTGTGAACAAATACAGAAAAGGAGAATTGTTATTTTTTTGAGTACATGGTCTAAACTTACACACAACTAAGATGTCATGGAAATCCACCAAATTTATTCATTAATCATGTCTCTTCTTCAACAAATCTATTCATTAATTTTCCATGCATTGGCCAAAAATCAGGAAAAATAAAATTAAAAAAAGGACCCTAGTATAGCCGTGCGGCTATACTCCTCAGATATATTATATTTAAATAGTATAGCTATTCACAAAAAATCATGCAAATTGAAAATCATTAAGGCATCTAATTGAGACCAACAAAATCAATAAGCACGATACTTGAAGAAAGTATTTAAATTTCAATAATTTAATTGAGTGGTCAAATGATATCGGATTTTAGTGATTTTATATAGAGATGATATTTGAATGAATATCTATAAAATATACCGTTTGGATTAATGAAATACAATGCGGAGTGAGCCCTATAAAGGTGTCCTTCAAGTAAAGATCTTTCAATAAAAACTCTATATGTATATGTTTAGATAAGATTTGAGAAAACCTTATCACTCATCTAAATTATAACACATAAATTAGTAATAACTGATTTACCATTAGAAAAACAAGGGTGCTCAAAGTGTTTGAGAGTGATGATGAAATTGATGAAGAAATTATTGTTGAAAGTTGTTGGAAGGATTTAGAAACTTCCAAAATATGACATTATCTGCCTTGAAGCACCCGCCACGCTCCTAAACCTAATGCAGCCAACTACCGCGCCTATCCACTCCCCTGGCACGTCGAAAGCGTGAGCTATTGCCGCGCGTGTGCCTTTACCATCTAATCCAAATATAGCACACTCATCAGCTGCACCTGCCAACTGCACTTTCTCTTTCCTTCGCAAATCGACTTGTATATCAACACCCACCGCACCTGACCAGACCAGACCAGACCCAGAACTCGATCAGACCCGACCCGAATTCTTTGGCCACGGTGATCCGACTACCCAAATGGCTCGGAAGAAGATCAGAGAATACGACTCCAAGAGGCTGCTCAAACAACACTTGAAACGAGTCGCCGGAATCGACCTCCAGATCAACTCAGCTCAGGTGACCGAGTCCACGGACATCGCTGAGTTGGTGAACACGGAGACATGGCTGTCGTCGACGAGGCTCGTGGTGAAGCCCGATATGTTGTTCGGGAAGCGCGGGAAGAGTGGCCTTGTTGCTCTCAATTTGGATATGGCTCAGGTCGCCGAGTTTGTGAAGCAGCGTCTTGGCAAAGAGGTAATTGCCATCCGATTTTTTACTTTCTGATTTTGATCGTTTGTTGAGAACCCAATTGTTCAAGATTGAATTTTTGGATGTTTTGTTTAATGGGTTTTGTGTGAATTTGGAAAAAGGTTGAGATGGGAGGCTGTAAGGCTCCTATAACGACGTTTATAGTGGAGCCATTTATGCCTCATGATCAAGAATTTTACCTTTCGATTGTTTCTGAAAGGCTTGGATCGACATTGAGCTTTTCGGAGTGTGGAGGAATTGAAATTGAAGAGAACTGGGACAAGGTATTGCAAATTTGTGTCTTTTCATTTTGGTTTCTTTGAGTGTTGGAATTAGGATGGTGTTTTCTGCGTGGTTTTGGGTCCTAATTTCTGTATGTATGTTTGTTTTGAATACATTTATAGGTTAAGACTATATTTCTTCCGACCGAGAAGTCTTTGACAAATGAGGCTTGCGCTCCACTGATTGCCACTCTTCCATTGGAGGTTTGCTTTTCATACTCTTCTTTCTCATGTATATTCTTGTTAAGCTTGAAGTTATGTTGCTGCAAATGCGTTAGCATGTAGTAAAGATGAGCATATAGCTTAAGAATATGGACTGTTTGAGTATGAAGACCAAACCAAACCACTGGACTATTTCAAATTGAACTTGTTGACTGGCTACAGCAGAATTAACATATAGTTTTTGATTGAAGTCTGTTAGCATAAAGAGCATGAGTTTCGTAGGTATATTTCTTGTGTATTGCCCTTTAATCATGTTACTATGTTTCTATTTGATATCAGCATTTTATTTCTCTTTGAAAAACTGTTTTGTCGGTATTGGGACTTCTGTCTTATCTATTCTGGTGTGTTACAGGTCAGAGACAAAATTGGGGATTTCATAAAGGGCGTCTTCACTGTATTTCAGGGTATGCAATGTCTAAAGATAGATAACTTATGTTTTTACTACAGTGTAAGACCGTGATTAGCTTGATCTCATATATATGATAGTTATGTATGTTCTCTTGTTGCTGAGGTTATTTGAATTCTTGATTTCGTTTGCAGATTTGGATTTTAGCTTCCTGGAAATGAACCCGTTTACCTTGGTTAACGGTGAACCTTATCCATTGGATATGAGGGGGGAGCTAGATGACACTGCTGCTTTCAAGAACTTCAATAAGTAAGCTTCTGTTAAAGATTTTGCAATCTTTGTATTCTACTGTTTCTAATTACTGAATTTTGGTTTGAATTTCCTTCTTACAAATCTGTGTAATGCTGTTCAGATGGGGTAACGTGGAGTTTCCACTGCCTTTTGGTAGAGTTTTAAGTCCTACAGAAACATTTATTCATTCTTTGGATGAAAAGGTAAAACCATAACCATTCATTGGATAAAAGAAATTTATGATCCATTTCAGTTTAATATAAGGATTCATGGTATTTTTTAAGAGTGGCTTGTGCTAAAGTTTCGTATATATATTGCAGACGAGTGCATCCTTAAAATTCACCGTGTTGAACCCAAAAGGACGCATCTGGACCATGGTAGCTGGAGGTGGTGCAAGTGTTATATATGCTGATACTGTGAGTAGCCAGATGCAGTTTCACCATATGTCTTTACTCTCCCTGTAGCAGCCGGTTCAAATTTTGGTCTCCAGTGCCTGCTTTACAAATCATACTCATGGCTGTTTCTTTGAACGTTGGGAACCCTTGTAGATGTTTGGTGGTATATCCTAATATTTTGGTATCTTTGTGGGAATTAGGTTGGAGATTTGGGTTATGCTTCAGAACTCGGAAATTATGCAGAGTATAGTGGAGCTCCAAATGAGGAAGAGGTGTTGCAATATGCGAGAGTTGTGATTGATGTAAGAACCTCTTTTCATGAAATATCTCTCTCTCTCTCTCTCTCTCTCTCTCTCTCTCTCACACACACACACACACACACACACACACACACACACACACACAAACACGCAGGCACTCATTTACTTCTCCTGACTACTTGAGTTCTCATCTTGCAGTGTGCAACTGCTGATCCAGATGGTCAGAAAAGAGCTCTTATTATTGGAGGTGGTATAGCTAATTTCACAGATGTTGCTGCTACATTTAATGGAATCATTAGAGCCCTCAGAGAGAAGGTACTGCCACGTTCTGACATTCATATATCAGAGATTGGCTTTGTTGGTTTCATCTTGTTTTGTATGCTCAAATTATATCTTTTGTGACATGAAAGGAATCCAAGCTAAAAGCAGCAAGAATGCATATCTTCGTGAGAAGGGGCGGTCCAAATTATCAAACTGGTTTGGCAAAGATGCGTGCGTTGGGAGAGGAACTTGGAGTTCCTCTTGAGGTATGCAATAGAATTCTGGTTTTGTCATATGATACCGGTCTAACAAGCCTAATTCTCAATGAGCAGCTTGACTAAATGAATGTTTTTTGCTTGTTCTATTCGCAATGCAGGTTTATGGACCCGAGGCAACAATGACTGGAATTTGCAAGCAAGCAATTGAGTGCATCATGGGTGAAGAATAAGAAAGAATTTCTTATTTTCGGCTCTTTGTATGAGTTTTGGAGGTTCAGAGTGTGTGCATTATGATTTGGCCAAAAAAAAAAAGTGTGTATTGTGAGTTTGTCTTTGGAAGATGAGACCACAGCTGAAATAATTTAAATTTTCCAATCTTTCTAGTTTTGTGAGTCTCTGACTGAAACATTCCGTGTGTTTTAAGTGTTCATGTTCTTGTTTAGAAATCAATGGTTGCTCTCCCTCCTACCCTTCCTTTTTCTCCACCTTTTTTAAGTTTAAAGAAACAAAAAGTAATAATAAAATGAGAAAATTATGGAATTCAAGAAATGAGGATGTGAGCCATTTTCTTTAGGTTTATTTTTATTTTTATTTGATTAGAAATATGTAACTAATTCTTAACTTAATTGCTTATTGGAGAATTCCTATTACGTTGAATTTAATGTGTTCAAGTTTACGACTTGCCTAATTCTCATTCTAATGGCTCGTCATCTTTTGATGTTCAGTCAATTACTAGACTGATGTATTGAGTAATTCGTTAAGTGCAAAGGGAACCTTTTTTCTTTTATCAAAAGGGTAAGAGAAATTGAAGGACTTTCCAAAACAATAAAAATACAATATATTTTCTTTTGTGGGTAAATTACTCAAATGGTCCCCAAACTAATACATGATTTACATTTTAGTCCCTCAACTAAATTATTCGTTCAAATGGTCTATCAACTCTATATTATTCTCTCTAGTGGTCATACTATTTAATTTTCTGTTAGATTTAACCAAATTTTAGGGTAAATAATGACCAATTTGGCCTCATATTTAATGGAAATATTGACAAAATATAACAGTAGGACCAATGGAGCGAATAATATAGAGTTGATGGACCATTTGAACGAATAATTTAATTGAAGGACCAAAATATAAATCGAGTATAAGTTTGAGGACCATTTGAGTAATTTACCAATCTTTTGTTTCATACTTTAAAAAATAAAAATAAAAATAAAAATAAAAACACAACTTTATTCCGTAAGATGGGTAGGAAGGTAAATACAACTTCGTGTTCGTACATAAGTGAATTAACGAAAAAAAGAAAAAAGAAAAAAGAAACGAAAAAACAGAAGTGACGAGGCGTTGAAGTGTTTTGGGGAGTGGGTTTGTTTTTCCAGTTATTAACCCAGTAGCGCGCACCTGTCGATCAAGGCGCTGAAGCGAAGTAGGTAACTAAGAGAGACACCAAAAGCTCCAAAGAAAGAAAGAAAGAAAGAAAGAAATGAAGAAGAAAATTGAAGAAATTTCCAAGTAGAAGAAGAACCGAAGAAGGAAGAAGCCTAAACATGGCGCACGAAATGTGCTTCGACTGCCTCCACCGTCGGATTCAATCCGACTTCTCCGAAAAGCTCGTTTTGGTCTACGGGCTCTCCGATTCCGCTTTCCCTTTCGGCTCCACTGCCGTCGTTCAGGTCCAACTCCAACCCCAACCCCCCCTCCCCCCCCCTCTCTCTCTCTGTCTCTCTCATCTCTCTGCATTTTTTTCTGTTTGTATAAATAAGCTCAATGCTCAAGCAGTTGGTTTTTGCAGTTGTGTAATTCAAGTGGGGAAACTGCTTCAGCTCCTCAGTTTTTGCTAAGCTATCTGCCCAGTCATGAACAAGATTGCTTGACCAAATATGTGTAAGATCAATCAATTTCACTTTTTTTTCTTCTTCTTCTTCTAGTTGTGATATAATTACTAATATTGCAACGATACTCTAGCACATTGGTGATGTATAAAACGAATCGAAATTAGCCTGTGGGTTTGTTTATTGTTAAGATGATCAAGGAGAACGAGAAACTATCTGGGTTTTTGCCTTTTTCTTTTCAGTAATGAATATATAGGTGATAATGCTGAAGGCTGCAGTGATAGTGTGATTGCTAATACGATCACTTCCTCTGAAGTGACTCGAGATGAAGAGGAAGTTAGTTCTGATGTTAACAATGACCAAAAACCAAAGTTGGATTCTTTATTGAACATGTCTCCGTGTTTATCAAATGGTGGCACAAAAACATTTCTACAGAGTTCTACCTGTAAACATTCCAGTAGGTTTTCTTGCTCGAGGGTGATCAGCGGGTTGGCACCGATTACTCACGTTGGCATTTGTTCAGACTCCATTTTCGAAGAGCTTGCTTCGGAATTTTTGTCCAGGTCTCTGGAAGATAACATTTTGAACTCACTTAGTCTCTTGATTGAAGGGAAAGCTTCAGGAAGAGACAGTGTAAATTTTCTTAACTTACTTGGGGTACCGTCTTTTGATGAGAATCAGTTCCCTGGCTCACTGAGGCATCCAAATATTGCTCCCATACTTGGGATGGTTAAGGCATCCAATTATATTGATGTAGTTCTTCCCAAAACTCCACATACCTTGGAAAACATTCTCCATTATAGTCCCGATGCCTTAAAGTCTGATTGGCATATAAGGTTTCTAATATACCAGTTACTCTCGGCTCTAGCTTATATTCATGGTTTAGGGGTTTCCCATGGCAACATATGCCCATCCAGTGTGATGCTTACCGAATCATGCTGGTCTTGGCTGTGTATTTGTGATAAGCCCGGGGTAGGATTTAATCCAAGTTCTAGAGGTAATAGATGCACAACTATTATACCTGAAAAGGTAGGTTGCTCTATAGCTGGTTGTCCTTCTCAAGGTCTTTATGCTGATTTGAAGCTTTCCCCATCTATTGACTGGCATCGTGACTTCAATCAATGGTGGAGGGGGGAGATTAGTAATTTTGAGTATCTGCTCATCTTGAATAGATTAGCTGGGCGAAGGTGGGGTGACCACACATTTCATACAGTGATGCCATGGGTAATAGATTTTAGCATGAAGCCTGATGAGAATTCAGATGCAGGGTGGCGGGATCTAAACAAGAGTAAATGGAGGTTGGCAAAAGGTGATGAACAGTTGGACTTCACCTATTCAACATCAGAGTTCCCACATCATGTATCTGATGAATGTCTTTCTGAATTGGCTGTCTGCAGTTATAAAGCAAGGAGGTTACCTTTGAGTGTCCTACGTATGGCTGTTCGCTCAGTCTATGAACCTAATGAATATCCTTCTACCATGCAAAGACTCTATCAATGGACCCCTGATGAGTGCATTCCAGAGTTTTACTGCGATCCCCAAATTTTTCATTCACTTCATGCTGGTATGACTGACTTGGCTGTACCTTCATGGGCATGTGGTCCTGAGGAATTCATTAAATTGCATCGTGATGCTTTAGAAAGCGATCGGGTTTCACGCCAACTCCATCATTGGATTGATATCACCTTTGGTTACAAGATGGTAGGTCAGGCAGCCGTTGCTGCAAAGAATGTAATGCTTCCTTCATCAGAGCCCATGATGCCAAGGTCAACGGGACGCCGTCAGCTTTTTACTCAACCTCACCCTATGCGTCGAGGTGCAATACCGAAACCATGTGATAGCACCAATGGGTCATCTTTGTATCAAGGGAAAATGAATGAATTAAGTAGTGACAGTTCTGTCCTGTTTGAAACTGCTTACTTGCAAGAGTTAGAAGATGCATCTGCCTTTTGTGAACATGCTATGCATTTGAGTGCCCTCTATGGCTATCATCTAGACTCCGTGAAGGACATTGCTCCTGTAGAAGAGTCATCGGGCGAGCATGTTAAGAAAAGTGTAACTCTATCTGACACTAAGAAAAACCAGTGGTTGCGACATATTGATACAAATTATCTTCTTGAGCATGTTGAGGTGTTGGATGAAGGTTCCAGTGGATATCAAGAGCTATTGCTTTGGAGACAGAAATCATCATGTTCAAAGATGTTTGCTGAAGAAATTGCAAGGGACGTATTTTCTGTTGGTTGTCTCTTAGCAGAACTTCATTTGAGGAAGCCACTTTTTGATCCAACCTCATTGGCCGTGTACTTGGACAGTGGTTTATTACCTGGACTGATGCATGAACTTCCTCCTCACACCAGATTACTTGTCGAAGCCTGCATTCAAAAGGATTGCATGAGGTATTAGTTATTCTCATTTTTAATTTCGATACTATATGTTATTCCAGGTTGTGAATACAATGAGGTATTATAGGGCTATGCATTTTCCCTTGCCCTCTCTCACTCTCTCACTCACTCTCTCTCTCTCTCTCTCTCTGGGTAACAAAAATTAGGAGACCATCGGCTAAGTGTCTTTTGGAATCACCTTATTTTCCTACCACAGTCAAGGCTTCCTACTTGTTTCTTGCCCCCCTCCAGCTTCTGGCTAAAGGTGGATCTTGCCTTCATTATGCTGCGAATTTTGCAAAGCAAGGAGTCCTGAAGGCAATGGGAACATTTGCTGCTGAAATGTGTGCTCCTTATTGCTTATCACTTGTGGTGACTCCTTTATCAGATACTGAAGCTGAATGGGCCTATACATTACTGAAAGAATTTATCAAAAATTTAACACCTAAAGCAGTGAAACGAATAGTCTTGCCTGCCATCCAGAGGATTTTACAGGCTAGTTTTGAGCTTTATTTTTTCATTTTTATGTGGAACTTTCTTTTGAACCTCTTTCTTATAGAGGTCTGTGTTTCAGACTACAGGCTATTCACACCTAAAGGTTTCTATTCTACAAGACTCTTTTGTTCATGAGATATGGAATCAAACTGGCAAACAAGCATATCTAGAAACTGTACATCCTCTTGTGATTTTGAACTTGCATGCTGCTGCTCATAAGAGTTCAGCAGCTGCCGCTTCCGTGCTGCTGATTGGCTCAAGTGAAGAACTTGGTATACCTATTACCACTCATCAGGTTAAACCGACCCCAAAACTCTTGCTTTTGTGACTTAATAAAATAAAAATTATGCATATCTGTCTTAGACAAAGACATTCAAACACTCATAAAAGTGTAATTTTTTCACTGGGATTATCATGCTAACTATCATTCTTGCCCCAGACAATCTTGCCTCTGATTCAATGCTTTGGGAAAGGTCTCAGTAGTGATGGAATTGACGTGCTGGTTCGAATTGGTATTCTTGTTCAATGAATTGTGAAATAATATTTCCTTGAATTGGCACGTTCTTCTTGTAAGCGTTTTATGTTTTCGATTTCCAGGTGGTCTATTGGGAGAGAGCTTCATCGTCAGACAGATGCTACCATTGCTAAAACATGTATTTCATTCCTGCATTGACATTTCACATATGAATAAACCTGAGCCTGTCCACAGCTGGAGTGCTTTCGCTCTTATTGATTGTTTAATGACAATAGATGGCCTAGTTGCATTCTTGCCAAGGGAGGTGGTTGCAAAGGAGCTAATTGAAGTATGGGATTTGATTCTTATTAATTTAATTTGAAAACTGAGTGTTCTTGGAAATAATAGAATGTTTATATTTTGCAGGATAAAAGTTGCCTGCATGTTCTGGTTCTAATGCAGACAAGTTTAGAATATAGAGTACTTCAGGTGATGTTCCTGCATGCACATACACTTATTTTAAAAGTTCAATGAGTGTCCCCCAGATGCAGAGGCTGCATTTTTCTATATCCTACCTGTGTCATACCTTCTACCTCCATCCTACCCCCAAAGTTCCCATTCAAGCATCTCACATACTAGCCAGTGTGTCGTAATTTCCCATAATGATATAATGCCTCTCTTGTCCAGGTTGCTGCTACAACTCTAATGGCATTTTGTCAGCGGATAGGACCGGATTTGACAGCATTGCATGTTTTGCCACAACTTAAAGAGCTATTTGATGAGCTTGCTTTCTCACCAAAAACTGCCAATGCTTCTACTTCCTTTGGCAGAAGGTTGAAGGGTTCAAAGCCAAAAATTGATGGGGCTCTGATTGAAAGTCGTATGGACCTTGTGTAAGTGCTTTTCTCAGTTCATTTAATCTCATAATTACTAGATTACACTGGAATATAATTTTTGCACATGTTCAATTCCTCCTCAAATATGTGTTGAATTTGCTAGGCTGTTGGCAGGTTGCTTCTGTATCCTTCTTTTGCATCCCTTCTTGGCATAGAGAAGCTTCGCCAGTGTTGTGCAACATGGTTATTACTTGAGCAATATCTCCTACAGTATCATAACTGGAAGGTACACTATCATTTTGCTTTTAACCATTTCATTAATATGAGGGTTTTTCTGTCATGTGTACTCCCTCCCTCCCTCTCAACATACATAAATACACACACATAGACACAGATAAGATATATGGACAACCAACACAATACCCACACCTTTTGCACTTCATATTCTGAACCTGTCTTCATTCAGTGGGAACACACAGGAGAATTGTCTCGAAATGGTTCAGACACTATACTCAGTAAAAGAAATGCATTCAGAAAGGGCTCAACTTCTGAATACAGTCCTGCTAAGCTGTTGCTCAATGGGGTTGGATGGTCAATTCCGCAATCACAAGGGTCTAGAAGTGCCAAAAACTTGATGCCTCAAAAACGGTTCTTTGAAATGCATCAGAGTCCAGCTGAAATGCATGCAGCAACATCAAATTTTAAATTCGAGCCCTGGTTTTGGTTCCCTAGTCCAGCTGCTAGCTGGGACGGGCCTGATTTTCTTGGGCGTGCTGGGGGTGTGAAAGATGAACATCCATGGAAGATCAGAGCATCTGTCATATACTCAGTCCGTGCGCATCCTGGGGCCTTACGGTATTTAGCCGTCTGTCCAGATGAATGTACGGTTTTTACTGCAGGGATTGGTGCAGGGTTCAAGGGAACTGTTCAGAAATGGGAGCTGACTAGAATTAATTGTGTATCGGGATACTATGGCCATGAGGAGGTTTGTTTATCCTATTCCGCTTTACTTTTTCTCTTTTTGTTTTCTTTTTTGCCTTTTTCTGTTGAAACTATTCTCAAGCGCTTAAATTGAAACCTTCCATACTATATGATTCCTCGTAATCACATTGATAATTCTCTCTTGCCATGGAACTATGGTCATGCACATATTTCAGATCTGAGTTTGGTTCTGCTTTCGGATACTTATGGTCATGCACATGTCTCTAACTGCTTTTGTGGCTCTTAGGTTGTGAACGATATTTGTGTCTTGTCGTCTAGTGGAAGAGTTGCGTCTTGTGATGGGACAATACATGTTTGGAATAGCCGAACTGGGAAATTAATTTCAGTATATTCTGAACCATCTGTGGATTCTGCACATAGTGCAAGCCCTCCATCTTCTTCCTCCAGGGTCAATGTGGACCAGGTCAATATGCTCAGTTCCAATACACTGTCTGGTGGAATATTGACTGGCGCATTTGATGGTAGCTTGTACACTTGTATGCATCAGACAGAATTTGGTGAAAAGCTTGTAGTTGGCACTGGAAATGGTTCTCTCAGGTAAATACATAGTGTTGCACAGATATCCCATTACAAGCTGATATAGACCAGGAAACGTTTCGTGCAGTTTCGGGTTTTAATGTTTTCTCAATCTTACAGGTTCATTGATGTTGTCCGATTACAAAAGCTTCACCTTTGGAGGGGGGATTCTACGGAGTCTGGTTATCCTTCCCTTGTTTCTACCATATGCTCCTGTGGGTCTGACAAAATGCAACCAGATGGAGCTTCTTCACCATCTTGGATTGCAGCTGGATTGAGTTCTGGTCATTGTAGGTTATTTGATGCAAGGAGTGGCAATGTTATTGCCTCTTGGAAGGCTCATGATGGATACGTGACAAAGGTATTTCAAAAAAGTTTGAGAAAAGCCTCACTTTAGTTTAATTTCAATTCTAATTTACCATTTACTCATGTAGTTGGCTGCACCAGAGGACCATTTACTTGTGTCAAGCTCTCTTGACAGGACTTTAAGAATTTGGGACTTGAGAAGGTAAGTTCAGACATTATTTAATGGTAACTTTGAAATAATTTGGGGTTTCCCTGTGTTTACTTATATGTTATGTGAGTTTTAGGCGTATATGAGGATCGGAGCCCAAATTGTGTTGCATTAAATTGATCCAGTACTTTTTCTTTTATCTATTTTCTAGCATCATGGAAATGATATTGCACTATCAAGCTCTCGTTAAACTTTAACTCCTTATGCAGGAATTGGCCTTCTCAGCCCACAATTCTTAAGGGTCATACGGATGGCGTATCTTCGTTTTCTGTGTGGGGCCAAGATGTTATTTCAATTGCCAGAAATAAAATTGGACTTTCTTCTTTATCCAAATCTGGTGATGAGGTAAACAACACTGCACTTTATCACCATTTCTTGTTAAGCACATATCTAATTTGCATGACATGAAAACCATTTGGCAGGATGGGCAGCAGGCTGTTACATGCCAAAAACTCTACATGGCTGATCATGGAGCAAGAAACTTTTCAGTTTTGTCAAGCATAAGTATTTTACCCTTCTCAAGATTGTTTCTTGTGGGTACAGAAGATGGCTATCTGAGAATATGTTGCTGATCACTATTGCCCAACTTTGCCAAGGCAATTTAATTGTATTTCAAACTATGCTGTATATTTTGTATCCATTGTTTTGGTTTTAATTTATATTTCCCCTTTTAAGTTTGTATCCTGAGGTTTGAGTGAAGAAAGAAAGGGGTGCGGGGGGGTTGCTGCTACTCATTGTAATCCATTGATTGTAGTTAGAAAGTAATTCTTTTTGTATAATTGTTTGTAAACTGTTTTTCTTCGACAGCAAAAAGAAAAAATAATGTATAATATGGAAGTTATGCTCTTTTGCACACCCCCCATTTTCGCCTCTTGTTTTGTTTTTTCTTTTTTGGTTCTTTAAAGAAAAGAGAAGAAAATAAATTGCTTTTTGGGCCTGGAAATACTTCCCTAAGAGCCCAAAGGCTACAGAAAAAACAGAGATAGCCAAGAGGCCTAATAAACTCCAAACAAGCAACAGAGGGAGGCCCAGGAAAACACCAAAAAAGCAAGAATTCTATAGTGGGGCCTCCTTAGATGAGACCTTCTTTCTTAATTGATAGATTAAATTTGTTGGATCAAATTGGTTAGTCTGATCCAACGGTTAAAAGATAGAATCTCACATATGGGCCATATATAAAACTCTCACTATAGAATGACTCCACCAAAAAAGAGAAGTGACCTCACCTAAAGGCCATATATAAGATCCTCAGAATTCTTGTATAAAGTATAAACAACCAACGGGGTCTAGTCCAATTAAAAAATGCCTTAACTTACATACATGAGGTCTCAAATTCGAAGCCCATAACACTTATTTGTGTGTGTATGAGAGAAACTCAGATTTAAACCCCCTCTCTTTCCCGTAGTTTAGACTATAGTTTGTCCTAAAAAAAAAGGGAGTTTCACTAAAACACTCAAAATGGGGGTTGAAATTATAAAAAAACCCAAGCACTATTTAAACATATAAACACACCCAAAACCCATCATTACACATACTCAAAACCCATTTATAAACACACCCAAAAAGTTGACTTTGGAGTTGATTTTGGGTGTCTATCTATGTTTAAATAGTACTTGAGTTTTTTTATAAATACATGTCTAGGATTGAGTTTATTTATAAATTTGTAAAAAAAATATAAACAAAACAACTGCACCTGCTATAAAAAATTAAAAATAAAAAAAGCAAGAAAAAGAAGAGAGGGACCAAAACCCTTGAGAGATTGACCCCGCTCATTTCTCCAATTCACAGTCTCACTCTGCTCGTGTCTGCAAATAATGGCTCGAGAAGATTTAGACCTCGGTGCTCTAAACCATGCTCTGAGCTCTGCTCAAATTTCGAAAGACAAAGAACCGGCTGCTCCCAGCTACTACAGCAACGAAGACGATGCTGGTGGCCTGCAGATCACGTGCTTCACTGAAGTCGTCAACGATACTACTTTCCACTTCCAAATCATGCGCCTTCCCAAGCAGGTTATCTTCCTTACCCTCCTCCCTCTTTCAATTCAATTTTTGTTGTTGAAGTTTTTGGCCATTTTGATGTTGAATTGAACTGTCCAAGTCGAAATTGAGCAAGAAAATTCGTTAAATTTATAATCTTTTTGGCTTAGAAAAATCTAGGCGGATTATTTGCATACATGGTCAATTAATTTTGACAAGTTTGAACAAATTTTGAATTGGGTAATAATTTCTCATTGTTTTGAGTGTAGATATATGCATGGATTGGCTGCAACTCTGCAAAATTGGGACATTTGTATGCAGCAGCACCCATGAGACCTGTAAGTTGATAATTTAGCTTTTGTTTCCTCTTCAATTGATCTCTCTTTACATTGGTGATTTCTTTTGCATCCATGACTTACACAGAACAGTACAGTGGGTGTTACATCCATACTTGGTGGGGCTTCTGATAATACAGGGTCGAGCATTGCTCGAAGATTAGGTAAATTATCGATCTATGTTTAGATAAGTTTGAGTTTATCATTGTGTTTTCTTTTCGTTTCCGGTTCCATGGTCTGACATGCCGGGGTTCTTGCAGTTTTAAAGACGGGACTGAATATAATTCTGGCTTGCAACATTCCTAAGAATAGCCCCATGATTGAGGTCTGTGCTCAATCTTAAACACCTACAGAAACACACGTGAACTTGAGACTGTGATGTGTGTTTCTTTATCATTTGCATATATGCAGGACAGGGTTGTTCATTTAAAACCTTTTGTTAGTTATTTTCACTGAATAATTTGCTCCCCCTTTTTGGTATTTCAGGCAGATGCTGAAAAGTTGTTGGTTCAGAAGCTAATCAGTCTTGGGTACACAAGGCCAAAGGCAGAAGGATTGTCTTCATAGTTGAGGTTTTTCTGAACCTGCTGTTTATCAGGAATGCATACTAGTCTGATTATAGTCGTCAAGCTAACACTTTTTCCGCCATGTTGTGCTTAAACAAGTATCAATTATGTGGGGGGTCTGAGACAGTTGATCAAGATTGTGTTCTGATTGCAAAGTGCTGAGTCAATTGAAATATGATTTTTGATGTTTGGCAGGAGTGTAATGACGAGCATAGTTTTGTAGCATTTGGTGATTGGTTCTGTTTCTTTTAGATTTTTGCCTATGATTGCAAAGTATTTAAGAAAGCAACCCAAACTTGTGAGTTTCAAGCATAGTTTTGCAGTACAGTGATTTGGGGATCGTTTGGAGTGATTTGGATGGGCCAATAATCACTTCTATGTAGAATCACTTTTAAGTGGTTTAAAGTGATCTTATAGAGAAGCAAATGGAAGGGAGGTGCTTCACCCCATAATGGCTTAAAATCACTGTATTATTGTAACCCTTATGAAATTATTTTGCTTTGCTGCTTTGGTTATCCCCCACTCCGTCACTCTTGTTGGAGCTTGCTTGGTGTTTTAAAGTTTTTTCTCACTCAAAATTCTCAGTTAGTCAATTCCATATGCATCATAAAATAAACACCTTTTGTTTCTTTTAAATTATTTTTCTAATATAAACTATAAATACCAAAACCCTAAACACAAAATGATTTACCCTAGACCCGAAGGGAACATTGTGACCACTCTCTGTAAGGATTCTATTAAGCCTAAAATTCAATGTAAATAGGCCGCACCAATTTTACCAAAATTTCATTTATTTTCTAAAGTTGCACATAAAAGATGAACTTTGAAGTGCAAAATGTTGGTTGTTGAAGGAGGATATTCCAAAGATGAACTTATTTCGTATAATTTGTTAGTAAAACTTAACATGTTCATGTTCTCAAAATTTAACGTGCCCGCAATTCACAACAGGATATTGTGTTATAAACTCAAACTCATATAATAAATGTAATATAATATAAATAAAACATCTTGACATACCTTAAAAAAATTATATCTAATAATAACACATCAAATAACAAAACCCCACTCCGCACCCGAGTTTAAATCTCTCTCCCTTAGAAGGAAAATAACAAAACCCTATAACATGTCACCAAATCATTTACATCCAAAAAATAAAAATACATGGACAAAAGATTTTTCAAAAAGAAAAGAAAAACAAATTGATATATATCCATATACAACAACCCGATAAGGCTCTAGCTTAGTAAAAGAGTCTTTCTTGGATACATATAAATGGGAAAAGATCTTATACTCTCCTGAAAGTAGGCCACTTTCCATGCCTTTCGTTCTTTCTAATCGCTCAAACCTTTTCCTTCACTGACTTAAGAGACTGATCTGGAGGAATTGGTTAGCCTAATTAATCAGATTTTCTATCAATTAATCTTCTGCGTCAGCAAGTTTGGTGGTCAAATTTAACTGCCATGGCTACTCTTAATCTTAAGTTTGAGCCAGATGCTGCAGGTACGTAAGACAAACGAGTATATGGGAGCTGGGGGTGCCAAGGCAGCATCAGACCTACAGGAATGACAGAGCATGCATGCGTGTATATACATATATATATACACCACGCATTGTATTTCAATGATCCGAACTGTCTAGTTTTTAGATATTCCTCTAGTGTTGTTGCCATTAATCAATTAATGTTTAATTACTGCATTGCAGGGGTTTCAACACCATTTTCAAATTCACCGCCAACTCATTACATCCTAAAAGTAGAGTCCTTTTCGTCTTTAGAGAGGCATTCAGCGGGTAGATATGAGTCAGGGCAGTTCGATGCTGGAGGATACAAATGGTAAATTGTTTTTCTCATCTACTACTTAATTAGATATACCTTTGTGATTTGATTTCATTAATTTTCAGCATATATATGAATAATATTATTATTATTTTTTCATGTTTGGTCACTGCAGGAAACTGGTGGTGTACCCAAATGGATACAAGCAGAAGAATGTGGATGACCACATCTCTGTCTACCTAGAAATGGCTGGAGCAGATTCACTTCAGACTGGTTGGGAAGTATTTGTTGATTTTAGATTGTTTTTACTTGATCAGAATAAGGGAATCTACTTGGTTCTTCAAGGTATGCATACATGATACATCTTCTATCTGTTTGAAAAGAATTCTCAATGCATCCATTCAGCAGATATAGACCAGTTCTTGTGTTGCTTTGCTCATGATGTTTTCGTTTTTTTTTCGCTTATCAGATGCTAATCTAAACAAGATGTGCTTGCACGGGGCGATGTTTGAAGTGGGTTTCGATAGAGTTATCCCTCTGAATGCATTTACTGATTCTTCCAACGGCTATCTGATTAATGATACTTGTGTGTTTGGAGCCGAGGTCTTTGTTTGTAAAGAAAGAAGAGCTGGCAAAGCAGAACGCCTGTACACGATCAACAGTGCTATGTACAAGCATCCTTGGAAGGTTTATATACCTTTAAAGTTCAGACCTGAACTCTTGGAATCAAAGCCATTCTTTGCTGGAGGACAGACATGGTAGGTATCTTTGATCATATTAAGCTTTGTTATTAACTTATTGTTTAATTACTTCTGGTTTTAATGCAATTTTATTTGTTGGTGGTTTGCAGGAAGATACGTCTCTATCCCAAGGGATATGACAAAGGAAAGGATACTCATGTTTCTGTTTACTTAAAATTGGCTAATCCAGAACCTGCCTCCAAAATACTTACAGAGTTTACTCTGCGCATCGTTGATCAATTGAATGGCAAGCATTTTTTTTGTAAAGGTAAGCATGTGGTCTAACCTAATGCTATATAATATATATTGCTATGAGGGGTTCTTCTCTGTAATTTTTGCTTCTTTTACTTCCCTCCTTTCAATTTATTTCTGAAACCCTAATTAGCCCTTTTGTTTTTGTTTTAATTTTGTGTTCTTGCAGGTTGTGAATGGTTCTGTGCCTTGAGACCCTCTTTCGGTTTCTCTAGGTTGATTGCATTTGACATTTTGAAACAGTTAGACAAGGGTTTTTTGGTGAAGAGCAATTGCTTAGTGGAGGCAGAGGTCACCGTCTATGGAATTTTTACAGCATTGTAGTCAGCTAAAGCTTGTCCTAACAGCCACTTGCTGTTGCTGTCAAACAGAAACGTTTGTCCAATTCAATATTGGCAACACAACAACAGGATATAATGATCCTTATTTGAAGTTGTTTTCTGGTGCTTCTTTAAACAACACACTTTGGTGTTAGTTTCTATTTGCAAATTAGAATTTTATCATTTGTATGTCTACATTTTGAGCTTTGCTAAGCAAGTCGGAAGGAGAGTCTATACTTCACTGCTCTGCATGTGGTTTGGTTTTTTTTTTTTCTTTTTTCTCCTTGTTTGTTTTTTTTTTTTTTTTTTTTTTTTTTTTTTTTTTTTTTTTTTTGTTTTATATAAAAAATAAGTTTGAAGAAATTTGGTTGGGTGAAACTAACTCTAAATACCAAAAAAGAATAATCGTAAACCCAAAAAAAACTTTGTAGCCACTCTCTATGAGGATTCTTTTGGGGATGGGGCATTCGAATGCATGACCTCATGCGTATGAATAATTGTTCTTAACCACTTGAGCTATAATAACTTAAATTGTTTCTAATAGGCCCTCATGCGTACGAATAATTGTTCTTAACCACTTGAGTAATAACCTAAATTGTTTCTAATATGCCGCTCTAACTTTACTAGAATGAATGAAAGAATAAATAATTCCATTTATTTGCTAAAGTTTTTCCTCAAACAGAAAAAATAAAATAAATATTTTGAGTCTTAAACTATACAAATGCCGCTGATCCATGCAGTTAATTTGCATTGATTGTTAAAAAATTCTTGTAAGATATTGCATTTTAAAGAATGAACTTTGAGCAGACATGACCTTAGCCGAGTGTGTTAGAGTGGATGTACTTCCCACTTTGTATCCGAGTTCGAATTCTCATCCGCGTAGTTTAGATTAGTTTAAAGTAGATTTTCGCTTATAAATATAAAAAAAGAATAAACTTTGAAGTGCACCTACGTAATCTGAAAATGTTCATTGTTGCAAGAGGATGCTGCTCTATCCAAAAGGGAAAAGGCATTGCAAACAATAGTAATCTTATTTCCGAAAATTTAACGTGTTTCAAATTCCATAGTGAGTTTTTGTTTGTTTGTTTTTAGTACAAGCGATAGTCTAAACTAGAGGAGGAAAAGTTTATCATACACACACTACCATGGTGCCATGGGATTTTGAATTTGAGACTATTGATCTGCAAGTTAAGACCATTTTCCACCAAGCTGTTTATGCTATGTTACATTCATCAATGTGAAATTATTTTTAACTCCAAACCAAACAGTTAACTTATCGCATCCAAATTTATAAACTCAGACTCATTCAAACTTTTAACAAAATATGAAAAATTTCCCAACAATGTGCAAGTATAACATTAATAAAACATCTTCAAATACCTTTTGACCAAAAAAAAAAAATCACTGAAAAATAAACTATAGACAATATATTTCAAAAAGAAAAGAAATATGGTATCAGAGTAGAGGATAAACTATAAGAAGAAGAAGGAACTAGAAAGAATACAAGAAAGCTCTGGAATTTCTTATTTCTGTAACAAACTCATTAACAGACTAACACATCTGACTATTTACTTGACAGCTCAGCAACTAACTAGCCTAACCACTAGGTGTATTTAACACGTGATCCTCTTGATTATATTCTAACACATTTATGTCACTGTTTTTTATTTATTTATTAAGAAACTTGTCATCACCTCTCGTTAGGATCCAGACCCAATAATTTAATTAAATAGTCGTATTAATAAAGCAGTGTCAGATAATATGAGGAATAATCTTTGAATATATAAAATCGTATTCCTATCGGAAAAGCACTCTAATCTCTCCTCCATAACTACTGTCTTTCTATAGAAGGAAGATTGGTGGTCAATTGCCATGGATAGTCTTGAGTTTGAGCAAGATGGTAAAATTTAATTCTTTTTCTCAACCTATGCGCTTGTTTTGAACTTTCGTGTAAGGAGACGGGTAATGCTGTGGCCAATTGGTTTAACCCACATTTGCGAGATAGTTCTACATATACGTACCTTCTAGTGTTGTTTCCATTAATTAATAAAATGTTTATTGTTGCGTTGCAGGGGTTTCAACACCATTTTCATATACACCGCCAACTCACTACACTCTAAAAATAGGGTCATTTTCGTTGCTAAAGAAGCATTCAGCGGATAGATTTGAGTCGGGGGAGTTTGATGCTGGAGGATACAAATGGTAAATCGTTTTTCTAGTCTGCTAGTTATTTTTTTCATTTTGGTCATTGACTGGGTCTATATTGAGATGCCCCTATTATTTTTTATGTTTGATATCACTGCAGGAAACTGGTGGTGTACCCAAATGGATACGAGAAGAAGAATGTGGAAGACCACATCTCTGTCTATCTAGAAATGGCTGGAGCAGAATCACTTGAGACTGGTTGGGAAGTATTTGTTGATTTTAGATTGTTTTTACTTGATCAGAATAAGGGAATCTACTTGGTTCTTCAGGTATACATACATACATACATATTATCTATCTGTTTGAAATTAATTCTCATATATCTTGTGTTGCATGAATTGCTCATGATCTTCTAATTTTGTTTGCTTATCAGATGCTAATCTAAAGAAGATGTGCTTGCACGTGGCGATGCTCGAAGTAGGTTTCGATAGAGTTATCCCTCTGAAAGCATTTGCTGATGCTTCCAATGGCTATCTCATGATGATACTTGTGTGTTTGGAGCCGAGGTCTTTGTTTGTAAGGAAAGAAGAGCGGGCAAGGCAGAGTGCCTACCAAGGATCAACAATGCTGTTATTGTATCAGAAGAAAACAATGATTTTATGAACAAGCATGTTTGGAAGATTGAGGAATTTTCAAAGTTAAAACCCGAACCCTTGGAATCAAAACCATTCAATGCTGGAGGGCAGACATGGTAGGTATCTCTCTCTGATGATGATTAAGCCTTGTTAATTATTTAATTAATTTGTTGGTGGTTTGCAGGAAGATACAGCTCTTTCCCAAGGGAGATAGCCATGGAAAGGATACTCATGTTTCTCTTTACTTAACATTGGCTAATCCAGAAAAGCTATCTACTGCCTCCAAAATACTTGCACAGTTTACTCTTCGCATCGTAGATCAATTAAACGCCAAGCATTTTTTTCGTCAAGGTAAACATGCACCTAATAGTCTGTTTTATTTTCTCTTTCTTCTCAATCCTGATTAGTCTGTCTTATTTTCTTTTTGTGTGCTTGCAGCTAGTAATTGTTTCAGAGCCTCGAGTCCGTCTTGGGGTTGGTCTAATTTCATTATGTTGGGCTTTTTCAAAGAGAGAGACAAGGGTTATTTGGTGATGAATACTTGCGTAGTCGAGGCAGAGGTCACTGTCCGCTCATAACGAAAACATATCATGCTATGTGGTGCTACCATCAAACCAAAACGTTTCTTCCATTCATTATTGGCAACACAACATGATATAATGATCCTTATTTGAAATTGTTTTTTTTGGTGCTTCTTTAAACAAAGAGACTTTTGGTGCTTCATGTGTGCGGTTGAATTAAATGTTGTAAAGTTTTCTACTTGCAAATTAGAATTTTATCATGTTTGTATGTTTACTTTTGAGCTTTGCTAAGCGAGTCGGAAGGAGAGTTACTACTTCAACTGCTCTGCACGTGGTTTGTGTTTCTAATAAGAAAGTTAGGGGTTATTAGGTATGGCGTACTGTCCTGGATTGGACTAAATCCTAGGACTGTCTTGGATTAGCTCGGATTGGCCTAAGCATGATTAAGTATTAACCTATATTTGGTGTTGCGTTGGACTAAGAAGCTAGATTGTAAAAATAGTGAAAACCTATATTTGGTGTTGTGTTGGACTAAAAAATAATTCTTATAATATTTAAATTTAATTAGGGATTTTGACCTAAAAAATATTGATATTTAATTGGGGATGATGTGTGAAAAAAATAATAACAAAATCTTTGAAAATATATAAAATTAAAAAAAAAAAAAAAAAAAAAAAAAGAGATTTTATTGGCACCCCATTATTTGCTCTTTTGCATCCCATACTAATTTTAAACATGAATAACCTATTTTACCCTTATACATAATTACCGTTAAGGACAACAAACATTTAAAATAAAAATTAAATTTGTTCACTATACCCCACATATGTTTCTGCAACCCTAGTTAGACTTTTTCTCAAACCATCATGGTCCTACAACCCTCACGAGGTTTATACGCTTATGCTATTACAAACATGGGGTCTGTGTTGCTTGGTATTGATCTAGGTGTTATGGAACCAAATTATTCGGTTTCGACTGCTTGTGCTACTAATCTATTTCTATGCTGCTGCAAATCACATTTGTTGAGGTGAGGTTGATTTGATGACTGCTGATGAAACCGAAGCTTCCTTAATTCCCATTGGCAATGAGAATTTGCTTGAATTAATAATTAAAGGATATTTTAGAAATAATGGTGGGTGGAAAAATAAGATTGTGTTTTTTCGAATTTACATGTTTGGTGGGGAAATAGGATAAGGGGGTGGAAATAGCAGAACTCTATATTTTTTGGTAATTTTATATTAGGGTAAATTAGTCATTCAATAAAATATTTGATAATATGGTGTGCTTAGTTAATTTTAGGGTTCGTTTTTACATCTTACATTGCTAATAAGCTCTTTTTTATTTGAGAGTTTCACATATAAGCCCATAAATAGGACCTTAAATTATGCAAAAATCATACGATACTCAAGTTATAGGAAAAGCCCAATCTTGTCACCTTTACGATGGATCAAACCCCTTAAAGCCCAATCTATTTAATTTAATTTAATGTAATTTAATTCAATTAAGGAGTCGTATTAGTAAAGCAGTGTCAGATATAAAAATTACCATCGGAAAAGAACTCTTCTCTCCTCCAAGAAAATAGGTTTCAGCGATTAGACCCACCTCCATAACTTTCTTTCCAATCATCGCTGAAGCTTTTTTCTTGATCAAATTTCTGGCATCAACCTGTATCTATAGAAGGAAGTTTGGTGGTCAATTTAATTGCCATGGCTAGTCTTGAGTTTGACCAAGATGGTACGTAACATCTACTTATTTTTGTCTCTATCTATGTATGAGCTTGTGTTGAAGAAACTACTCAAGCCTTAAAAGGAAGTTCCATTTTATTTTGTTTTAAAAAATATTAATAATAGTCTAGTTTATGTTAAATTAATTTAACTTACGGGAAGAGAAATTCGAACTTAGGTGCAAATGAGTGGGCAATGCTAACTTAACCTACATTTGCGCAAAAAGACGTTCTATAGCATACATGCATGTATTTATATACGAACATATGTATATATACCTTCTAGTGCTGTTGCCATTAATTTATAAAATGTTTAATTGTTGCGTTGCAGAAGTTTCAAGACCATTTTCAGATTCACCGCCAACTCATTACTCTCTAAAAATAGAGTCGTTTTCGTTGCTAAAGAAGTATTCGGCGGATAGATTTGAGTCAGGGGAGTTTGATGCTGGAGGATACAAATGGTAAATCATCGTTTTTTCTAATCTGCTAGTTAATTATGTATACCTTGTGATGTGAATAAAAATAACATTTTGGTCATTGACTGGGTCTATATTGAAAATGCCCCTATTATTTTTTATGTTTGATATCACTGCAGGAAGCTGGTGGTGTACCCAAATGGATACAAGAAGAAGAATGTGGAAGACCACATCTCTGTCTATCTAGAAATGGCTGGAGCAGAATCACTTGAGACTGGTTGGGAAGTATTTGTTGATTTTAGATTGTTTTTACTTGATCAGAATAAGGGAATCTACTTGGTTCTTCAGGGTATACATACATACATACATATTATCTATCTGTTTGAAATTAATTCTCATATATCTTGTGTTGCATGAATTGCTCATGATCTTCTAATTTTGTTTGCTTATCAGATGCTAATCTAAAGAAGATGTGCTTGCACGTGGCGATGCTCGAAGTAGGTTTCGATAGAGTTATCCCTCTGAAAGCATTTGCTGATGCTTCCAATGGCTATCTCATTGATGATACTTGTGTGTTTGGAGCCGAGGTCTTTGTTTGTAAGGAAAGAAGAGCGGGAAAGGCAGAGTGCCTACCAAGGATCAACAATGCTGTTATTGTATCAAAGGAAAACTATGATTTTCTTCATAAAAAAGAAAACAATGATTTTGTGAACAAGCATGTTTGGAAGATTGAGGAATTTTCAAAGTTAACACCTGAACGCTTGGAATCGAAACCTTTAAATGCTGGAGGGCAGACATGGTAGGTATCTCTCTCTGATGATGATTAAGAGCATCCACAATGGGCTCCCTAAACCATCTCTTTAGACAAATTTCATGGAGGAATTGTAAAAATGCAACTCCAACCATGCTCCCTATTCGCCTCCTAAAATAAGGAGTCCTCTAGGAGTTCCTAAATCTGAGGAGAGAGAAAGGACTCCTAGTAGCTCCTTATAATTTAATGCTGGCTTTATTTAATGAGTATTTCAAACCTTTATTTAATTCGAACTATTTTTTATTTTATTTTTTAATAGAGATGGACCAATAAAAAAAGAGTTATAGCATTTATGACTCTCCAAATTAGGGAGTATGGTTGAAGTTGAAATTTTTTAGAGAGCTCCTAAAATAGCTTTCTTAGAACATCCACAATGATGCTCTCTATTTCTTAGCTAAAATTTAGCTAAAAATATAAGAAAGCTATTTTAGGAGCTCTCTAAAAAATTTAACTCCAACCATACTCCATAATTTGGAGACTCATAAATGCTATAACTCTTTTTTTATTGGTCCATCTCTATTAAAAAATAAAATAAAAAATAGTTAGCATTAAATAAAGGTTTGAAATACTTAATAAATAAAGCAACATTAAATTATAGGGAGCCACTCGGAGTCCTTTTTCTCTTTTCAGATTTAGGAGCTCCTAAAGGACTCCATATTTTAGGAGGTGGATAGGGAGCATGGTTGGAGTTGCATTTTTACAATTCATCTCTAAAATTTGTCTAAGGATGTGGTTTAGGGAGCCCATTGTGGATGCTCTTATATTTTTAGCTAAATTTTAGCTAAGAAATAGAGAGCATCGTTGTGGATGCTTAAGTCTTGTTAATTATTAATCTAATTAAATTTGTTGTTTAATAATTCTTCTGCTTTAATTAATTTGTTGGTTGTTTGCAGGAAGATAGTCCTCTATCCCAAGGGAGAGGACAAAGATAAGGGATACTCATGTTTCTCTTCTCCTAAGCGAGTTGAGGAGAGTAAGTGTGTCGAAAGGAGAGTCGCTACTTCACTCCTTAACACACGGTTTATGTTTATGTTTTCGATGAAGTTAGGACCCATCTGGTAACATTTCTTGAAATCATTTCTGAAAAATGTTTTGGTAAAATAAAACCAAAAAATGAATTCGTACTTTAAGATCCAAGTTAAGTTTTAGAGAACAAAAACATAGTATACACGTTTTTGATATTCTAGGTATGGAAAAAGAATGATGAAAACATTGACAAAATCACAAATGATATATATGCAAACAAAACATAACATGTCCTGCTGAAATACCAATTTCTAAATCACAAAACTCATATTTTCTTGCCTTGCACCAAAACTATTTCCTTTTTGTTGTGAAGAAAAGCCCATATTTGCCCTATTCAAAATTAAAATTTCAACAGAATTTATTCATCTTTCAATAATTAAAAAAAATGAAAATAAAAAAGTCCCAGCTTTTTCCAGATCTTTGGTGCCTCTTTAATGAAACCTTCTGGTATTTTTGAGAAAGGATTGTGTGGTCTGTATGGAGGTTGAAGAGAGAATTTTCATAGAAGCAAAAGCAGAGCAAACTAATAGAGAGAGAGAGAGAGAGAGAGAGAGAGAGAGTTCTAATATATTTAATTAAGATTTTAAAAGAGTTAAATGGAGTTATAAAGTTTGTAGAGTTCAATATAGTTCAATTGATTTCTATAAACTCCACATAGAGTTTGATTGAATTCCTAGATTGATTTTAATGGTGTTTGTTAGAGTTTTATCATAGATTTTAAAAGAGTTGATTAGAGTTCTAAATTTATTTTTTTTTTTTTTTTTTTTTTTTTTTTTTGGTTGTTTTTTTTTTGTTTTTCTAAAAGAGAAAAGTACCTTTACAAAAACATTTTGTAAAGAACTTCTAAACCATATACATCCAAAGAAAATAAAAAAAGAGAGCATCTATTTTGTTCAAATGTGCAACCAAATAAGGATTTGTGTCTGGATGTTTATGAAAAATGTGGCAAAAGTAAAAACATAAAAGTAATTTTATGACCCAAAAAAAGGAAAAAAAGAAAAGTAAACTATAATTCTAAATGCATAAAAACAAATAAGTATATGCTTCATTGCTCATCTTTGACTCCCGTCATTCATAAAGAAGGAAAAGTAGAAAAAGCGTAGAAAAATTACAACTGATCATTTGATGCACAACAATAAATATGATGATGATGTAGTACTGTTCATCGATATATGATGATGGCAACAATAACTATTCAAGAAACACCAACTATTCATATGTGCATCGAATACAGACTACTCCTCATATCCAAGGCACAACAACTATTCAATCAACAACAATTGCTTGGACATATGATGATGTATAGCAACAACAATTATTCAAGCACTGGATTGGATATCATACATATATGAATAGCGTAGAAAAAGAGGAGATTCTTTTACCTCCACTTGAATAGTGTGGATTGGATATCAACAATTATTCGAACTCTTTTAAAATCTTTCAAAATCTTAATTGAATACATCCCCAAATTTGTGGGAAGGGAGAGTGAAAATAATTCCGCAAAAAGAAGCAAATGTTGTTAGTTTCCTGTGTTTTCTAAATTGGAATTTGGAATCACGGGAACGTCTTTTGGATGTTTTTCAACTATAGACAAAAGATTTTTTAAGAAGAAAAGAAAAACATTGATATATTCAATGCACCTCGTTACGATCAGAGCCAATAAGCTAGTCGTAACAATACTGGTAACACACCTCATGCGACATGATATTACCATCAAACAAAAACGTTTGTCCAAAAAAATCATTGCAATTCAATATTGGCAACACAAGATGATTTAGTAATCCTCATTTGAAATTGTTAACCAACTTTGGTGCTTCATGTATGCGGTTGATTTTATTTTGACTTAAATGTTGTTAGTATTTTTTTTAGAAGGACTTAAATGTTGTTAAATGAGAACTTTAGTTCCTACTTGCAAATGGGAACTTTATCATTTTTTTCTGTTTAGTTTTTGGCCGTGTGACTGTTTCTTTACTGTGTACGTAGTGAGTTGGTTGTGCATTTGAAATTGATCTCACAACCATGTTGGCAACACAACAAGAAGATATCCATGATGAAGTGGAAGTTTAAATTGTTTAAATTAATTAATATTCAATTAATTAAGAAAGAAGAACTGACAAAGGAGAGTCTATATCAATGATCAAGAATGCCGTTATGTACAAACATGTTTGGAAGATTGAGAACTTTTCAAAGTTAGTTCAGAACCATTCACCGCTGGGTATCAGAAATGGTATATCTTTTTTTGGGTTAATGACCTAAATGGTCCCCCAACTATTGCTCCATTATCATTTTGGTTCACCAACTAAAATTTTCAATTCAAACGTCCTTAAACTTTTTATTTTGTACCAAGATAGTCCATCCGTGACAGATTCCGTCACGCAATGGCCACGTGACTGAGTTTTGAAGGGTATATGCAACTTTTTGAGAAGCTCTATTGAAGGGTACGTATGACTGAAATGGTCCATCAACTATTGCTCCAGTATCATTTTGGTCCACTAACTAAAATTTTCATTTGAACCGTCCTTCCACTTTTTTTTTTGCATCAAGATGGTCCTATCGTTAAAGTCCGTCAATTTTATTGTTATTTATTTTTGTATTTATCTTATTTTAAAATTTTTAATTAATTTAAACAATAGAGAAAAAAATATTACTTTTTAAGTCCATGTCATAAAAAAAAAAGCCATGTTTGTGGTGAGATTCAATTTTTTCAATTTTAAAATTAGGTACAAGTTCCTATAATATTTTCCTTTAATTTTTAATTATTGTTTACTCTTTAAAAAAATTTGTTTTATTTATGTGATTTTAATTAATTTAAACAATAGAGAATTTTATTATTATTAATTGTTAGGTCAGTATCACGAAAAAAAAAGCCATGTGGCTAGTGAGATTTAATTTTTAAAAATTTTCTAAGTTTTATAATAGTTTCCTTTAATTTTTAATTATATATTACTATTTTAATTCATAGAGACATTTTTACTCATCAATTTAACAATAAAATTGACAGACTTTAACAGTAGGACCAAAAAAAAAAAGTTGAAATGAAAATAATTTAGTTGGTGGACCAAAATGATATTGGAGCAATAGTTAGGGGACCATTGGGATCAATAACCCTTTTAGAGGATACCTAAAAATACGGGTTTGTCCCTCGATTTCACGGAATAATATACAAACTTTGACAGATGGACCATCTTGGTACAAAATAAAAAGTTTAAGGACGTTTGAATTGAAAATTTTAGTTGGTGGACCAAAATGATAATAGAGCAATAGTTGGAGGACCATTTAGGTCATTAACCCATCTTTTTTTTTAATAGAACAATGGATTAGGCGAGATTGGCTCCTCAGTATCGGTCATCGGATGAACAAAACATCCACCACCCTTGAAGAAGGGACCAACACATTCCGGGAGGGCCCCGCCCGTCCCCTTGATCATAATTTTATTAATAAGAAAACATAAAGAAATATAAGAACAGTAGGAGGGACCAAACCAAAACCCTGCATAAAAGAAAGACAGTGACTGAAAGGCACAACAACATGCTGACTTAAGAGACTAAAACTCTGATTGGTTCTCTTATTAATATCCTTCTTTAAGGGGCTGCTTTTAATTTTGATGCACACTGATATATCTTTTTACCTACATGAAAACGAAAATAATTACCTTTATTAGTTAATGATAATTTTCCCCTAACAGAACTACAAATGAAGATATTTTGTGATTTGGGAAGGTATGCAATTTGAAATGCATACCTTTTTGCCTGAAATTCTGATGTGGCACTTAAGCTTGCAATTGTAAAACGTATACAAAATGATCACACCAGAACAAGCAGAGTCAAAAAGTATACAAAAAACAAAAACAAAATCCTAACAACAGTTCAATGCACATGCCAAAATCAAGAAAATCGAGTAACAATGGGTCCACTTACATATGGGTTGACAACCTCCAGATTCTCTAAGCACCACCATCTTCGCACCTTCTAGCCTTAAAGTCTAACGCCAAACAATGATTTCTTCTCCAAATTCTCCCAAAATCGAAAGAACCCTTAGATTTTGACAACAACCCTCTTCTCCAATGAACCCTAAACCCAATTTCCCCTTTGTTACAAACTGAGAAACCCTTATTCGAACAGCTTAAAGGTTAAAACGAAGTGGGGCCCACTGTTCGTAACGGACCGTCAAAAAATTTGACAGAGGGGGTAAATTGAGACGGTTATTTATACGTTGGGGGGTACTTTGAGACGTTTTCCACCACAGGTGGTAATCTGAGATAAACTTAAAAGCACATGGGGCATGTACATAATTAAGCCTTATTTTTGTAATACTTTTTTTCCTTGAATTTCGTTTATCAATAACAGTAGTTTAGAAAATACACATTTAGCAAACGTATAATACATGTACGTATGTATGTTTCATGTCTATAAATACACGTGTTTTTTTTACAAATTTTCAATTTCAAACAAAAGATTTATGGGTATGGTAGTAAGAGAGAATGTAGTATCCTTCATGTAAAGTGTTGTTTGAAAAGTGAAGCATAAGCAAAAGCATGCATGCCATGTCCTAAATTCCTATGTGCCGTATCAAATAAAAAATGCTTCTCTACATGTCTTTAACATATGAATGTATAAAATACTATTATAATAGTATAGCCGCATGGCTATACATAAGGCTCTTTAATTTTTTTAAATAAATAGTATAGCCGAGCGGCCGTACCATTCTTTTTATACGTAGAACGATGCATTCATATGTTAAAGACATGTAGAGAAGCATTTTGTAATTGATACGGCACATAGGATTTTAGGACAAGGCGTGTTTTTGCTTATGCTTCACTTTTCAATCAACACTTTACATTTAGAATACTACATTCTCTCTTTGTTTGAAATTGAAAAATCTGTATAAACAAATGTGTATTAGACATGAAACATACGTATGTACATGTATTGTACGTTTGCTTTTTTAAAAACATGTATTTTCTAAACTACTCTTATCAATAAATGAACTTCAAGGAAAATAAAAATAAAAAACAATAAAGAACCCCTATAGCCACACGGCTATACTATTTATTTATTTTTTTTAAAACACAAGTATAGCCGGTTGGCCATACTATTTATAAGAGTACAGCCGAGCGGCTATAAGATTTATTATAAAAAAAAATTCAGTTTAGCTGCGCGGCTGTACTATTTAATTATAATAGTATTTTAGACATAGAAGGATGCCTTCATATGTTAAAGACATATAGAGAAAGCATTTTGTATTTGATACGGCACATAAGAATTTAGGATAATGCATGCTTTTGCTTATGCATCACTTTTCAAACGACACTTTACATGAAGAATACTACCTTCTCTCTTACAATTATACCCATAAATCTTTGTTTGAAGTTGAAAAATTTGTACGTACATGTATTGTACATTTGCTTTTTTAAAAACATGTATTTTCTAAACTACTCTTCCAATCTTCAGGTTTGCGTTCTTCCTCTAATTGCCCCACATCTTCTTCATCTTCCAATCTCCAGATCTTGCATACCAGGTGTGTTACAAGTATTTTAAGCTTTAGCTAGCTCTAATGCTAGCAAGTCCATGGACAGTGACCTTTGCCTCGACCAAGCAAGTATTATTCACCAAATAACCCTTGTCTAACATTTTGAAATTTCCAGCTCATTTAAATCAAACTCCTATATGTAGTTCAGACAAGTTCTGACTGCAGATATCTCTGACAAATCCTCATCGGACACTTCCTGCATTGTCTCAAGTAGATTTCAGTTCTATAAGATAAGGTTTGTTTATGTCCGATAAGGCTTTTCCTGGCTTTATTTGGACCTTTCTTTACTTTATTTAAGTTCATTGCAGTCCCTTTGGACTTGTATTTACTTTCCAGCAATTGTACTGTGTCCATCAGACACTTCTCATTCAAGATATGTTATTTTACTTTCTGTCCAATGACAGTCTAAAATCATCATCCATCCTGCTTTTATTCCATAACAAGTGAAATATTGAAGTCCTCTTCATTGAGGCACATAAAAGAACCTATCTAAAGCCAGATTCCCCTCTTTAGAGAATAGTTGCTTTGGTTAGAGGTTAAGATCACATGAGTGCAATACATTCACAACATTATCACCACTCTACCCCTTCTTTCTACTAGTAGTATCACTAGTAGTGGCACGCGTATTGCAATTCACCATAGAGCAGCTTTTGAGCCCACTTCAGGGCCCATATCTATCTCATTTCACTTCCTTCACCAACAAGTAACAGCTAGTTGCCAAAGTACAGCCTACTAGCAGCATGGGGCATCACAGTGTTCAAAACATCACAAACATATTTTTGGCACGTCCGATGGGATCACTTGTATGGTCAGTAAAACTCGCAGGAAAATCTATCTGGGAGATACTTCTCCTACTCCAATGGATCCTCCTCATGAAAGCAATGTTGACGCTGTGGGAATTGAAGATAAGGATGTTCAAGCAATGCAGCCTAAACTGACTCTAATGGAACAACTAATGGTCAAAATGTTAGAGAAGATGGACAATAACACCAAGGCTATCTAGAGCCTAGAGGAAGATTGCGTTCGCGCAATAGCTTCCCTAATCTGAGAGAAAGATAGCCCATAGAGGACCAACCTGACCTCACAGCCCTTTGGAATGCCTGTGGGAACGTCAACTTGGTATCTAGGCCATAACAGTGGCATAGGAGCTCTCGATCTAAGTCCTCCTCATTTATCTATTCTAAATACTAGACCGATCCTAGGTCCGAATGTGCTGGAAAACACAGAAGCTATTGTTTAGGCAAATAATGGCAAGGACAAACAAAAAAATTGACGGTGGGGATATTGACAATAAAAGTTAATCGGGGTCCTTAATTTTCTTTATATAAAAAAAAAAAAAAAAAAAAAAAAAAAGTAAATGTGAAAGTTGAAACTTACCACACAAATCAGTGGCAAATCATTAATTAACCCTTTTTTTATTCAATAACAAAATGCAAACTTCTTTTTTCAAATAAATAAATAAATAATTTTATTACAATCATTCTTTTGTACAAGTCCTGAGTATCTACGTATTTTACTAATTTTCTGTACAACCCACATAATTCACAACAAAGTCCCTCATTACAATACCCTCTTCCAATCTTCGGGTTTGCATTCTTCCTCCAATTGCCCTTCATCTTCCAATCTCCAGATCTTGCATACCAGGTGTATTTTAATCGTCAGTTGGCTCTAATAATGCTTTGGCAATTCCATGGACAGTGACCTCGGCCTCGACCAAGCAAGTATTCTTCACCAAATAACCGTTGTCTAACATTTTGAAACTGTCCAATTTAATGAAACAAGGCCAACCCCAAGACGAACTCGAGGCACTGAACCATGCATGATTCACTGCAAGCACACACAAAAAGAAAAAAAAAAAAAAAAAAAAAAGACAGGATTGAGAAGAAAAATTAAAAAGAAAGAGGAAAAAAAAACAAAAGTAAAAGAAGAAATATATATTAGGCCACATGTTTTACATTCCCGACTCTTATCCTTGCCGTTCAGTTGATCTACGATGCGCACAGTACACTCTGTAAGTAATTGGGAGCCAGGAGATAGCTTTTCTGGATTAGCTAATAAACTTAAGTAAACAGAAACATGAGTATTCTCTCCATCGCCATCTCCCTTGGGATAGAGCTCTATCTTCCTGCAACAAGTTTAATTAGATGAATAATTAAGAAGGTTTAATTAAAAATATCATCAGAGATACCTACCATTTCTGCCCTCCTGCAGTGAATAGTTCTGATTGCAAGCATTGGAAAATAATAACGTTGAAAAACTCTCAATCTTCCAACAATGCTTGTTCATAAAAGCCTTTTTGATCCTTGACAGACACTCTGCCTTGCCCGCTCTTCTTTCTTTGCAAACGAAGACCTCGGCTCCAAAAACACAGGTATCATCAATGAGATAGCCATTGGAAGCAACAGAAAATGCATTCAGAGGGATAACTCTATCAAAACCCACTTGGAGCATCGCCCCGTGCAAGCACATCTTGTTCATATTAGCATCTGATAAGCAAGAAAAATCAAGAGATCATGAGCAATGCAAGGATGCATGAGAATTAATTCCAAACAGATAGAAGATGTATAATGAATATATACCCTGAAGAACTAAGTAGATTCCCTTATTCTGATCAAGCAAAAACAATCTAAAATCAACAGATACTTCCCAACCAGTCTGAAGTGAATTTGCTTCTGCCATTTTTAAGTAGACAGAGATGTGGTCTTCTACATTCTTCTTCGTGTTTCCATTTGGGTACACCACCAGTTTCCTGCAGTGAACAAACATTTTTAAAAAAAGACAATAATGCTACTCTTACCTTAATTTTGTTTTTATACCACAATTCTGTACCAATGTGACAGCTAAGTTGGACACGTCATGACTCATGTCATTAAATTTGAGTTACATGTTTTATTGTATTTTCAATTAAAACACGTTTCCTTTCAAAAACAATTTACTACATTGTGAGAACCTGTAAAAAATAATTATTATTATTATTATTCACACTACATATTTATTATTTATTAATATGAATTTTTCTTATTTAAATATTTATTGTGAAGACTTATATGTTATTAGATCTTAAGCCTAGTATGAGAGAGATTAAGGTTTTTTAGGTTTTAGACATAAAAAAATTTTCACTTTTGGAAAAAGCCAAAGCTTTTTCAAAAAAGACAAAAAAACCGCTCAACTTTCAAATCAAAGACATGCAAATGTATTGGATTCCTTAGGAAATCTAAAAATAAATAAGGGCATTTTTGTCCATTTTTGCTTCTTTTAAAATTTTTCTCTCTCCTTTTGCTTTTTCCAAAATGTCCCATGAGATTATTCCTTTTATTTTATTTCATTCAATTCACGCATCCGGGAATATTCTTTATTCTCGGATCAGGTCGTGACATACATGTTCTCCTCAAATGAGATTATATAAAGAAAAGGGGGGAAGCAAAGTCCAAACACTAGCACTCTTTGGATAATATCGTGATACATGAAAAATGTTGAAAAGTCTCGCTCTTGCGCACAGAGGGATTCGAACCCCTCCCTTTCTCAATCAACCACAACGCCTTATCCAACTCGCTGCGGCTGAGTTTGTGTCTATATCTTCAGCTTGTAATATTTATAAGGTCTTTAAAAATGTCTGCAAGCTAATATTATCTAAGATAAATTTTCATATTAAAAAATTCCCTAAGAATAAATTTAAGCATGTATTTAATGTTATTTATTATTTTATAATGGAGTTGTATTTTGTTGTTGTTATATATTATGGAGTTTTATTATTATTCACTTCGAGTTTTAATATTGTTCATTATATGTGATACTAAGTTTGAATTTTAATAGGAATTCTTTCTATGTGGTGCTAAGTTACTCATACATTTTATCTTTGTTTTTTTGGTTAAACTCATATATTTTATCATATGTATCAAGTGTAATATATTGAAGTAAATTATTATAACTAAAAAAATTATGGTGTGTTTAATTTTCTTTCACTAATTACTACATATTTTCTAAAGTCACAGTGTTTGTCAGGTCGCTGCATAATCAACTTAAATCACTCAAACCCACCATGCCATGCATTTCCTTCAAATTTTTTGTGATAAAATAATAGACAATTGACTAAGTAAACATCCTCTAAAGTTTCAATAAAAATTTCCCAAGTTTTTCTCACAATTTCCATGATTTTTATTCAATTTTTATCGATATCAATATTTCCATCGATATATCCTTGTTTTTGGACTACCGATATTTCCGAAACTCCCGATATTTTAGACCTTAATTGAAATACAATGCGAGTGAACCCACAAGAGGAATTCCTCGAAATAAGCTTATTATGTATATCCAAGGTATATTATATCATATATCCACACAAAAATTGAAAAGGAAGAAAATAATTACGAAAACACGATTTACCATTTGTATCCTCCAGCATCAAACTCCCCAGACTCATATGTATCCACTGAATTTTCAGTTAGCATCGAAAATGACTCTATTGTTAGAGTGTAATGAGTTGGTGGTGAATTTGAAAGTGATCTCGAAAGACCTGGAAAAAAAAGAATCTTAAAATTTCTATTACGTAGCGTTTAGAGTAAAAACATAAAATATAGAGAGACAGAGAAGGTGTGCTTACCATCTTGGTCAAATATAAGGCTCATGGCAATAAAAGTGACCAACAAATTTTTCTGAGGATAAACAGCGACCCTTTGCTTGAAGAAGACTATTGACTAATTGAAACAAGGGAGGGAAAACCACAACTCAAAACAAGAGATGGAGTGAGTGGGGTGGGCGTGGGGAGGATATATGTTTATGTACGTACTAATAACTATTCAATATATAATATAGCTTCATATGTGTGTAGATTGTAGAAACGATAGTGCCGAAAAGGATGTTTGCGCGATATATTCGAGTTAATCTTACCCTTTGTTTTAATGGTGCTTGAAATCTTTGAACATATATGTTTGAAATGTGTAGAGGTTCTGTGTTTTTATTTTGCGTTTAAACTCCATATTTATAAGGGTCTTGACCTACGTGATCAGCATCTCAACTTGGAGAATGTTTTCATGGCATCCAAGTTAGCTCTGGAATTACTTTCCCTTTAATAAAAGTACGCTCTCCTTGATACTTATCTTGTTAGAATTTGTTCTCTTATTTCCTTCCTAGACAAACTTCTTGCATCTCAGTCTTTTCTCATAATCCTTAATCTTAATTGTTGCTTTGCTACACGAAACTGGTTTTGTATCCAAATGGAAACAAGGGCAGGAATGTGAAGGAGCACATCTCTCTCTCTACTTGGTAATGTCCCGGTGCAAATGCTACCCATATTTCTTGGGAAATGTATGCTGTTTCCTAACCCTACCTAATGTTAGAGTTTGTGTAGGAAAAGACACTTGCATTTAGTCCCACATTGGAAGACAGTAGTTTCTTCCATGGTTTATAAGCACAAACACATAAAAATTACTAAATAGAGTATGGGCCTAATGGAGGCAAACTTGGGCCTCAAATGATTTGAGCTTGGATTAATTGTCAAAAGATGGGCCTTGGGCCTTGGGGCTCTGTTGATTTAATTAATAATTTAATTTTATTAATTGAAAATTCAGTTTTTTCAGATAAAACCAAAATCTGTTGGATGAAGAGGTGTCAGACCTCTATATATGACAATACGATCAAACCAGAAATACACTTTTGAACTGCATCATCATTCTCACATTTTACACTTCCTGAGAGAATTCATACCACTGTTCGCCAGAAATCAAGCCACTGTGCTTAGGCTTAGATTTAAGATAGTTTAATCCTGGTGGACAGACTCCTATCGAACTACAAGCACAAGGGTAGAGGAGAAATACTGTCTAAAGGACACTGCAAATCTGCAGGACTCTATCTACAATTCAAGTCAGTATTCTACAATCTATATTATTGCTGTATTGATTCAATTATATCTATATAAAATATATTCGTTGGTTTTTATTATTCTGTTATTTTGGGTTTTATATTGATTGTTTCCAACAATCTTTAGACAGTAATATGGAACAATCAGGAAGTAAGACCTCTCATGCCGAAAAGCCTGAGAAATTCAAAGGCACTGACTTCAAACGTTGGCAACAGAAGATGTTGTTCTATCTGACAACATTAAATCTAGCCCACATTCTCAGACAGGATGCCCCTGTGTCGAATAAGGATCCTGCAACCAAAGAGACTGTCGCTGCAATTGATGCATGGACACAATCTGATTTTCTGTGCAGGAACTATATCTTGAATGGACTTGATGATGCACTGTATGATGTCTATGCAGCATTCAAGACGGCTAGAGAAGTTTGGGAATCTCTTGAGAAAAAATATAAAACTGAAGATGCAGGATCCAAGAAATTTGTTGTAGGCAGATTTCTGGATTTCAAGATGGTAGATTCCAAACCTGTTGTCAAACAAGTTGAAAACCTCCAGAAAATTATCCATGAGATTCTTGCTGAAGGCATGAAGATCAATGAATCTTTCCAAGTGGCGTCCTTGATTGAAAAACTCCCACCAAATTGGAAAGAATTCAAGAGTTATTTGAAGCACAAGAGAAAGGAGATGAGTATGGAGGATCTCATTGTTAGGCTTCGGATTGAGGAGGATAACAGAATAAGTGAGAACAAGAATGTGGTTTCAAACATGGAAGCCAAGGCAAACATAGTTGAAGGAACCTCAGCAAAACCAAAATTCAATCCCAAAATGAACAAGAAGAACTTTGTTCCTGGAGCAAAAGGAAAAGACTTCAAAAAGATTAAAGGAGCATGCTGGGTCTGTGGGAAAACAGGCCATAAGGCTCAAGACTGCAGGCATAGAAAGAATCAGAATCCTGCCAATCCTGCAAATCCAAACTACAACAGGCCAAGGAACAATCAGGCCAATGTGACTGAAGAAAACTTGGCTGCAGTGGTGTCAGAAACCAACATGGTTTCGAATGACAATGAGTGGCTGATTGATACTGGAGCCACCCGCCATATCTGTGGTGATAAGAATGCATTTCTTACTTACCAAGAGATACATGGTGGTGAACAACTGTTTATGGGAAATGCCTCTGCATCTGCTGTTGTTGGAAAGGGAAAAGTGCTTCTGAAATTCACCTCTGGAAAGGAACTAACCCTCCTAGATGTGCTGCATGTGCCAGACATAAGAAGGAACTTGGTATCTGGACCTGTTCTAAGCAACAAAGGATTCAAACTAGTTTTCGAATCCAACAAAGTTGTACTAACTAAGGGGGGAATGTTTGTGGGAAAAGGTTATCTTGCTGATGGGTTATTCAAAGTCAATGTATCTGCCAATTCTATGAATAATAATATAAATAAGGCTTCTGCTTATATGGTTGATTCTTCTTCTACATTATGGCATGCTAGATTAGGACATGTGAATTTCCGTTCCTTACATAGAATGTATAATTTAGGATTGCTGCCTAAGTTAGATTCTATTGAAAATATTAAATGTGAAACATGTACAGAATCTAAATTTGCCAGAAAAAGTTTTAAATCTGTACATAATAGGTCCAATGAACTGCTAGGCTTAATTCATAGTGATTTATGTGATTTTAAATCAACACCAAGTCGTGGAGGAAAGCAATATTATGTGACTTTCATTGATGATTGCAGCAAGTACTGTTATGTATATTTATTACATAGCAAAGATGAGACCTTGGATATGTTTAAGACATATAAGGCTGAAGTTGAAAATCAACTCAACAGAAAAATTAAAGTCCTAAGATCAGATAGAGGAGGGGAATATGAATCCACTGCATTTGCTGAATTTTGTGCCACAAATGGTATAATTCATCAAACGACAGCTCCTTATACACCGCAACAAAACGGTGTTGCTGAAAGGAAAAATAGGACATTAAAAGACATGATAAATTCTATGCTGAATAGTTCTGGGCTTCCACATAACATGTGGGGTGAAGCCTTACTTACTGCAAATACAATCTTGAATCGAATTCCACATAAAACGAGTAACAAGTCACCATATGAAGTATGGAAAGGAAGGTTACCAACCTATAAGACACTCAAAGTGTGGGGTTGCCTAGCAAAAGTTCAAGTTCCTTTGCCAAAGAGAACTAAACTTGGACCCAAAACTATAGATTGTGTCTTCATTGGATTTGCATCCAATAGTGCTGCTTATAAATTTTTAGTATTTCACTCTGATGTTTCTGAATACATGTGAATACAATACTAGAATCTGTGGATGTAATATTCTTTGAGGACATTTTTCCTTATAACAAGGAAGGTCCAATGTCAATAGAAAAAGAACTATTGATGATTCTAGAATAAATGAGAATTCTAGAATAGATGATGGTAATCCTACTTCATCTAGTGTTCAAGAAAATGAACAAGATCAAGAACCTAGAAGAATTAAAGGACAAGAATACCAAAAGATTTTGGACCAGATTTCTTGACCATGATGGCTGAAGCTGAGCCTCAAACATATAAAGAGGCAATATCAAGTCCAGAAGCTCCATTTTGGAAAGAAGCAATCAATAGTGAGGTTGAATCCATTATGCAAAATCATACATGGGGAATTGGTTGATTACCACCGGTAATAGAACAATTGGATACAAATGGATCTTTAAGAAGAAATTAAAAGCAGATGGTACAATTGATAAGTATAAGGCTCGTTTGGTAGCCAAAGGATACCGTCAAAAGGAAGGCTTAGATTTCTTTGACACATACTCACCGTGACAAGAATAACATCAATAAGGATGTTGATTGCTATAATGTCAATTTATGACATGGAAATACATCAAATGGATGTAAAAACCGCTTTCTTAAATGGAGAGTTGGATGAGGAATAATATATGGAACAACCTGAGGGGTTTGTAGTAAAAGGTCAAGAACAAAAAGTTTGCAAACTTGTAAAGTCTCTCTATGGACTAAAACAAGCTCCAAAGCAATGGCATGAAAAATTTGACCATACTATGATGACACATGGTTTTAAAATAAACGAATGTGATAAATGTGTCTATATCAAGACACATAAGAACGCATGTGTTTAGTGTGTCTGTATGTAGATGACATGCTCATAATTGGGACTAACAAGGACATAATTAACTCTACCAAGAAAATGTTAAACTCCAGTTTTGACATAAAAGACTTAGGTCTTGTTGATGTAATTCTTGGAATTAGAGTTAAAGAAATTCAGATGGTTATATATTAACACAGTCCCATTATGTAGAAACTGTTCTTAGAAAGTTTGGTCATTTTGGAAGTAATCATGTTGTAACACCTTTTGATGCAAGTTGCAAATTAAAGAAGAATGAAGGTGAATCTATTTCACAAAAGAAATATTCACAAATCATTGGAAGTCTTATGTACATTATGAATTGTACAAGACCTGATATAGCCTATTCTGTGAGTAGACTTAGTAGGTATACAAGTAATCCAGGACATGATCATTGGGAAGCATTGATTAGAGTTTTGAGATATTTGAATTACACTTTGGAGTATGGATTACACTATACCAAATATCCTCCAGTACTAGAAGGATATAGTGATGCCAATTGGATTTCTAATGATTTAGAAACAAATTCCACTAGTGGATATGTTTTTACACTAGGAGGAGCATCCATATCTTGGAAATCTAGTAAACAAACTTGCATAGCCCGATCAACAATGGAATCGGAATTTGTAGCTTTAGATAAAGCTGGTGAAGAAGCCGAGTGGCTAAGAAATTTTTTGAAGGATATTCCTATTTGGCCTAAGCCTGTGACGGCTGTTTGTATACATTGTGATTGTATGGCTGCTCAAGCAAGAGCCAAAAATAATGTATACAATGGAAAGTCTAGACATATTAGACGAAGGCATAATACAATCAAGCAGTTGCTCTCAAATGGAATAATTTCTATTGACTATATAAAGTCAAGACAAAATCTTGCGGATCCGCTTACAAAAGGCTTGTCAAGAGAGCAAATCAAATTAACATCGAGGGGAATGGGATTGAAGCCAATTCAATAAATGAATCGGCCTAAAGGAAACCTAACCTAGCTGATTGGAGATCCCATGGTCTAGGTTCGATAGGCAAACTGGTTAGGCATAATTCAAAAGAGCTAACACACTTAGATCTCATTCCTATATGGAAAGAAATGTGTTGTCTGCAAGAAGTCTATTAGGGTACACAAAGTTTAATGATGTTGATTTCTTGAAATCAAGAGGAATAGAGCAGACTATTCTTAGTCAACATTACCTATGTAGGAGTAAATGTGGGGTCGCATTTATGAGAATGAAATGGCTAAATTCTCTAAAGCTCCTATGAATCCAGGATTTGTTCAGGACCAAAATGAACACAAACGTATGTATAAGTGGTATGTTAAGATGTAACATATGTGATACTTGTTGTCTCGGTTTACTACAATAGGTGAACAGTTCAAGATTTTATATTCACTGCGTCACCTAGTAAATCCAATAAGTATTCATAGGGTAGGTTTAAGTCCAAAGACACATTTCCTGATGTGTGTTATATCTAAGTTTTCTCTCAAATACGCACGTTATATTTTCCTATACAAATGTGGGGTATTGTTAGAGTTTGTATAGGAAAAGACACTTGCATTTAGTCCCACATTGGAAGAGAGTAGTTTCCTTCCATGGTTTATAAACACCAACACATAAGAAATACTAAATAGAGTATGGGCCTAATGGAGGCAAACTTAGGCCTCAAAATGGTTTGAGCTTGGATTATATATATATATATATATATATATATTTGTGTAATAAATATATATATAATTAATTGTCAAAAGATGGGCCTTGGGCCTCTTGGGCTTTGTTGATTTAATTAATAATTTAATTTATTAATTGAAAATTCGGTTTTTTCAGATAAAACCAAAATCTGAAATTCGAATTAATTAAATAGTTAACATAACTGTTGGATGAAGAGGTGTCAGACCTCTATATATGACAATACGATCAAACCAGAAATATACCTTTTGAACTGCATTATCATTCTCACATTTTAACACTTCCTGAGAGAATTCATACCACTGTTCGCCAGAAATCAAGCCATTGTGCTTAGGCTTAGATTTAAGATAGTTTAATCCTGGTGGACAGACTCCTATCGAACTACAAGCACAAGGGTAGAGGAGAAATATGTCTAAAGGACACTGCAAATCTGCAGGACTTATCTACAATTCAAGTCAGTATTCTACAATCTATATTATTGTTGTATTGATTCAATTATATTTATATAAAATATATTCGTTGGTTTTTTATTATTCTGTTATTTTGGGTTTTTACTGATTGTTCTACAACACCTAATCCCACCCAACAACACTTTCTTTCTTTGGTCTGACACGCCACTTCACCCTCACTTCACTCATTCACTCTCTCTCTCTCGCCTCTTTTCTCTGATTTCTCTCTCTCCCTTTCTTCTTTCTCCTTATTCTTTCTTTCCTCCCTTCTTTCTCACTGATTCTTTCTGCCTCTCTTTCTCTGTTTTTCTATTAACTCTTAACTTTTTTTTTTTTTTCTTTTTGTTTTATGCTCTCCCTCTCCTCTTTATTTTCAACTCTGTGTTTTCTGTTTCTCTTTTTTTTTCCCTTCGTTTTCTGCTTCTTTTTTTATTACAAATTTATAAATAAACTCAATCTTAGACATGTATTTATAAAAAACCCAAACACTATTTAAACATAGAAACACATCCAAAATCAACCCCAAAATCAACAATTGTATATTTTTGTGGCTGTGTTTAGAAATGGGTTTTGAGTGTGTGTAATGATGGGTTTTGGGTGTGTTTATAAAGTGTTTTGGGTGTTGGGTTTTTTATAATTTCAGCCCCCATTTTGGGTGTTTTAATGAAACTCCCTTTTTTTTCTTCCTTCGTTTTCTGTACATATATGGGTTCAGTTTTTGGAGATGGGTTATGTTCTTGTTAAGATCTTGTATAGATATGGGTTCATCTGTATATCTGGGTTCAGATCTTGTATATCTGGGTTCAAATCTTGGATATGTGGATTCAGATCTTGCAGATATGGAATCAGAATTGCGTCCAAATTTGAAGCTCGGTTGGAACCGAAAATAATCGGACTGAACCGAACCTAAACCAATTCAGATTGGTTTGAGTTTGATATTATATTTCATAAAAATCAGATCAAATTGGACTGGTCAGGTCAAATAGTTTCAGTTCTGATTTGAATAAAAACCCGGGTCGAACCAGATTGCACTCACCCCTAATAATGACTATAAACCAAAGCTCTTAATTTTTATTACAATCATTCTTTTGCACAAGTCTTGAGCATCTACGTATTTACTAATTTTTGGTACAACCCACTTAATTTACAACAAAGTCCCTCATGACAATACCATACTTTACAACCTACATCTTCTTCATTTTCCAGTCTCCAGGTCTAGCATTTTGAGCTTTAGCTGGCTATAATGTTTTAGCAATTCCATGGACAGTGACCTCTGCTTCGACCCCGAGCATTATTCACCAAATAACCCTGGTCTGACATTTTGAAAGTGCCCAATTTAATGAAAGCCTGCCTACCCCAAGCCGGAGTCAAGGCATTGAACCAGGTATAACCCGCTGCAAGCACACAAAAAGAGAAAGAAAAAAGAAGAGACAAATCAGGATTGAGAAGAAAATTAAAAAGAAATATATATTAGGCCACTTGTTTACATTTCAGACTCTTATGCCTGGCGTTCAATTGATCTACGATTCGCAGAGTATACTCTGTGAGTAATTGGGAGCCAGGAGATAGCTTTTCTGGATTAGCCAATCTTAAGAAAACAGAAACATGAGTATCCTTTCCATTGCCATTTCCCTGTTTATGGAATTTTGGAGAATTTGTTTTGGTTAATATGATTTGTGGTGTATTAACCGACAAATTCTAACGACATATTTCTTGTCCCTGAAATTCTGGCCTTTCCTGACTAAAATGGTGTCTTTGCTGACAAAATGTGACATGTATAGACAATTTGGCCTTCCCGAGAAATATGGACCTGTTCCAGCAAATGTTGATCATTCCCGACGACGCCATTTTTTTCTTTCCCTGCAAATTCTAACATTCCCCGGTGACCTTTTTCTTATCCATCAATTTATGGCATTTTGGGACGACATGTTGTCTTTGTAGAGAAATTGTGACCATTCCCAACAATTTTGGCCTTTTCCGGTCCTTCCTTTTAGTTCTTAACTGCGTACATGTGCACAGTCCACTTCCACTGTTATGAACTTAATTCCTTGGACCATTAAAAAAACCCAAAAGGGGGATTAATCTTGCCGATTTTGTTTTTTTGTTTTTTTTGGTATCTCATGGTGGTTGTGGATAGGTTACAGTCTGGTGGTAAATCAGTAAGAGAGTTGGGGAGCTGAATTGCCTAGCACAGGGCTGGGAGTGGGAGTCATGGAGCAAATGAAAGATGAGAAAAGAAAATACTTGGCTTGCTTGGCAAGGCAAATGAGGGAGCACAAGTGAAACACCCTCGCGTGTGTGTTGATCTTAAATTGTGTTTATTTCTGTGCCTGTTCAGTTTGGTTGTTTCTCAGTTCTTGTTCGCAGGTACATTAATTGGAGGAAGTGAGTTTGAAGGAAATTTTTCTCTAATTAATGAGGCATGTTCACTGTTTGCAGGCTATTGTCCGTGCAATGGTTGGCAGACATTCATTACAGTAGAGGACTTTCTCAGCGAGTCAGCCGGCTTCGAGCTTTTAGTGAAGGATACTGGAGGCAGAAGTTACCGTCCATGAATTGTTAAAGCATAGAATAGTAATTAAGCTTGTAGTATACAAGCTATGGGAGTGTAATGTATTGTCAGTCCACTTGCCGTGTTAAAACACAATCCTTAATGAATGATTGTATGGAATTGTTTTACTTATGAGTTATGGCTTTCTTGGTGAATAATACGTGTACCATTTTGAGTAAATGTTTCAGAGCACCTAAAAGCAGGTCATGGATACCTTTTCCTTGCAAGAAAGACAATCCTATGGAAGCAAAGCATAACAGTTCTATCCTTAAAAAGTTTCAAGTTTAGAATAACACCTTTAATTTTTCCTTTAAAAACAAAAAACCCACTTTGGTTCTAAAACAGATAAACCCTTTCTCATTTCTGTAACTAGTATCAAATTATCATCAAATTATTCGGTGGTCAAGCTTGTTTCATGATGACTAGTCTTAACTTCGATGCCCAAGATGGTAAAGATGCTCTGTGTGTCGAAAGTACTAGCTAAGTATGAGCTTATTTCCTTCTTCTTGTTGTTGTGTTGCCAATTAACATTTAATTGCAGGGATTTTGAGAAGCTTTTCGGATGCACCACCGACTCATTACACAGTAAAAATACAGTCCCTTTCATTGCTGGCCAAAAATTCTTTGGAGAAATATGAATCAGGGGACTTTGAAGCTGGAGGGTACAAATGGTTAGAATTCATTTCCTACACAAAGTTCCAACATCTCTGTCTTTTCTCATAATCTTCAATTGGATTAGTTGCCAGTCCTTGCTTTTTTTCAAGCTGCATTAGTACAAAATCAATTGTGGTTTTGCTACAGGAAACTGGTTTTCTATCCAAATGGAAACAAGAGCAGGAATGTGAAAGATCACATCTCTCTCTACTTGGTAATGTCTGGTGCAAATGCTACCCAGATTTCTCGGGAAGTGTATGCTGTTTTCAGGTTGTTTTTACTTGATCAGAATAAGGGCAACTACTTGGTTCTTCAAGGTACCCTTTACTTCCATTAGTTCATAGAACAGATAAGCGTATGTTTCTCATATCTGCAATGCATTGTCTCATTTTCTGACATCATTTTTTATATATGACATCTCTTAGAACAAAATGAAAGGCGCTTCCATGGGATGAAGCTCGATTGGGGATTTGATCAGTTCCTCTCTCAGAAAGTTTTTACTGAAGCTTCCAATGGATTTCTCTTAGATGACACCAGTGTGTTTGGAGCAGAGATCTTTGTTTGTAAAGAGAGAAGTACATGCAAAGGAGAGTATCTATCAATGGTAAAAGATGCCGTGATGTACAAGCATGTTTGGAAAATTGACAACTTCTCGAAGTTAGATGCGGAATTCTATGACTCAAAAACGTTCATTTCTGGAGACCAGAAATGGTATCCCTACATAAAGCTTTCTTATCAATCAATCATCATATTAAAGGTTTTTTCCAACAAAAAAAATTGCTCGAAGATCAAACTTTAAATCATAGGTAATCTAAAAGTATTCTTATTCTTCGTGGGCTGATTGTTGCAGGAAGATTCAACTCTATCCCAAGGGAAAAGGCAATGGAATTGGTACTCATCTTTCTCTTTATTTGGCATTGGCTGATCCGAAATCTCTTCCTCCAGGCTCTAAAATCTATGCAGATATTACGCTACGGATCCTGGACCAAGTGAATGCAAGGCATCAGTTTGGTAAAGGTAATTGGCCTAGTGTTATTGCTAGATAGTCATGAGGTTTCTTCTCTAGTTATGATGTGGCTTCTTTCGTTTCATTTTATTTTACCTTTTCAACTTTGTTTTCAATATACTCAACTGGAAATCCTTCTTGGCGCTTGTAGGCAACTTCTGGTTCAGCGCCTCAAATCCGGAGTGGGGTTGGTGGAGATTCATAACGCTGGGATTTCTCAGCCAAGCAGGCATGGGGTTTTTGTCGAAGGATACTTGCATCGTGGAAGCAGAGGTCACTGTCCATGGAATTTCTAATGCCCTGTAGTACGAAATTAAGGGGTTGAATTTTCTTCAATTTTCTCAAATGTTTGAAAGAATAAAAAATAAAAAAACTCATTTCCTAGTGACATGGTTGTGTCTCTTCTATTGTGAAAGGCTTCTTGATCCTCTGCTTTTCCTTGTTTTCCTTTATTTTTTCTTCATGTAACTTCTTCAATTATTACAAATTTTATAGTCTCTGCTGAGTGTATGGAAATATATTGAAAATAGAAAAGAAAAAGAAAAAGGCCAGCACATTCTCAGAGCAGAAAAAGCATGGTTACAAGTTTTCTTCTGGGCTTGTTCGATAATATTGGTCCCAGTAATATGATGGATGTACATTAGTTAAAAATGGACATGGGAAAGGTAGTATGGCATTACCAAAGGTAATTAGGGAAAGGAGATGAAGATGGAGAGATTAGCCAAAAGTTTTCTCGCTACCATAACACAAAAACAGAAAACCAGCATCCTCCTTGTGACTTTCATACATGGAATCCATATGACTGGCTGTAATGAAATCCGAAAGGATCATCATATAACACCGAAAAAGTAACAGAAGCAGAGCTCTCTGTTTTTCTAAAAATTATAATCTCTGTTTGTTCTCTTAGCAGAAGAAACCTTGACCTTGTAGAATTTGTCATCTTTGAAAGTAGAATTTTTAATCAACATAAATTAGAATTTGTCATCTTTGAAAGAAGGAAGATGCATAGCCATCTCTGTACTCTGCTCCTTTCTTCCTCGGTTTCTACAGAGAGATCAACAGACATGCGTTACAGCATGCAGAAAGCTACTTAACAATGCAATGACAACCCAATGTTGTTCGGTTTAATAAGAATGTGCATGGTCTAGGTGTGGCAAGAAAAGGTGAGAGTGTACTCTCTTCAACCTTAATAAACAATAAGTACATGATTCAAAACACCTACAAGCGTCATGGAGACCCTTTCCTTGAAAAGAAAAAAAGAAGAAGATAATCATGCAGAAGCAAAGCATAACAGTCATATCCTTAAAAAGCTTCAAGTTTGGAATAACACCTTTTATTTCTCCTTTTAAAAGCTGAAACCCCATTTTGATTCTTGTAACCTGTAACAAATTATCAGCACCTTCAAAGTTCCACAGTCGTCAAGTTTACTACCATGAGCATGAATAACCTTAACTTCGATGACCAATACGGTAAGGTGCTCTTGCTATCTGTTTGAGTGTGTGCGTTGAAAGCACTAGCTAATGTAAACATGGCATGTTATGGACACCAAATGTACATACATCACTGATATTGATACCTTCTTCTTGTGTTGCCAACATTTTAATTGCAGGGATTTTGAGAACATTTTCTGATTCAATGCCAACTCATTACACGTTCAAAATACAGTCGTTTTCATTGATGTCCAAACATTCACTGGAGAGATATGAATCGGAGGACTTTGAAGCTGGAGGATACAAATGGTATGATTATTTCTCTCGTTTCCTAAACAAGTTCTTATACTTGTGAGACTCTGTATTTTCTCATTAGCCTTAATTTTATTCTTATTTCCAAGCTGCATTAGAGTACTCTCAATAGTGGTTTTGCTACAGGAAACTGGCTTTTTATCCAAATGGAAACAAGAGCAAGAATGTGAAAGAGCACATCTCTCTTTACTTAGTATTGGCTGGAGCAAATGGCCCCCAGACCTGTTGGGAAGTGTATGCTGCTTTCAGGTTGTTTCTACTTGATCAGAACAATGGCAAGTACTTGGCTCTTCAAGGTACCATTTCTTTTCATTTAATTCCTATACAACCAGCAGAGAACATATAAGATAATATTTCTTATATATTCAAAGCATTGCCTCATAGCCTGATTTTTTTCTGTTTTTTTGGTCATTAATTGCTTAAAAGAACAAAAGGAAAGGTGCTTCCATGGGATTAAGCTTGACTGGGGATTTGATCAATTTCTCTCTCAAAAAGATTTCACTGATGCTTCCAATGGATTTCTTGTGGATGACGCCTGTGTGTTTGGAGCAGAGGTCTTTGTTCGGAAAGAAAGAAGCACATGCAAAGGAGAGTGCCTATCAATGATCAAGGATGCCGTTATGTACAAGCATGTTTGGAAAATTGAAAACTTGTCGAAGTTAGATGAGGAGAGCTACGACTCAGAAACATTCATCGCTGGAGACCAGAAATGGTGCAAAAGCCTCCTTATTGATTAATATATCCTTCTTGACAGGCTTTTTATTTCCTCCTTGGTCTATCACTCTCTCTCTCTCTCTCTCTTTCATTGCGCAAATTTTACTTGCATGAAGATAGTAAACAATCACTTGTGTTAGAGTAAGTTTACCAATAACAAAAACAAAACAAAACAAAAGGAGAGATGTTAAGTTTGCAGATGAAAACTAAACTTGCTGTGGAAGATATTAAGTGCAGGTTATCTAATTGAAAAATGCTTGTTGCAGGAAAATAGAGTTCTATCCCAAGGGAAGAGACGATGGGAAGGATAGCCATCTTTCTATTGATTTGGCATTGGCTGATCCCACATCTCTGTCTCCTACCTCTAAATTATATGCACAGTTTACCCTTCGCCTCGTAGATCCAGTGTACAGCCACCGTCACTTTGAATATGGTACTAAAGGTAAAAAGATTGGCCTAATTCTATGATCCCTTACACAGTGAGGAGGTTTTAAATAATTGGTCTTTAGCCCTTCCTTCATTTTTTTTCTTCTTTTTCATCTCATCTTACAGCTACTTGGTGGTTCAGTGCCTCCAGTCCGAAGCGGGGCTGGCCGAAATTCATTACACTGGGAATTTTCGGTGATGAGAGCGTGGGGTATTTGGAGAATGATAGTACCATCCTAGAGGCAGAGGTCACTGTGCTTGGAACTGCTATTGCGCTAGACTAAAATAATTAGTAACCTCCTGCCTCTGGCTGTATGTATCAAAAACCATGTCTCAAATACTCATCACTTATGAATAATATGGTTGTATCGCTTCTTCGGACCTTAGGTGGTCCGAATAATGGTATCATTCCTTTTCTTTTCTTTCATGCAACTTTTTCCGGCATGTAACTTTGCTTCCATGGAATTTCTAATGGCCTATACTGTTGTATGAAATTATGGGGTGTAATTTTCTCAAACGTGTGATCATTCACATGCTATTAGTTATTCTGAAAGGCTTCTTGGTCCTCTGCTTTTCTTTGTTTTCCTCTTCTTTCTTTTTTCAGTGTAACTTCATCCATTTCATAACTACTGAGTATTATGGATACATATTGAAAACAGAAAAGGAAAAAAGAATATAGACAACCAAATTCTCAGAGCACAAAGCAAAGTTACAAGTTTTCTTCTTTCTTGTTCCATAACATTTTCTTTTTGGTTGAAACTTTTTAGATAACATTGAACTTCTTGTTATTCATAAAAATAAATAATAATAAAAAAAGTGGGCATTGGAAAGATAATGTGGTATTATTGAAGGTTATGAACTTCACAATAAATCAAATATATATACAATGAACTGAGAATACAGTGAAGCAAGAGTCACAGGCCGTTCGCATTGAGAACAAGTTAACAACAGATATGTACGAGTTACTGATATGAACGATGACATGAATGATCAAGGGATGCCTCTATTATCTGGTCTCTTTGTAACCATTATCAATTGTAAACACGTTCATATAAGTAAAACATGACAATTAGTCAATTAATTTTTTACACTGATAGCCATGGTAGCTATGCTTAAAACAACACACAAAACAGTGGTTGTCATGTTTTACTTATATGAATGTGTTTACAATTGATAATGGGAACAAATAGATCAGATAGATGCATAACTCTATCAAGATAAGAAGAAGAGATCTACAGGGAATAAACATGAGATAATTACAGCAGATATGCAAGAGTTTGGAACGGATTTTACTTGATCAGAATCAGGGCAACTACTTGGTTTTTCAAGGAACCATTTCTGATCAGTTTATCTCTCATAAAGCGTTCACTGAAGCTTCCAATGGATTTCTCGTAGATGACACCTGTGTGTTTGGAGCAGAGGTCTTTCTTTGTAAAGAGAGAAGTACAGGGAAAGGAAAGTGTCTATCAATGGTAATGGTAAAAGATGCCGTTATGTACAAGCAAGCATGTTTGGAAAATTGACTTCTTATTAGATGCCAAATTCTACAACTCAAAAGCTTTCATTTCTGGAGACCAGAAATGGTATCTCTACATAAATGTGTGAAAGAAAAGATACTCATTTCCTTATGAATATGATTGTATCTCTTCTTCTGACCTTGGTGGTGAATAAATATGTCTCCATTTTTTGGACTTTACATGCTTTTAGTTGTTGTCAAAGGCTTCTTAATCCTCTGTTTTTTTGTTTCTCATTTTTTTTCTGTAACTTCTTCAACCTTACAAATTTTAGTCTCTGCTGAGTTGTACGGAAATATATCGAAAATAGAAAAGAAAAGGAAAAAGGGAAGCTTATTGTCAGAGCAGAAACAGTTTGGTTGCAAGTTTTCTACTTTCTTGTTAGATAAAAAAATGGACATGGGAAAGATAGTTTGGCATTATCAAGGTTATGAGATTTACAGATTAGATGGAAAGATAAGCCAAAGGTTTTCTCGATGTCCTAACACATAAACAGAAAACCAGCGTCCTCCTTGTAACTTTCCTAGATGGAAATGGAATCCATGACTCTCTGTAAATGAAATCCACGGAAAAATGAGTTAACAAGTTCTCAATGCCATGCAGAATTTTTGTTTTTGGTTGAAAAAATCAAAGGAAATTCATCCAAGCATGCGACTGTTATGTTATGTAGGGCACAAAAAGCAGGCAAACCATCAATGCGAAAGGATCATCATCATAACATGGAGGAAGTAACCGAAGCAGAGCTCTATGTTTTTCTAGAACAAACTAAAATCTCATTTACCACAAGTACACTGAAGAAACCAGGAAGGAAGGACCTAGAGATGAAAATTTTAAGGAGCAATCAGCACACAGATAAATTATGAATTTTAAATGTGTTATTGACAAGAAATTAGATTTAAAAAATTTATAATCTCAAGTGTCTTGTCATGGAGTATCTTTCAATGGTCACTGCAGAAAGACATAAAGATATTCACCCTGGCAACAATGCTTTGCTTCTAATAAAACAAGCTTTATGATTGTACATGTGCCGTTAAGATATAAAATCTGTCCCTTTCTTTCTTGGTTCGTACAATCTACAAACAGATGAAGCTATTGATTAGGTAATTCGTTTACATAGTTTCTTTGCTCTTAGTCAAGTACGCCATTTTTTCATAAAACATTTTTCCTTTGATTTAATAAAAATGGACAATGAAGAGATTGAAAAATTAATACAGAGAGATCAAGAGACATGCCTCATACGGCATGCAGAAAGCTACTTAACAATGCAATGTTGTGCATGGTCTAGGTGTGGCAAGAAAAGGTGAGACTCTCTCTCTCTCTCTCTCTCTCTCTCTCTCTCTCTCTCTCTCTCAACCTTAATAAATGTGGTTGCGTGGGATCTCGAATAGGTACATGATTCAAAACACCTACAAGCAGTTCATTGAGACCTTTTCCTTGAAAAACAAAACAACAAATTATTATCCTGCAAAAGCAAAGCATAAGTGTCCTATCCTTAAAAAGTTTCAAGTTTGGAATAACACCTTTTATTTCTCCTTTTAAAAGCTGAAAACCCATTCTGAATCTTGTAACCTGCATCAATTATCAGCACCTTCAAAGTTCGGCAGTCAAGTTATTTGCCATGAACATGACTAGTCTCAACTTCGATGAACAAGACGGTAAGGTTCTGTTGCTATCTGTTTACGTGTGTTTGTTGAAAGCACTAGCTAATGTAAACATGGCATGTTACAGACATCTAATGTATACATCCCTCACGCCTTCTTGTTTGTGTTGCCAACATTTTAATTGCAGGGATTTTGAGAACAATTTCTGATGCGCCGCCAACTCATTACATGATCAAAATACAGTCGCTTTCATTGCTGTCTGTCCATTCACTGGAGAAATATGAATCAGGGGAGTTTGAAGCTGGAGGATACAAATGGTACAATTCTTTCTCTCATTTCGTAAACAAGTTCTTATACTTGTGTGACTCTGTTCTCATAACCTTAATTTGCATTCGTTGTTATTATTTACTTCTTATTTTAAAGCTGCATTAGAGTACTATCAATTGTGGTTTTGCTGCAGGAAACTGGTTTTCTATCCAAATGGAAACAAGAGCAGGAATGTGAAAGAGCACATCTCTCTCTACTTAGTATTGGCCGGAGCAAATGCCCCCAAGACTTGTTGGGAGGTGCATGCTGCTTTCAGGTTGTTTTTGCTTGATCAGAATACTGGCATGTACTTTGCTCTTCAAGGTACCATTCCTTTTCATTTTATTCTTAAACATACAGCAGAGAACAGATAAGCCAATGTTTCTCATGTATACAAAGTACTGTCCCATATTCTGATTCTTTTCTTTTTCTGTCATATGTATTAATTGCTTAGAAAAAAATGAAAGGCGCTTCCATGGGATGAAGCTTGACTGGGGATTTGATCAATTCCTCCCTCTCAAAGCTTTTACTGACACTTCCAATGGATTTCTCATGGAAGATGCCTGCGTGTTTGGAGCGGAGGTCTTCGTTCGTAAAGAAAAAAGCACATGCAAAGGAGAGTGTCTATCAATGATCGAGGATGCCGTTATGTACAAGCATGTTTGGAAAATTTACAACTTCTCACAGTTAAACGCGGAGAGTAACTCACCAACATTCATTGCTGGAGACCAGAAATGGTGCATAAGCCTCCTCATTGATTAATATATCCTTCTTTACAGGCTTTTTATTTCCTCTCTCTCTCTCTCTCTCTCCTCTCTCTCTCTCTCTCTTTTCTTGTGCAAATTTTACTTACAAGAAGTTGGTAAAGAATCAGTTAAAGTGCTAGAGAAAGTTTACCAACCAAAACAAAACAAAGGAGATGTGTTGAGCAAATTATGTGCCCAAAAGCAGTAAAGTTTGCAGATGAAAACTAAACTTGCTGCAGAAGTATTAAGTGCAGGTAATCTTATCTAAAAATGTTTGTTGCTTGTTGCAGGAAGATACAACTGTATCGGAGGGGAAGAGACAGTGGGACTGGTAGCCATCTCTCTCTTTATTTGGCATTAGCTGATCCGACATCTCTGCCTCCTACCTCTAAAATATATGCAGAGTTTACCCTGCGCCTCATAAATCAACAGAACAGCAGCCTTCACTATGCATATAGTAAAGGTAAATAGATTGGCCTAGTTCTATCCATCACCATCCCCTTCACAGTGAAGAGGTTTTCTTTTCTTTGCACTTTTTAATTATTGGTCTTTAGCTCTTCATTCATTTTTCTTCTTCTTTTTCATTTCATCTTGCAGTTAATTGGTGGTTCAGTGCCTCCAGTCCCATGCGGGGCTGGGGTAGATTCATTACAGTCGGATGGTTCTATGTGAATCAGGCGAACTACCGGTACTTGGTGAACGATAGTTGTACCGTGGAGGCCGAGGTCACTGTGCATGGAACTGCTAGTGCGCTAGAGTAAAATAAATAGTACGCGACTGCCTGCCTGTAGCTCTATGTACCAAAAACCTCGTCTCAAATACGGTGTTGAAAAAATATTCGTTCATTTATGAATAATATGGTTGTATCACTTCTCCTGGCCTTCGGTGGTGTGAATAATAATATCATTTATGTCTTCTTTTCGTTTTCCTTTCATGCAACTTTTTCCAGCATGTAACTTTGCTTCCATGGAATTTCTGATGCACTACTCGTATGAAATTATGTGGTGTGATGTTCTCAACCATCTCAAAGAAAAAAATACTCATCCACCTTGTCAATATGGCCGTACTACCATAATATTCTATAACATTGTACGTAGTATGGAAATTTAATGAAAATAGAAAATGATAAAATAGAAAGAAGGGCAAGCACATTCTCAGAGCACAAAGCATGGTTACAAGTTCTCTTCTTTCTTCTTAGATAATTTTTGGTTAGGACTTGTTAGATAATATTGAACCCACTTATATGATGGCCATTAATTATAGAAAGTTGAGATTGGAAAGAAAATATGGAATTATTGAAGGTATATGAACTTTACAGAATTCACAATAAATCAAATTTACAATGAACATGAGAGAATACAGTGAAGCAAGCCTCACAGGCCCCTTCGCAATGAGAACAAGTTAACAGCAGATACTTACAAGTTGCTAATATGAACGATTAGATTATTAGGGGAGGAGATGGAAGGATCAGCCGAAGGTTTTCTCGCTGCTGTAACACATATACAGAAAACCATCATCCTCCTTGTAACTTTCGTAGATGGAATCCATGCGACTGGCTGTAAATGAAATCCACAGAAAAATGTGTTAACAAGTTCTCAATGTCGTGCAGAATCTAAATAAAACTGGTAGCCGAATCAATAATGTGTGTTTTACCTGTTTGAGGTAATGTGTTCTTCACAAAGACAAAAAGAGCTTTGCCAGGAGTCAAGTGAAGCCTGCTGCTTAAGATATGAATAAACTGCCCAACAGACATGTCTCTTGGAACCAAGAATCTATATGAAACAAGGAAATACGGTATACAGGTTATTCTCCTTAAAGTGAGAATGCAAAAACAATTGGCTAAAATATTCCGGAAGGCAATTCAATCTGTGTTAAGAACTTCTAGAACTAAGTAGCTACATTCAGATTATACCGAACTGCGAATAAAAGGGAATTCATCCAAGCATACATCTATTAGCAAAGCATAGAAAAGCAAGCAAAACATGCCAAAAGATCATCAGAACACAGAGCAAGTAACAGAAGCAAAGCTCTCTGTTTCGCTAGAACAAAGAGCTATATAGTTAGGATGAGAGTACTAATACACAAACTGAAATATCCTAGTATTATTATAAGTACACTAAAGAAACCAGGCGAGTACCAATGCCAAAGGACTTCGACACGGAAACTTTACTGAACAATAAACATATGGATAATGCATGGATCTTAAAGTTTCTAAAAAATTGAACCTCAGATGTACATGTAATATGACATTTAAGTTAGTTCTTAACACAAGAAACTTTGGCCTTGACGAAAATGCAGGGAATTGTGAATTTGTGACAACTAGAACATACTTTTTCTTTTCCATTTCAGGCAGGTCTGTCCTGGAATATCTTTCAATGATCACCTGCAGAAAGACATACAAAGAACACCTTGATCAGTTTTGACAGCTTCTCCATTAGAGCCTAATTGCGTCAATTCTGATAAAATTAAGCCTTCTGATTGTACACAAACTACAAATTTGCCATTTCAAAGTACACACCCAAAAAAATGCTCTCAGCCACTAAAACATTATCATCTCTCACTCAATCTGGTCAAACATTAAAACCAACTCAGGTCTGCCAAAGACGAAAGCAACAAAAAATACACACAAACAAGAACAAATCTCCTTGTTTCCAATTTCCTAGTGCATTATTTATCCCAGTATCTTGGAATTTCTGAATCATATATATTTATTACTCCATTCTTATTTAAATAAATATTAAATAAATAAATAAAAACAACAAAACTCACAAAGAAAACTAAAAAACAAACAATCATATATGAAAACTAACCGGAATTCGATCTGGGTATTTTGCGATGATATTTTTCGATTCTTCAATTCGTTCATCTGAATCAAAATCATCAAAACCATCATAAAAATTGCAAGAAAAACGCCTTTCTGTAAATGATTGAAATAAAAAAGGAGGGAAAAATCAAACCGAATGAGAACTCCTGCTTGAAAGGCTTGATCTTCCCCATAAAGTTTTTCTCTTTTCGCATGCGAGGGGCTTAAAAAGTCCAAAAGAAAATCAATCAAGGAAAATGAGGGGACTTTCTTTTTATATATAAAGATAAAGTTGTGAAGAGAAAGACGTGTAGAAGAGGAGATAGCTACAAGTGTTACGTAGATTGCTCACAAACGCACCTCACAAGTCGTTTTCTGTTGCTTTAAGCTTTGACGGTCCTTTATCAACCACCGACACGTTGCTGACTCGTTATTGGGTTTCGAAATTTGGGCTTTGATCTGCAATTTATGGGCTCTTAATGGGCTTTCCATAAATTGACTGATTGATTTTTATGGACCAGCTTCTGCGATTATCGATTAACTATATAGAACCCTCCAAACTATAGAAGTATTTATTTATGTAGTTAGCTCATAAATTATTGAATTACTACCCTCAGTTTGGATGAAGGAATTGAAAATTATATAGAATTCTAAAATGACGGAATTTATATTTCCATCATTTCAATTTATGTCAATTAAATATTTCAGTATTTGGATTTATGTATGTCGAATTTTGTAAATGACAAAATTTTGTAAATCGCACTATGAAAATTGTCAACTTCTCCTCTTAAATACCCTACTTTTAGCTAAATTTCGAGTTATTTTCCCTCGTCCAAACAGATGGCTATAATTCGTGTATGAAGTATTGAACTACTGTTTGATGTCAGGATTGAACAATGTTAAGGATAATCACATATTCATGTATGAGTAATTATTAGCCGTTGATGATATAGTTTCTATTATAGTGCGCACATAAATTTACAATAAACAACTAAATATACACGCGCAAGTGACTGTCAGTATCGGTGCAATGGAAATTTGTGAAGACATTATGCTTTAAAACACTACAGCCAACAAAAGTGAATTTGATATTAACAATCAATTATATATGGTTTGGCCTGAAATGAAAAGGGAAATAGAAAAAGACAATAAGGTCTACCACCATACCACGTCCTTGTTGAGTAAATGTTTTGAGGTGCCGGCACTGAACACGTCCATGTGACTTTGATGTTCAAAGGCTTTGATTGAATTGAATTTTCACATTTAATAAAAGCATGTTCCATGAAATTGACATTGCTTATTATAATCACAGGAGAGTAGTGCGAAGCCACGCTTCACATCGATTGGATCATGCCACCTGTTGTCCTTTTTGCCTCTTCGATTTGGATTAACAGCAATTTGATTCAGTTAAGACAATGGCTTAAGCTAAGATTAATGGTTTTAAAGTAATTTTTTCCTTAATTAAACATGTTGGAAATGACTTGTTTATTTTTGACTGAGGTTGGTGGGTTGGTAATGGTACCAATCAAAGGAGAATAATAGAAGAGGATGTGAGACCAAATTGTAGACTCACCAACCCACTCATAAGCCAAGCCTTTGCCTTGTAGTGGAAAGAACCCAATTCAGCTAAAATCTTTTAATAACATACTTCTTACCAAACTATTCAAAAAAAACAAAGAAGATAAAAACAAGTTTCTATGATATAAAAAATTCAACTGAAATCTTCTGCTCTCTCTCTCTGTCTCTGTCTCTCTCTCTCTCTCTCTTTGTTTTTCAATTTTCACCTTGATTCTCAAGCATAAACATTCACTCTTGTTGAGACCAACAAGAACAATGCCTAAATGGTTCCTCCTATCTTGATGCTACAAAAATTTAGTTGCAATAGAGATAGCATTATTTTGCTATTTTTGGCCAATAATGTTATGTTACGTGGAAGCGTTATCACACGTGTCATAACGTTATTGACAAGGAATAGTGAATAGTATTATCCCCATTTTATGGAAGTCTTTCTATCCTCTTGATGCCATTTATTTAGGAGCTTAAACAATGAATGTGCATTCTAAATGTCAAGTAAGTTGCCACTTGATATTGGTCAATGTTGCGTCTACCCAAGTGCAAGTAGTCACACATAGTAATAATCTTGGAAGTCCAAGTATCGTATTCTCAAGGAGTAGGTAGGCAAAAGTCTACACACTAAGAAATAATTAAAAGTACCAAAATAAAAGTGACAAGCAAAATGGAAAAGTAATTTGATTTGAGTGTTGTAGAGATTGGGTTTTAAAATGAATTATCATCAATAATGGAAATGCTAAGGCATCAAAGTTCAATTCTTTAAGTAAAATATGTTTCATGCTCTTTAATCCGAATTATAACTCGATTAAGATTATCATTGAGAAACTTTAACTAGAATAAAGAAATTGAAACTAATTTAATTTTTCAATGTTATCTTTTATTAATGATTGTTCAGAAAATGGAATTGCTTAATATCTAATCTTTTAATTTAAAGCATGCTAAGTCAATTCTTAACAATGAGAAAAATATAATTGAGTTAATGAAAAGATAGTAGTGCTTAACATCAATCAAAATAAAATGATATGAAAATATTGAACAACCAAAAATAAAATATTTAGCAATTCATACTATATATTGGATTAAAGAACAATTCACAAACTTACTCAAAGGACATTCACTAACTTACTCAAAGGACATTCACTAACTTACTCAAAGGGCATTCACTTTAGCCTTAGCTAGAGTTCTAACAACTCATTACAAAGAAAAATATAACTAAATTTTGAATGAAATGGATAAAGAAACATGTCGTAGTAGTGTCCTTGCCAAATAAATTGATGGTTGATTTATAGTAGTCAATGAGGTGAGTGGAAAGTTAATACATTCATAGTGGGTAATGAAATGTTTAAGTGAGGGATTAATTGGATTAAACATGTGTTGATAGTGGAGAGTTAGTGAAAAATAAATAACAGTGAGGTAGTGGGCGCTAAATGCCTATAAATTACATGAAATAGGCTTTTTAGCTTCAACGGTTTTGTTTTCTCTTATCCCTTTTTACTTCTCTTTATAATCACAATAATCCCACAATCAATTCTTCAGTAAAATCTGCCAGCAATTCTCTTCACACTTGGCTTGAACTTGGACAAATATATATCTTCATCTTTTGACTTTCCAACTTCCTACAAAAGATAAATTCACCTAATAAGTTCACCAAATTAAATATAGAAAATTCATAAATCCAATTGGTGAGAATGAAATGTAACAACAAGTGAAATTATCTTTATTAAGTCAAATTTATAGACTCTCATCACGCGTGTCATAGCGTTATTGACCCGGGATAGCAAAATAGTATTATTTCCGTTTTATGAAACTCTTTCTCCTTTTATGTCATTTACTTAGGAGCTCAAACAATGAATTCGCATTCTAAATGTCAAGTAGGTTGCCACTTGATATTGGTCAATGATGTATTGTACCCATTATGCTTCTCATAGTCGACATTTTTCTCAAAAATCTCGAGTATACAATGAGTCTCACGTACCCACTCTTCACATCATAATCACATGACCAATTGTTGTATACAGGGATTGCTAAAATATTTTTTCTTGGAACTTAATGCCAAGTTTAACTCGGTTTAATAAGGGGATTACATAAACACAATATGAGCATGATTATTATAATAGTACTAGAGATACCCCTTTTTTTTTCTTTTTTTTTATGTCGAATGAGATACCCACTTACTACAATAAAATTTTGGTTATCATTTAATGTAGGACAAATTTTTGGTAAATTCCTACGAAGAAAAATAAAGAAAAGCAATCAGTTCAAGATTGGCATGAAAGCGTCAAAGAGAAAACTTTCTATTAAATATCAATTATGGCTTTAAAAGAGGAAGAATGATTATTACTGGAATTTTCAGATACGATTTTAGCTATAATTTATTTATTTTATTATTAGCTAAGTTTTAAGACTATTGTGGAATTAAGGTTTTTTTTTTTCTCTTTCTATAGGAGTTGTATTTGTAAGCTTTATTCATATCAATTAATAAAATCATTGAAATTTTATCTCTTTTTCGGTAGATTCCACTTTACTAATTTTAGGGTTAACATTCGTTTTTCTTTTATCATTTTCGTGCTTCCTGAATCCTGTGTCACAATTTTTTATGGAGCTGATTTTCCTACACCCTTTTCTCCACTTACACTCCCTTTTGCTTTATAATACATTTTAATCAATTTTATTCTTTTTTGTTCTTTCTCTTTCCTATTCTACACTTACTATACATTAATTTTTTAGCTCTTGGGAAATGTGTCTGTTCTTGTATGGTTGAATTCTCTTAGCTACCAAACATGTTTAAAATGATGATGTGACAAGCATATCTTAGATTATTGATGGACAAATGTGACTTTTCAGTTAGGATTATTTGTAGCAATGATCCCTCAACTATACTCAGAGTTACATTTTGGTCACTCAACTCAAATATTAATTGCAAAGGTCATTTTCAGCATGCAGGGATTCGAACCCCTTCCCCATTCTAAGGTCTGTAGCCACTTAACCATCACGCCAATCATCACTTTGTGATAATAAGCTATGGAATATGTATTTATAATACATGCGAGCTGTTTCTCAAAATAGAAATTAGCATAATTACTTATTGTTTTATATTGTTGATTAGTTACTTAATTACTTAATATAATTTATTTCTTTTCTATTTAATCCATTTAATGTTATTGATTATTTTATTATTCATTATAAGTACTTACATTACTAAATTCCCCTTCAAATTGTTGCTTAATTACTTAAATCTCTATAATTATTTTCTTTGTTTACTACTTAATTCTTCATTTGATAAGTTTATTTATGTTCTTAGTTAATTTTCAATCTTCATTATTATTTTTTAAGTATGGTAAAGTGCCTAATTTTCATGAAAAGTCAAGTTGGTTTAATTATTTTTCAATTTTTGATAAATAATAAATATAAGAACGTGTACTATGTCCAATGAATAATGTGAAATAAGGTTACACATGTATCTTACCATGCAATTTATAAAGTGTAAAATATTGTACTAAAAAATGATAAATAAATTACTATGGGGTGTTTAATTCTCTTCATTAATTACTCCATATTTTCTAAGTCACAGAGTTTGTCAGCTCGCAATATAATCAACTTAAATCACTCCAACCCACTATGCAATGCATTTCCTTCTAATTTTTTGTGTCAAAATAATAGATGATTGACTAAATAAACTTCTTCTAAAGTTTCATTAAAAATTTCCATATATTTATCATAATTTCTGTGGTTTTTATCCAATTTTTATCGATATCGGTACTTTCTCGATATTTCCATCGATATTTCCGTATTTTTGAACCACCGATATTTTCGAAACTATCGATATTTAAGACCTTTGCGGCTGGTCCAAGTAAGAGCCAAAATGGGGTGATTAGTCAAAACCGTAGGACTAATCACTTTGATAAGAGACAGGCTGGGCTTGGTAGGCGTACCGTGTACAAGGTGATTTTCGCGGTAAACGCGTCCTCCGCATGTCTTAGACCAGCAGTAGATCCCTTCTCTTTATTCTTTCACCCACCGACTCCCTCTCACCGACGGTTGAGATTAAACCTCAGGCCCAAGATTTACATGCCACGTGATCAAGGATGAATATGACCCAATTTTTGCAGCCTAGGGGCTTGGAGAAGGCCACCCACATTTCCCTATAAATTCGGGTCTCAAACTCAAACTTTGTCGAACCGCTTGAGGAGGAGACCACAACACACCCAAAGCTCCAATCTTTCCTCTACTCAAGCTCTCTCTCTCCCCCTCTCCCTCACTCTCTCGATTTTGAGGTGTGTTTCTGGTGCTTAACTGTCTTTTGCTTTCTGGATTCGTCTCATTTTGTATGATTTTGGCTTTTAGATCTGTTATTTTAAGTTGGTGGGTGTTTATGGACTTCATTTCATGTTGTCGTTTCGTGCCGTGTGAGTGAGTTTGTGATGAAATCGACCGAAATTGGAACTGGGTTTTTGTTATTTCTAGTAGATCCATTAGAAAGTAGTTGGCTTTTTTCGAAAATTTAAACTTTGGATTGTTTGGGGTTTTAGAAATGGGCTCTGACATTGCAGATCTGATAGCTTTTAATTGCATGCATTTGATTTGGTAATTCTTGGCGTATACGGAATTGGATCTGAATTTGGCTATGCATGTGTTTAATTTTGGATTTTGATTGCATAAAGACTGATAACTAAGCCTTATGCATGTGCTCCTGTTCTGTTTTTTTTCTTTCAGATTGTAAGAAATGGAGACCTTCTTGTTCACCTCTGAATCAGTCAATGAGGGTCACCCAGACAAGCTCTGTGATCAGATCTCAGACGCAGTGCTCGATGCCTGCCTTGCGCAAGACCCTGAGAGCAAGGTGGCCTGTGAAACCTGCACCAAGACCAACATGGTCATGGTCTTCGGAGAGATCACCACCAAGGCCAATGTAGACTATGAGAAGATTGTTCGTGACACATGCCGTACAATTGGCTTTGTATCAGACGATGTTGGTCTTGATGCTGACAATTGCAAGGTTCTTGTGAACATTGAGCAGCAAAGCCCTGACATTGCTCAGGGTGTCCATGGCCATTTGACCAAAAGGCCTGAGGAGATTGGTGCTGGTGACCAAGGTCACATGTTTGGCTATGCCACAGATGAGACCCCTGAGCTCATGCCCCTCAGCCATGTCCTTGCAACCAAGCTCGGTGCTAAGCTCACCGAGGTTCGCAAGAATGGTACTTGTGCTTGGTTGAGGCCTGATGGCAAGACCCAAGTGACTGTTGAGTACTACAACGACAAGGGCGCCATGGTTCCAATTCGTGTCCACACTGTCCTAATTTCGACCCAGCATGACGAGACCGTGACAAATGATGAGATTGCTGCTGATCTCAAGGAGCATGTGATCAAGCCTGTGATCCCTGAGAAGTACCTTGATGAGAAGACCATCTTCCATCTCAACCCATCTGGCCGATTCGTCATCGGAGGGCCTCATGGTGATGCTGGTCTCACTGGCAGGAAGATCATCATTGACACCTATGGAGGATGGGGAGCTCATGGTGGTGGTGCCTTCTCTGGGAAGGACCCAACTAAGGTGGACAGGAGTGGGGCCTACATTGTGAGGCAGGCTGCCAAGAGCATTGTGGCCAGTGGACTTGCCAGGAGGTGCATTGTGCAAGTTTCATATGCCATTGGTGTGCCTGAGCCTTTGTCTGTTTTTGTTGATTCTTATGGCACTGGGAAGATCCCAGACAAGGAAATTCTCAAGATTGTGAAGGAGAGCTTTGATTTCAGGCCTGGTATGATTGCCATCAACCTAGATCTCAAGAGGGGTGGCAATGGAAGGTTTTTGAAGACTGCTGCCTATGGGCATTTTGGCAGGGATGACACTGACTTCACATGGGAGGTGGTCAAGCCACTCAAATGGGACAAGGCCCAAGCTTGAAGCTCTCTCTCTCTCTGAATGAAGAAAGCCCTTCACCAACTTTGAATTAATTTGATTATGTGCTGCTGTTGCTCTCTATACAGGCAATTTGCCATTTGGGTTTTTGTTTAGTTATTTTTATTTTTATTAATGATTTGTATTTTTTGAGTTCTTTCAAGGATGTATTAGTTTATTATTATGTGGGTTAAGTGACAAAACATATGGAAATATGTGTTCACAGAGGTTGAATGTAATGCCATCATCGCTGCTCACTGAGATAATAAGAATTCATAGACAAATGGTTTTTGCGGTGAAGCAGCAACAATGTTTAAATTGTTCATTGTTGGTGCACATGGCAAGTGGCATTTAATACAATTGATAATTTGTCTTCTCCTATGACTTGTTTCTGCTGGTATTTTGGGGTTCTGCTATTGCCATGATTTACTGTTCAAGTGTTAAAAACATTTGTGACCCCCAAAGTCTCCTCAAACACTTAACATTTATGTAAGGGGTAAGGGGATGATAGTATTTTGCTATTTTGGCAAAACACGATAACACTATTTTGCTATTCCGGCAAAACACAATGTCATGTCTGCCCATTGAGGTTGTTTTTGGTTACCTATGTTGGTCAAACATGTGCTTCTGATTCTTTTGCTTGAACATTAAAAAAACAAAAAAGAATCTGAGGAAGCAGTGCTCTAGTTCAATTCTGATTCTTTCGCAGTTTCACCAGCTTAATAAAAAGAAAATTTTCAAAGCCATCGATTGAAGACTTTTAGTCTGTAAAGAAGCACAGAGAGAAAGTTGGTTACTTAAGTGCCCTCCCACCGAATTTGATGTAGATCTCAAAAAGAGTCGTGGGGGATTTGCTTCTCCACAGTTTCTTCTTTTGCTTAAACAAATATCTGAGCAACCAAACCAGGCTTGATGAAAAGGAGGAAGGCGAAGTTGATTGCGCACATGTACAATTAACCCATTGCTCACCTGTATAATTATCCCACTTGGGTTGTTTCAGACAAAGCACATGCAACTAAAAATGGGATTTATAATGGACATCGGGCTCGCTTTCTTTCATGATATTGTGTGTCGCACAATAATTTGATCATTTCAAGGGAAGCAGATATGACCCACATGTACAAACAACATGACACTCAAACTTTGGTTTACAATAACTTGTTTACAGCATACACCAGTTAGGCAGTTGATCAGGTAATGTCTCCGTCGTTTTGCATTCAAGTTCGAATTCCTATTTTCGTAATATGACAACTGAAATGTACAGAGTCGAATTAACTTCTTCTTTCACCATACTCGGTAGAAAATATTATGCAAATTTATTTATTTATTTATGAATCGGAGATGAATCATGAATGCAAAAGATGCCCATTGGGTCAAGGCCTTTTCTGACCCAGTTTTCCAGTTGGGCTCACACAGAGTCTCAAGCCTCAAAAGTTTGATTCTTGGCCATCAGTATGACCTTTTTCTTTTTTTGGTGCTTTTTCTTTATCAATGTCATTTTGTGAAATTTGAAACATCACCAAGCCACTATATTTTCAAGCAGCCTGGGAAAAGTGTGGAAAAGACTATATAACATGACATGATGTGTCTCAACTCAAGTTTTATAACATTAACGTCACAATTGGTTGCATCAGGAAGACAAATATTTTGGTTGGTAAATGGTTAAATCCTAAACATGCAGATCCCACTAAGTTTCATACTCTTCCTTGCTTTATTTTGCTTTTATCACATAATAGTATCAACTTTATTGTGTGAAAAGGCTTTTGAGTACGTAAGTTATTGTCTTGTAAGAATAAACATGACGGAACCATAATTTTTTTTCTTTTTCCAGTTGTTACAAAATTGTCTAAAATACATTAAATATCTTAAAAAGTACATCGAGCTATATGTAGGTTGGGGAGCACAAGACGGCCATCCCAGACCTACATGTGGCTCCGTCTATGAAGATAAACGATCTTAACCATTTGACTTACACCCTTCTCATCTACATGTGCTTGGTTATTTTTCCAACATGTGCAAAGCCTTTTATTTTTCCTTTCTGCAACTGATTGATAAATGGTAAATTTATTGGTATAGTAAATTTAGGTTTTAGCCACAAAAAAACTTTCACTTTTGGAAGCCATATTTTTTTCGAAAAAGACAGAAAAACCCATCAAATTTCAAACCAAAGACACACAAATGTAAAGAATTTCTTAGGAAATTCAAAAATAAATAAGGGCATTTTTATCCATTTTGGCTTCTTTTAAACATATTTCTCTCTCCTTTTGACCTTTTCCAAAATATCCCTACGATTTAGCTATTCAATCGTACTAGTAAATATAAGTGCATTTAGATTTTGAGGCCCACGCTTAAATAATGCTGTCCCATGCATGCCCCAACAAACATCACAGACTAAAATTAAGGTCTTGGTCATTTCAACAATGATTTTATTATTTTAACCCCGACAACGTGGAAAACGATAATACGGACAAAGAGCCTACAGAGCTGTATGATCTTCGTCTTTTTTTTTCTTGATCTCTGATGTTGATATGGAAAAGAAAAGAAAATTATGGGAAATGTTTACTTATTTCTGCAATAAATCAGGGCCGCGTGAACAGGGAGATGAATTTAAAATTTCAAGAATTAAACTAGCAAGTCTCTCTCAAAAATAAATAAATCAACTAACTAGCAAGGACAATCTTTATTGTTGGGACAATCTTTAAGTTGACTGTTAGTTTCAAGGTCTTTTTCCCATTAACTTTGCGTGGAATTTGATTACAGAAGAAAACTTGTACATACGAAGTGCAAAAGATGTTGTGAACATATCTCTTTGTGACCGCCCTCCACTGATGTAATGACAGTGGGGTACTGACCTCTATCTCAGTTGCAAAAAAGCAAGGATTATTCAGCAGGAAAAGAAAAGAAAAGAAAAGAAAAGAAAAGAAAAGCTACTTGGGCACGTCAGTATTTTGACAAGGATTGAGCTTTGCTGGAAATGGACTGCCATTTCTACCAGTTCACATTAGAAAAATATATGTGCAGTTGTTACCCAACTTAAGAAGGTTTTGTCTTGCATGCGATTATAGCACAAGTGGTTAAAAGCATTTACCTCGGCTGCATCCTAGCTCATAAGTTTGATTTTCCCAATTCTCAATATCGCTTGTATAAAAAAAATGCTCTCTCATTTAGGATTGACTGTTTAAGTCAAGTAAAGGTTGACTAACACTAAGTTATAAATTGAAGGGGATGCTTAGAGCACAGAGCAGCATATTATTCAAATGGAGCTAACACCAGTTGAAAGAAATGTCCACTCAATCATAGGGGAGGAGGATGAGGAAGTTCAGCTGCAGTGGGCTGCAATTGAGAGACTGCCTACATTAAAACGCCTCAGAACCTCACTTTTTGATGTTGGTGGTGGTGGGAATGGAAGCGGTGGAAAAGACTCGAAAGACTATGCAGGGAAGAGGGTGGTTGATGTTACTAAGTTAGGAGCACATGAGAGGCATCTGTTCATTGAAAAACTCATAAGCCACATAGAGAATGATAATCTGAAACTTCTACAGAAACTGCGAGAAAGAATAGACCGGTATTTATGCTTTAAAGTTTTGTCTTATGGCTGTTTAAGTTTCAATTTTGTGGGAAAATATAGTTTCTAGATTTATTATCAGTTTCTCAATCATGCATCTAGTGTCTTTTAGTCTGCTCATTTCAATTATCTTCATTTTATGGTTGTGGCGGCTACACATTGTGCTGGCTGCTCATATGTGCATTTTAGCTAACAAGAAGTTTTCTTCTAGAGTGAATGTGAAACTGCCGACAGTGGAGGTGAGGTACAAGAACTTGTTTGTGGAAGCAGAGTGTGAGGTAGTCCAAGGAAAGCCGCTTCCGACGCTATGGAACTCTCTTCTAAGCTTGTTATCAGTAAGTATATGTTTTGAACTCACTCTAAGTGGAGATATCTTGTTCTTCTAAGCTTGATGAAGGTACAACTTTTGAACAGGTTTTTACAAAGGCAATTTGGTTCAAATCTGTAGAAGCCAAGATAAGCATTCTAACAGATGTCAGTGGCATCATCAAACCATCAAGGTCTTGTATGCATGTTGAATTGCTAAGACTCTAGAACCCATTTTATCTTTTTGGATAATTATATTCCAAAATCAAGTAAGGAAATATTAAAATCTGAGAAACATATAATCAGTAGATCAAGCCATAGTTTCAAATTTTCAGTAAACAACTTTTTACTCATAAACATGGTTTAAATGCAGGCTTACTCTCCTTCTTGGTCCCCCAGGCTGTGGGAAAACCACCTTGTTACAAGCTCTTGCGGGAAAACAAGACAAATCTCTCAAGGTGAGCATTGCAAACAACCTTCTTTTTTTAAATAGTATTGATCAAGAAAAGACATGATTAGCAGTCAGATTAATGCAAGCCTATCCACATTAGACATGTAGGTCCTGAAGTCTTTTATATGTTAATATTCAAAAACTCAGTATATAATGGAGTGTATTAGTGAGTTAAACCATGTACAATCGTCATAAACTCAGTTTTTTTTTTTTTTTTTTTTTTTCAGGGGAGGGGATTTCTTATAATGGTCACAAGCTAGATGAGTTTGTCCCCCAGAAAACGTCAGCTTACATAAGCGAATACGACCTTCACATACCTGAGTTGACCGTGAGGGAAACAATCGACTTTTCTGCCCGCTGTCAGGGTGTTCGGAGTAGAGCTGGTGCATTCCTTATGCCCTTCTGCGTTTATTGTCATCTGGTTAATCGTGTAATTCTCGTGACATATGAAGATCAATTTCGTTTTGGCTATGCAGATATAATGATGGAGGTCAGCAGAAGAGAAAAAGAAGCGGGAATAGTCCCTGATCCAGATATTGACACCTACATGAAGGTAGTTGTGAAATCTTATAACATTCCCTCTAGTGAATTTTAAAACGGTGTTAGAGGCTTAGAGGTTAACATAATACTTGCAGGCAATATCAGTTCAAGGACAAAAGAGAAATCTCCAAACCGATTACATTTTGAAGGTAAATTTTCTCCCAGCAGTGTTGGCATTAAGTACTTGAAAAACAAACAATGTTTACTCACTTAGACATGCAAATTGAATTACTATATTTTGGTCTCTTAGATCCTCGGACTGGATACCTGTAGTGACACAATGGTTGGTGATGCATTAAGTAGAGGCATTTCAGGTGGCCAGAAGAAGAGGCTGACAACAGGTAGTAAATCTTGAAGTCAAGCTAAATTGAATTTCATTACTTCCCATGTATAAATATTTCAAGCATAACATTCCTTTTTCTGTTTAATTCTCAGGAGAGATGATTGTAGGTCCCACAAAAGCTCTATTTATGGATGAAATATCGACGGGATTAGACAGCTCTACAACATTTCAGATAGTTACCTATCTCCAGCAGTTGGTGCACATCACAGATGCAACTGCATTGGTATCACTTCTTCAACCAGCACCTGAGACCTTTGATCTGTTTGATGATGTAATATTAATGGGAGAGGGGAAGGTAGTTTACCATGGTCCTCGCAGCCACGCACTTCAGTTTTTTGAAGATTGCGGTTTCAAGTGCCCATCAAGAAAGGGTGCTGCAGATTTCCTTCAGGAGGTGCCATGCTTTATTTTCTCCTTTCTCCTTTTGGCAAAAACTCCACACCTAAGAAAAAAGCAGAATAATAACAATGATCTGTTTTCCACCATTTACAGGTAATCTCAAAGAAGGATCAAGCACAATACTGGAAGCATGATAACATTCCCTACTATCATGTTTCAGTGGATCAGTTATCACAACTTTTCAGAGCAAGTTACTTAGGAAATAAGTTAGACGATGAGCTCTCAAAACCATATGATAAATCGCAGTCCCATGACAATGCCTTATCATTTACCACTTACTCTGTGAGCAAATGGGAGTTGTTCAAAGCTTGCATGGCCAGGGAGCTGCTTCTTATGAAACGAAATTCCTTTGTTTATGTATTCAAAACAGTGCAGGTTTATTGTCACTGATATCACTATTCAGGGTTTTACTTTTGCAGCTAAACTCCAAGACACTTACATATTTTCATTCTCCTTTTTCCACAGCTTATCATCATTGCATTTATTACAATGACAGTATTTATAAGGACTCAGATGGCTGTGAATTTGACAAGCGCAAATTTTTTGTTGGGCGCATTGTTTTATACACTCGTTCGACATATGACAAATGGCGTTGCAGAGCTGTCCTTGACTGTTACTAGACTTCCAGTAGTTTACAAGCAAAGAGGATTCTATTTGTACCCAGCATGGGCGTATTCTATTCCGGCCTCTATGCTGAAGGTTCCATTTTCATTCATGGATTCAGTGCTTTGGACTGCCACAACTTACTATGTTATTGGGTATAGCCCAGAAATAAAAAGGTAAGAGGCAGTTTATAGTCACACAACAGAACAAGAAATTTTAGACCAGTAAATCACAATGCTTCACTGTTGCTTATGTTTGATAGAATTCCTTGTTTTTCCCAATGCTTTTTAGGTTCTTCTGCCAGTTCCTTGTGCTATTTGCTCTGCATCAAGCATCAACATCCATGTGTCGTTTGGTTGCTGTAATTTTCCGAACTATGGTTGCTGCAACAACTTGTGGTACTTTTATCTTAGTGGTAATGTTTTTATGTGGAGGCTTCATTTTGCCACAACGTAAGTCCATTCATAGTTTTTTTTTCCCTTTAAAATACATGCAATAATGACTAGGCTAATAAGGGGTGATTTTTCAGCCTCTCTACCTCCGTGGTTGAGGTGGGTATTCTGGTGTTCTCCTATGACTTATGGGGAAATAGGTACAGCTCTAAATGAATTCCTTGCTCCTCGCTGGCAAAAGGTACAAGGAAGATGATATAGTCTTTTAGTCCCTTTCCAAGTCACATAAATATGCTAACACCTTCAGTTAATTTTTATGGTTAGGTTTCAAAGGGAAACACAACCTTAGGGAATGAAGTTCTAACCAGTCATGGTCTGAACTTTGATGGCTCTTTCTATTGGATATCGGTAGGAGCATTATTCAGCTTCACAGTACTCTTCGATCTTGGATTTGCTTTAGCCTTAACTTACTTAAATCGTAAGTTCAATTTAATTGACGGATGATAATGTTTAGTATTACGAGACATTTTGTCAGTTTACTTCTTAACTCTTCCTAAATACAGCTCCAAAGATGTCTCGGGCTATTATTTCGGAAAAGAGGTTATCTCAACTACAAGGGAAAGATGCTTGCAACAACAGTGCTCAGTCAGAGAATGTATCAACTCCAGCTGATCTTTACCAAAATGTGGGAGAAAAGTTAAAATTTGGTGAGATTAGATAGTTACTAACTAAATTAATTCTCAATTTCATATCTTACATTCGAAACAATGAACGAGGACTATTAGTTACCGAATTATTAGATGAATCGGTTGGTGTTATACAGGGAAGATGGCCCTGGCTCTGCCATTTGAACCACTGACAATGTCATTTAAGGATGTGCAGTATTATGTTGATACCCCTCCGGTAATCAAATCATACTTAATATTCACATAAAATTATCATTGGTTGTTGCCTTGGGGAAAACTGATTAGTTTTTATGTTAACTTCATTCCCTCTGCAAAGGAAATGAGAGAGCATGGTTTCAAGCAGAAAAAGCTTCAGTTGCTTAAAGATATTACAGGAGCATTCAGACCTGGAATTCTTACAGCATTGATGGGTGTCAGTGGAGCTGGGAAAACAACTCTCATGGATGTTCTTTCTGGAAGGAAAACAGGAGGTACTATTGAAGGAGATATAAGAATAGGAGGGCACCCCAAGGTCCAGAAGACATTTGCAAGAATATCAGGTTACTGTGAGCAGACTGATATACATTCTCCACATATCACAGTAGGAGAATCAGTTATGTACTCAGCTTGGTTGCGGTTGCCACCTGACACTGATCCAGACACAAAATCTGTAAGATATTCTCTCAACTTATCAACACATGTTCCTTGAGAATTTATTACAATGTATATAGGAAACAATTTGAGTTTGAGTTAGATTTCACAATATAAGATATAAAAAATTGTCACAGGGCCATTCCTTGGGTGTAACAGAGTTCAATGCACTGCCCTCATAGTATACTTTTCTTATCTATTTCGCAGAGATTTGTGGAAGAAGTCATTGAAACGATTGAACTGGAGGATATAAAAGATTCTTTAGTTGGGATTCCTGGACAAAGTGGCCTATCCACTGAGCAGCGTAAAAGGCTAACAATTGCAGTGGAGCTTGTTTCCAATCCATCCATAATATTTATGGATGAACCTACATCAGGTTTAGACGCCAGAGCAGCTGCAATTGTCATGCGCGCAGTGAAGAACGTCGTTGACACAGGAAGGACAACTGTTTGCACGATTCACCAACCAAGCATTGATATCTTTGAGTCTTTTGATGAGGTAGCCTTCAGTCCTAAAATTAGACCAAATGATAGAAGCGTGTAACTAAGGAAGACATTGATTTTTGCAGTTAATTTTGATGAAAACGGGAGGACAGATCATCTATTCTGGAATATTAGGACATCAATCGAGTAAACTAATCGAATATTTCGAGGTATGCTCATAGTTTCAGCAGTGCATGCATATAGAGTTGCTGTATATTACTAACTCCAATATGCCACCATCCAACAGGGCATTCCTGGTGTACCAAAAATCAAAGATAATTACAATCCAGCAACATGGATGTTAGAAGTTACTTCTGCTTCGGTAGAGGAAGAACTTGGTTTAGATTTTGCCAGCATTTATAGAGAGTCTACTCAGTATAGGTGGGTGTGTATGTTATTACCCTTACTTGAAATGCATACTTTATCAGAAGGCATCCCATGGGATTAATTTCTTTGTGGATTATGAATGTTGAAAGTAAACTAGTCCATCTGTTGAGCAAGTTAAACATGATCATCAGGTTTTTTACTTCAGGTGTTAAATCAATCATAACATTATTTTATCTTTTGCAGGGACACAATTGAGCTGGTAAGACAGTTAAGCGTGCCAAAGCCGGGTTCAAAGGACTTGTATTTTCCCACTCATTTTCCTCAAAATAGCTGGGTGCAGTTTAAGGCATGCCTTTGGAAACAACACTTGTCCTACTGGAGAAGTCCTGAATACAATCTAGCACGTTTCATGTTTATGATTGGTGCATCAGTGTTGTTTGGGATAATCTTTTGGCAGAAAGGGAAGGAAATGTAAGCCCCATTTTCTCCCTTCATATTTATAACCAGAAGTAACCATTCATATATTTCAGAAAAGAAAAAAGGAAAGAAAACCATTCATGTAAATCTTTCTATATTGACATCTGTTAATCATTAAAGGAATTAGATCTTTCATAATAAAAATCAAAAGCACAAGAACTTTGCTAACTTCTAAATCCTATGTTTTCCATTTTCCTGAAGAAATAATGAGCAGGATTTGTTGAACATACTTGGGTCCATGTACATTGCCGTAATATTCTTGGGCGTAACCAATTGCAACTTAGTTCTGCCTTATGTGGAAACTGAGCGCACTGTTTTGTACCGGGAACGATTTGCTGGGATGTACTCATCAAAGGCTTATTCGTTTGCGCAGGTTCGATATTAACAGAAAATTTTAACATCTCTTGATTTATACTGGATCAGCCTAACTATGTATGTTCAATGTTGTAGGTGGCCGTGGAAATGCCATACACATTGTTGCAAGCAATTCTGTTTGTGATTATAACATACCCTACAATAGGGTATTATTGGTCAGCTACTAAGGTTTTTTGGTACTTTTATGCAACATTCTGGACATTTCTGTACTTTGTGTATCTTGGGATGCTGATTGCTTCTTTGAGCACAAACCTGGATGTTGCTTCCATTTTGGCAACTGCAGTCTACACCATATTGAATCTTTTCTCGGGCTTCCTCATGCCGGGACCGGTAAACGAATTCAACTCTTTCTTAATCTGATGCTGGAATTAACTGCAGTGACATGTGCAGGGAAGCTGACCATTATGTTGTATATGTTTTATGCAGAAAATTCCTAAGTGGTGGGTTTGGTGCTATTGGATATGTCCTACATCATGGTCCCTAAATGGCCTCCTGACCTCACAATATGGAGACATGAACAAAGAGATCTTGATTTTTGGGGAGCATAAAACAGTTGGTTCCTTCCTACAAGATTACTATGGTTTCCATCATGATGGTTTAGCCCTTGTGGCTATTGTTCTCATTGCTTTCCCAGTTGCTTATGCGTCTCTATTTGCCTATTGCATTGGGAAATTAAATTTTCAAAGAAGGTAGAAAGAAACCTGTTTTTACCAACACGGGTTGGTTCAGTTGGTAAGGTCCTTGCATTGTGTGTTGCCCTACTAGTATTCGAGTCTCACTGCCAGCAGTTCCATGTTTGGTGGACAATCTATATATTCCTCTGTAAATCTAAAACGATCTGAGGTTTGCTATGGCCCTGGGTGTGGGGGTAACCTCTCCCTTCCCTAAACTTTTATTTCATCAAAAATAAGATAGAAACCTGTTTTTGTATATATGCCTGTCCTATCTTGGATTGTTGACGGTTGAAATGTATCACAAAAAAACTTGGTGCAAATTTTGTATTGGTAATTCAACTACAAGATGTAATTAAAACCATCTGTGCTTGGTTAATTTCCACATTTGCAAAAACTTTTTAATTTACATTTCTGGGTTCTGATAAATTCTACTCTTTTAAGCTATTCAAAGTTTAAAGAGGTGAAATTTACAGACCCAGATGATGTTCTTGTGTTCATGCCCTAACAAGACAAAATGGAAGCAACCAAATATGTTAGATTTAAAAATTGCAGTCTTGGTAATTTCAAGGATTTTGATCCCAAGAATGTAGAACACGATGATATTGGGCCCAGCACAAAGGGTTCGGCCTCAAGACTTCAGTGAGTGGGCCCAACAGTATATATATCAACTACAAAAAAAAAAAAAAAAAAAAAAACAACAACAAAAAACATGGCTAGGGCTGGATTTTCGGACAGATCAGATCGGATAGTCCAATTCCATTACAAAAAAATTTGGAATGAAAATTCTTCTTCAATTCCGTTTCAAAACAAATTTTGAAAATTCAACATCCATTCCAATTTGGAAGACTCGGAATTTTCAGAATTTTTTTTTGGAAATTACATATATGAGAATCTTTTTTGCAAGTTTCAGAAAATTATTGAAAATTTTAAAGATGTCTAATGATTTGACAAGTTAAATTTGGCTCAAAATTGAAAATTCATATAGAAAAGCTCAAATAACTTTTATATGCTATCACTTATATTTTGTTATCCTTTATGAAATAGCTCGTCTATGTCTAGGTCTAAATTCTTCTAATAATCTTAGATTCCTTCATCTCAAAAAAGAAATCTTAAATTCCTTTACTTCTTACCTATTAATAAATAAACATATGCTTCTGGATATCTTCTACATCATGGTCCCTAAATGGCCTCTTGACTTCACAATATGGAGACATGAGCAAAGAGAGATTAATTTTTTGGGGAGCCTAAACCAGTTGGTTCCTTCATACAAGATTACTATGGTTTCCATCATGATCGTTTATTCCTTGTGCCTATTTTTCTCACTACTTTCCCAATTGCTTTTGCTTCACTGTTTGCCTATTGCATTCGGAAAATTAAATTTACAAAGAGGGTAGAAATGGTGGGTGGAGCTGTTCCTTAATTTTTCATGTGCAGTAACAAAGATGAACATGATCCCCCCTCCTTGACAGTCTTTATAGTTCTGTCCTTGTTTTCTAATCTTAGCAGTTCATGTCTTTCATGAAAAGATCTTAGCCGTTCAATCCTTGTCCATACCTGTCCTATATTTGACTGTAAAATATAAATTTTGTAATGGTGATTCAAATGAGGTGAGATTGAAGGAATTAGCTTTTTGAGAAGATACATCATACTTCATACATGTATCTATTAAATCCAGATACAGATTCTGAACGTTTACCTCCTCTGGAAGTTTAATTTTCCAATAAAGTATGCAAAAAGAGAAGCAAACACAATGGGGAGGAGAATAAGAACAACAGCAACAAGGCCTAAAAGGTGTAGTGAAACCCAAAGTAATCTTCTAAGAAGGCAGCAACGGTTTTAGTCTCCCCGAACGCCAGGATCTCGTCTGTATATCTCCATACTGCGCTGTAAGCATTCCATTTAGTGCCCATGATGTAGGACATATATAATACAACCAGAGCCACCACTTTGGGATTTGCTGCATCAAGAAAAAGAACAGGTCAAGTTAGTTTCCGCATTCAAATATTTCTACGCGTGTGGCCTAAAAGGATAATATCATCTAATTAGAAATGATTTTTGCCATTTAGAAGCATGAAGGTTAAACTTGATGCTTCCATAAACTACTGGTCTTGGAATGACGAACCCAGAAATTTTTTTTTTTTTTTTTTTTTTTTTTTTTTTTTTTTTTTTTTTTTTTTTTTTTTTTTTTTTTTTTTTTTTTTTTTTTTTTTTTTTTTTTTTTTTTTTTTTTTTTTTTTTTTTTTTTTTTTTTTTTTTTTTTTTTTTTTTTTTTTTTTTTTTTTTTTTTTTTTTTTTTTTTTTTTTTTTTTTTTTTTTTTTTTTTTTTTTTTTTTTTTTTTTTTTTTTTTTTTTTTTTTTTTTTTTTTTTTTTTTTTTTTTTTTTTTTTTTTTTTTTTTTTTTTTTTTTTTTTTTTTTTTTTTTTTTTTTTTTTTTTTTTTTTTTTTTTTTTTTTTTTTTTTTTTTTTTTTTTTTTTTTTTTTTTTTTTTTTTTTTTTTTTTTTTTTTTTTTTTTTTTTTTTTTGATTCCAGAAGAGTATTCCAAAACAGCAGAGATGAGCAAGACATAAAAATGATCCGTGTCAGATTATATGAAGGACTTCTCCAATAAGACAAGTTCTGTTTCCAGAAGCACGCTTTGAACTGCCCCCAACCATTCTGAGGAAAACGGGTAGGAAACTGCAAAACCTTTGAACCAGGAGATGGTGTACTCAATTGCTTGACTAACCTCTTGTTCTTCCTACAGTCAGAAGAGCAAGCGTCACACATATGTACTTAATATAAGTAAATGAAAAAATGTAGCCAATTTTAAGAATGAAACTCACCCTAGCATGGCTAAAGAAACCCCATAGGGTATGCAATGATGATAAATACCCAGTTCTTTCAACTTCATAAAGAAAAGGTAAGGGGAATCGTATTATGCTTACTCATTCAAGGCAGATTCCTTATAAATTTGTGAAAAATCTATACCAAGCTCAGCTTCTGCAGATTTTGAAGTGACTTCTAGCATCCATGTTGCTGGGTTATAATTGTCTTTCATTGAGGGCAACCCGGGGATACTCTAACCAAATGAAGGAAATTGGATCAGGACAAAGTAATTGTATTTTTTCCAGGGACAAGTTGTACGTTTGAAAAACAACGACAACAAAAATGACTAATGTAGTAAAACAGTTGTTCAACTACCTACCTCAAAGTACTCAATGACCCTGCTTGAGTTCTTCCCTAGTGGGCCACAATAGATTATGTGTCCTCCAGTTTTCATGAGAATCAACTGCAGTGATGGTAAGATGTGAATGATTGTTATCAAAAGGAAATATAAGTTCCTTAAAGTGTCAACATAATATATATATGGATAAGAAAGAAATATAACTAATTTAAGCATTTTACTTTGTAAATTTTTTAAGGGATGTAAGCTGGTCAAGCACAATACTCCTGAGTTGAAATGGGAAGAAGTCACATTGAAACTTCTGAGATCATCCCATTTGAGGTTCTGACAGACACTTTACCTCATCAAATGCCTCAAAAATGTCAATACTTGGTTGGTGGATGGTACAAACAACCGTTCTTCCTGTTGCAGAAACATTTTTCACCGCTCTCATAACAATAGCAGCTGCCCGTGCATCTAAACCTGAAGTTGGTTCATCCATGAACATGATAGATGGATTGGCAACGAGTTCCACAGCTATGGTCAGTCGTTTGCGCTGCTCAGTTGATAAACCGCTAACCCCTGCTATGCCCACTAAGCAGTCTTTAATCCCATCAAGCTCAATAGTTTCAAGGACTTCATTTACAAATTCCTGGGGAAGGAAGAAAAATGTATGGTGCAATTTAATTTGGATGTTCAAATCCAGAACCATTGAAATAATCATGTTCTTGAAAAGATACCATACAGCTTTAGTATTTGAATCAATCTGAGAAGGGAGCCGCAGCCAAGCAGAGTACACTACTGATTCTTCCACGGTTATTTGTGGAGAATGTATGTCACTTTGCTCACAATAACCTGATATCCGAGCAAATGTATCTTGCACCTTTGGGTAACCACCAATTCTTATTTCCCCTTCATGGTACCACCAGTTTTCCTTCCACAGAGAACATCCATGAGAGTTGTTTTCCCAGCCCCACTGACACCCATTAATGCTGTTAGTATACCTGGCCTGAAAGAACCTGTAATATCAGAAAAGGAGCTGGAGCCTTTTTTCTGTGAAGCCCCGCTTTCTCATTTCCTACAATATAAAAATAGAAGAACTAACCATATTAGCTGGCATAGTTCACTCCTTGTATTTCAGAACTACTCAGAATCTGAAGAGAGAGGTTCCCAAAGATTACCAAAGGGGTGTCAACATAGTATTGTACATCCTGAAATGCTACGGCTAGGGGCTCAAATGGCAAAACCATTCTTCCTGGAAAAACAAGAGAAGAAAAAGAAGAACTGTTATTTATGTTAACAAAAAAGAACACACTGACCAATCTACTGTAGAATTAAATAAGTGAAAAGAGAAAAACTAGAATCACCCTCACCCTTCTTGGGTTCGGCAGAAGTTTTAGGTGCACTAATGGATTTCCCCTCTGTTGCTATATCAGTTTTGCTGTCTCTTTTTCCTTGTAGTTGACAGTACTTTTCGTAAGAAATTAGAGCAGGGGGCCTTCCCGGAGCTGAACATAAAACAAAAGCTGGGTTAACAAAAGTATAAAATACGTTGTTGCTTAAAGTGGCCAAGTATTGGATAGAATACAAACTTACACTTAAAGAGTGTCAAAGCCAAGGTGAAACCAACATTGAATAGTACTGTGAATCCCAATAATGCACCAACTGATATCCAATAAAAATAGCCTTCAAAATTTAATCCACGGCTTTCCAGTACTTGTCGCCCAAGAGTTGTGTTTGAATAGACCTGTGAATATAAATAATACAAATTTATAAATAAAGAGCAAAGTCATTAGTGAATGAGGAAGAACTCCTTCAGGTTGCTAATAGGAACATGATTAGAATCACCCTATGTATAATCACAAAGAAAGAAATAGAAGGAAGAAAAGCTCTCAAATCTATGGTAAGGAAACAGAATTCTAAATTTTCACTTTGTAATTGTACAATTAGAAGCAATGAAGCAATAGCTCTACCCTCGCTATATCACCTGTTCCCATCGGGGTGCTTGGAATTCATTAACTGTCATTCCTATCTCCCCATAGGTCAAAGGAGAAACCCAAAATCCCCACTTCAACCAAGCTGGCATATAAGCTGCAACAAAACATATTTAAACATGACTAGAGAAGCAAAATTTATTGACATAAATATGGGGAAATCTTATGGAAATCTTACATTTTGGTATAACAAAGCCACCAAATAATAAGACAGACAATATTGCTGAACTACCAGCTGTCATAGAAGCACCCACGGTTTGGAAAAATGAAGCAATAAACCGAAACATGGATATTGATGTTAAGTGGACAGCAAAGAGTAGAAGGAACTGGCGAAAGAACCTGGAAAATACAGTAGAAAAATGTAAGAACTACAGTGACATTCGAAATATCTAACAAGACTATTTCGAGAAAAGAGACAGAAGCACAGATTACCAATATGCATATTCTGCCATGCATTAGCTATAGATACCACTGAAGCATAATTCATGCAAGATCTCATACAATAAAGTCTTAGTTTAGATGGTAACAGCCACCTAGCTGAATGTTCTTCAGCATAGAAGAGCTTATTTACAGTCAAGCATGTAATAGTCTATCACTTAACCATCTAGCTAAAAACTGAATTTTCAATCTGTGACTCACCTTCCAACCTCAGGGCTGTAACCAATAACATAGTATGTAAGAACTGTCCAAACAAAAGCCTCCAAGAACGAAAGTGGAACCTTTAGGATGGCAGCTGGGATTGCATAAGCCCAAGCAGGATAAAAACACAACTCTTTCTGTTTGTAGAAAACCCCAATTCTTGAGACAGTCATTGACAATTCTGGGAAGCCATCAACAAGAAGTATGAGGAGTGCATAGAATAAAGAACCCATATAATAATTTGCGTGGACCATGTCAATAGCCATTCGAGTTCGAAGGAAAACTGTCATCGTTATTGAAGCAATTATGACTAGCTGCAGAAAGAAAGAATACAGTTATGACCAGATATAAAAAAAGTTATAAACTGAAAACACTTAAAATAAGGGGGAAAAGAAATAAGGAAGCTACCTGAATTGATTTGAAAACATAAATAAAAGAATTCCTTTTCATCAGAAGAAATTCCCTCCTTGTGCAAGATTTAAACAGTTCCCATTTAGGTAATGAGTATGTTCTAAAAGATAGAGCATCCTTGTGGCTCTGAGACTTATCAAATAGCTTTGAGAGCTCCTCATTTAGCTGCCAGCCAAGATGTCCATCCTCAAATTTTTTAATGAACTGATCAACAGAAATGTAACTGTAAGGTTGCTCTGCACAGTCCCAATACTGTGCTTGATCTTTTCTAGAGATAACCTGAAGCAAATCAAGATAAGAAAACGTTCAATACTATAGATAATAGGACATCGATTGAGATATGAGTATGACAATAACACCTACCTCCTGAAGGAAGTCGGCAACACCTTTCCTTTCTGGGCACTTAAACCCACACTCCTCAAAAAAATTCAGAATTTCTGTTCTTGGCCCGTGAAACACAATCTTCCCTTCCGCCATTAAGAGGACATCATCAAAGAGATCAAATGTCTCTGGTGCAGGCTGAAGAAGCGAAATCAATGCAGTTGCATCTGTGATATGCACAAAATGCTGAAGACAAGACACAAGTTGGAAAGTGGTAGAACTATCTAAGCCATTAGATATTTCATCCATGAACAGAGCTTTTGCAGGTCCAACAATCATTTCCCCTGCATAATACAGAAATTATGGAGCATCATATCTGATTTGACTCGGGAAACTGAAATGCATGCAAAGTTTACTGTTATGCCAACACTACCTGTAGTCAACCGTTTCTTTTGACCACCGGATATTCCTCTTCTTATGGGATCTCCTACCAACGTGTCAGCACAGATTTCCAGACCAAGTATCTGTAAGACATTGGATAGTGAACAAGAAGGCAACTTAAAACGAGCTGATTGAAAACACACTTCGTAGGGAATTATAATACCTTAAGAATGTAGTCAGTTTGAAGTGTATTTTTCAGTCCCTTAACAGATGTGGCCTGCAACAGACAATTTTCAATCACAGTTAGACCAATGAAATTCTGCAGAACACTGCGAACAAGGCATCTTAGGTACCTTCATGTAAGCATCTACATCAGGATCTGGAACTATTCCTACCTGCTTTTCCCTTCTACTGACTTCCACCATAATCTCTATATGCACAAAAAACGTAATGATAATACCAATATGATAAACGTGTTGATAACAGTTTCAAACTGGCTAATTATTGCAGGCAAGAATGCATACCGGTTCGACTTCCTACACCTTGACAACATGCAGAGAAATCAAGCGTTTCCCTTGCAGTGATCTCTGGAATATGCACATCATATTGGCTTACATAAGCTGAGGTTTTCTGAGGAACAAATTCTTCTAGTCTATAACCATTGTAACATATTTCGCCGGAAACCTATTAGAATAAAATAAATACTAAAAGAATTAGAAGCAGACCCTTTGGACATTGATAAAGCCTTTTGGTTTACCACTATTAACCAAAGCTTAAGACACTCCCCCTCACAGGTGGGCCTTAATATCAGTTGGAAAAACAATTATTTACTTTTTACACACCTTGAGAGAATGGCTTAGCTTCCCTGAGAGTGCCATCAGCAATGTGGTTTTTCCACAACCTGGAGGGCCAAGCAATAAAGTCATCCTGCAATGAAGAGAGGCCAAAGTTGGTTAACTCTTAAGTTGGTTACTTATTAATTTTCTAATATACTTCTTAAAGTGTTCTAAAAATATATCAAAATTTCTGAAGAATTTGAAAGAAAGAAAAAAAATTATGTCTGCTCATTACTTTCCCATTTTCAAAATTTTAGAAGGTAAAGAACCCATTTTAGTCAAAGACATCTGCTAAACTCCATAAGGACAGAGAAACACTCATGTTTGATACAACAGATGGAATTCATTAAATTCTATAGCAGCCACAACTTTTTAAGTTAGAAACCAAGGTAAAAGAAACTAACCTTCCCGGCTTAATAATACCACTGACATCTTTGACGATGCTTATCTTGGCTTCACGCGTTTTTGAACCAGTCAGCTCTGTGATGCCCTGTCATAAAGAGAGCTCAAGTGACTAATTTAGAAATTGAGAATTTAGATTCAAAGTCGCCCATGCATAGCCAAAAAATAAGTTGGACATTATGAATTAAGATGCTTACCAAAACCAAACTCTTTAGAGTATTCCATAGAGTGGGTAGGGGCTTGCCATGAACTACCTTGCACTCTGCTTCCACACAAAGATTCTTATATCTCACTTCCACCGTAGGCAACTTTACACCAACTCTACAAGAGAAGTGCAAAACGAATGTTAATATTTTACAGCAGCTCACTTTATGCACAATAATAAATTAGCCATATTTAATTTAGTTTCCTGTTTTTTCTGTTATTTTCCATGTTTCTAGTAAAATTAGTGTGATTTGTGCTCAAAAGTAGATATCTACATAAACCCGAAAAGAAGAAGAAAAAACATTACTTGTCTATTCTTCGTCTAATCTTCTGCAACAACTGAAGATTGTCATTTTCAATGTGTTTGATAAGCTTCTCAATGAAAACACGTCTTTCTTGAGCTCCAAGCTTGGTAACATCAACCACCCGTGTCCCTTTACCGTCTCCTTTTGTAGACGTGCCATCATATTCATCAAACAGAGCCGAAGTTATCCTCTCAAAAGTGGGCAGTCTCTCAACTGCGGCCCATTGTAAGTCATGTTCTTCATCACCAACAACATCATTGTCTCCTGCATTGACAGTGGTGGCGCTCCGAAAACTTGAGGCATGACTTCGAAATGAGGATCTTATACTCCTCCCAATCTCTGCCAGCTCTATACGGAAAGACTCTATTTCATCTGCCCCTGCCAACTGAGCCATTTTTAGATAGAACAAATGGATGAACCATCCAGACAGATCATATAAGTATCATGAAAAGCCTGAACATGATGGTCAATGACGTAATGCAATGCGTCATGTTTTGCTGTGGCAAGGAAATGGCAACTGGATTTGAACCCAATTGTTTATCACTGCAAGGACTTTATCTTCGGCAATGAAAGTGAACAGAATCAATTAACAATAGTTAAAACAATAAACAATACTTGAACACCGAACCAAAACCAAAACCAAAGCGGCATGGCTCATTCTGTTAAGTTATGCTCTATATATAATAAAAGATTCCTTTGACTTTCTTCCACCAGTTTAAGATAGCATATCAAGCAGCTCTTCCTCAATTTTGGGACTGGGATTTGGAAGGAGAAAAATGGAAAAGCCAAGTGGGTCCCAGGTGGGTAATGACATCAAAGTCTCTGGTATGATTATCAGTTATCACATTACAACGTTACCTATCTGACTTTGTGTCGCAGGTTTTAGGTTATTGTTTGTTTAATGTACAGAAGAGAATACCGGAATGGCATTGTGCCTGCCACCATGAAAGGCCAACATTTACTAAGTTAGCGTGTGAGGATAGAAGTCTTCTCTCCTACTTAGCCCTTTTTGCCTGTGTCTTAAAATGTCGTGTGGTCATCTCATCTCATTTGACATACCAACATCTCGTCCAAGCCACTCTCAACTCAAACATGTTCTTGAGTGGAAAAATGTTAGGTTAACCGTCATACGTCAAATTCTAATTCTAATAAGTGTAGGACACACCACGCAAAAGTGGATCCTTCCATTTCCATGATAACTCAATAAAAGTTACCGGTATCAACTGTTTTCGAACAGGTATGATTGTTTGAGGCGCCACTGCCACTGTTGCTCCATCTTGCGGGTGGTTTTATGATATAACGTCTTTCTGAACTTGAGCTTGCTTTAACATTTATTTTTATGACTATCGGTTGTCTGAGCATGTAATCAAAGATTGCCTTTACCAAATTCATTGTTTGCTGGACGTGCCAACATCAGTCTTAGCATGAATCTATAAGAGCATTCTACCAGTAATTAAAACAGCAACCCAGTACATAAAGAAAAACACGGCAAAAAGAAAATAATTTCCAACAAACAACAAAAAAGATGTGTTTATAGACCACTGCTGTTCCATAGACCACCTTCTATACTGTCCAGCTCCTGCTGGAGACAATACATATGAAATTGCATTAAAAACAAAAGTACTTCTCCTGTTCGCAGTTAGCACTCTTACAAATCTCCGTACAAATTTGCACGCTATTTTGAGATGACCTCGAGTTTGCAGAGAGGCACTTATCAACTCTGTATATACAGTCATTTTCCAAAATATTTCACCCAGCGTATCGGAGATGTCTAAAACAATTCTTACAGTCCTCCACAAAATACATAAAGCCAGTGGAAGCAGCATTGTTAACATCCATCCCTGAATGGAAAAGTTTGATTACCTGATCACTCAAAATTCAACGATAAGAGTCCAGTACTGCTGCATTAGAACTGTGGGGATGCCTAATGTGAGATTAGGGGATTCTTGAAACATATTGTTGTTTTCAAATATCTCAATCAGACAACAGCATCAGACTCAATTCCTGAGGAGTTGTCATTTTGGTTAACATCAACACCAATCTCCTGCTCCAAGTAGTAGATCTTATCGTTCATACCTTCCTTACTATATGCCTCAACCATAAGAGAGTATGTTGTGGAATCCGGTGGACATTGCTTCTCTTTCATCCGCTTAAAAACTCTCTCCATCTCCATCAAATCCTCTGCCTTTGCACATGCAGCTATTACTGCATTATAAAATGTGGTATTCTCGGGTATCTCAAACTTTCCGGCCAACTGAACACTGCTAACCACCTTATGGAAGAGACCTGCATTGGCATATCCATTAATAAGGCAGCAGAACGTTTTGGTGTCTGCTTTCATGCCCTCAGCACGCATCTGATCAAATGTGTACTCCATGTTTTTTGCATCTCCTACATCAGCGAAAGCCTCAATCACATTGTTGTATGTTGCTGTTGTCCATGGGAATTGAAGCTTGCGCATGTACTCCATCACAGTTGACATTTTATCATACAATTTCTTTTTCCCATAAGCACCAATCAGAATATTAAAAGTGCGAGTTTCTGGCTCAATCCCAAAATCACGGAATTTCTCATACCATCGCTCCATCATATCTATCTGACCCTTGTTGCCAAACACACTAAGGATAACATTCATTGTCCAGACATCAGGCTTGCAAGTTGCACCCTCCAGCATCCCTGACAACACTTTTTCCATCTGATCATACTTCCCAGCTTTACCATATCCACTCAACACTATGTTTTGGGTGACTGTGTTTGGAGTTATTAACCGTTCAGCCATTTCCTCATACAAGGACTCAACTAATTCGAATTTCAAAGCATCAATGCAAACCTTTATTAAGGTACTGTATGTAAAAACGTCAGGCTGGCAATGCGGGAGGGTCTTCATCTGGTTGAGAACAGAAAATGCCTCATCAATTAGATTGTTCCGACAATAAGCTGTAAGTAGGGCTGTGTAGAGTTCAAGAGTTGGTTCACAGCCTTCTTCAACCATTGCGTCAAAAAGCTGACGGGCACGATGGGGTTGGCCACATCTTCCAAGCAGACCAAGGAGTTTCATGTAAGTCCCTTCTTTTGGTTGATAAAAAGGTTGTTCTCTTAGCATGTCAAATACCTGAACAGTCAATACTAGCCAATTTTATCATCATTTTACAAACAAGAACACCTAACTGTTGGTTAGTAAACATGGCTATGATACTGTAAGTCTGTATGATACCAGTCCTAATTCTAGTTTCCTTAAAGTCAGACATTCAGATACAAAAGGAACTCAACTGGGTAAGCAAAGAGAGTAGCATTTTTTATTTATTTTTCAGCAATTTACTTTCACCAAACTGTAAACCCAAAAGGGAAAAAAAATGAAAACTTTCTCCATTTTTTGTTTGAGGTAAGGACCTAATGCTCAAAATAAAATGAACCCAGAAAGAGAAACATAGAGAAGGGCCAACCTCAAGAGCTTGAAGCCATTGCTTCTTGTCTATGGCGTCAGACAAGGCTTCAGTGACGGTGTTGGCCCAGGCCTTGGCGTTGTTCTTGCGGTCCAACTTCTTCTTCACATTTTTTAAGGGGGCCCTTCTGTAAGTCCCAGGAATCGATGTCTCTGAGACCCCTGGAAACTCACCTTGCTTCCAGTGCCTCTTTCTGGTCTCAGAAGACGAAGACGAAGTTGAACGAGTGCGTGTAGCTGGTGCTGCGAATGCGCAGTGTACTAGCTTAAAGTTTGAGTCTTGGGCTCTGTGGATGGCTGTGGAGTTCTTATTGAGAGGGAGAGGATGAGGAAGCAGAGAAGAAGAGAATGAGAGAGAGATTGAAGAAGCCATGGCTTTGCGAAATTTGAGAGTTGAAAAACAAGGGATACCAGTGAGTGAGTTCGGAAGCAAGGACATGCAAAATGACCACTTTGTCCTTCGTTCCTTATCCTCTTATAATTACACTTCCGATTTTTATTTACTTTTTCCTTTTTTATTTGGTTTCAGCAAACTACAAACGAGTGCTGCTATTTCCACCCACCTGTCCTATTTTTCCACCCACCTTATCTTTTAACTTTTAAAGACAAATTTAACCATATTGTAAAATGACTTAAAAGGACTTAAGGAAAAAGAGAGAGGAAAAAAAAAGTTAGACTTCTCAGTTCTCAAGTAACCCTATCGTTTGACAAAGAGAAAAAAAAACACAAGAATACGACTCCTTGCTCATGAGAAGGTGAAGAAGGCGAGTACTGTTGTTTTTCCCTTATCTGTTTGGCTTTGTACTCTTTGACATTCCCATGTCTTAAGAATGAGCGTTTTATATATATATATATATATATATATATATATATATATTTTAATTGCAAAGTTCTGGTCCTTGGATAAAAAGTTTATTTACAATACTAGAAAGCTAAGAGCATAAATGTGATTATATTCACATAATCCATATTTACAAAAATAAAAATTACAACAAAAACTGTTTTAGTTCAGTAAACATGAGAGACAGAGACAGAGACAGATGGAGTGTGAGAGATGGAAAATAAGATAGAGCAAAAATGAGAGAGAGATGTGTGTGCCGTCAGAGAGAGAGAGAAGACATGAGCAGAGAGAATAAAGGAGAGAGGAAATGATTTAATAATTAAAAGGGTATTTTAGGAATATTGGTGGGTGTAAAAATAGGATTGTGTTTTTTAAAATTTATATGGTGGGTGGGAAAATAGGACAGGTGGGTGAAAATAGCAGCACTCACTACAAACCCAAAAGGAAAAAGATGTAAAATTGTTCTTCAGTTTATTTTATAATAGAAGCGATTACTACTCTAAATTAACCATTTTGTACAGTATAGCCAGGCGGCTATACTTTTTACATAGGTTTAAGTGCTACAGTGCCTCTGAAACATTGGTCAGTTCTCACTAAACCCCCTTAAAGTTAAAGTGACCCACTTTACTTCCTTCACTAATATTTTGTGTCTCACTTTGCCCCTCACTGTCAAGTTTGTTAAAAATTCCGTTAAAAATATTGACGTGGCACCAATGGGACCCATTATTTTGCTAAACTAAGTGCCATGTATGAAGAAAAAAAAATTAAAAAGTCTTTTTAAAAACTTAATTTAACTATTAAAATAAAAATAATACTTTAAAACCAAAAAAATCCCCAATTCCCCTCCTCCAACCCCATTATCCCTTCCCAGTCGCCATCAGCACAATCACACTCGACCCTCATCTCTCTTCCTCTCCCGTAGGAGAAAAACTTGCCTGGCACAAGGATGCCAGCTAAGCTTTCAACGTCAATATCCCCATCCAATTACATCTTGACAGCTGGCGATCACTTTCACACTTAATAAAATTTTTTTCACCTCAGTTCCTTTCGGCGCATCCCCCAACTCAAACCCTCCACTCGCTTCTCTTCCCACCACCGACTCTCTCTCTCATCTATCCTTCTCTTCTCCTGCAAGTTGCAGGCTGTATGATAACATGATCCTAAATTAATAGTTAAATATTAAAATATTCAAGTAAAAGACAATTTTACCTCGAGAATATTTTAATGGGTTTAAAGTTGACTTTTTGTTCAGGAAAGAATTTGGGGATTTGAGTGGTATCTCTACGCAACGATATGAGTTCTTAGACACGTAGTGGGCTCAAATCGGAGTTTAAAGAAGAAGTTACAATCAATGGAATTGCAATGGCACAACCGTAAATATTTCAAAGTTAGAATTTTAAAGGGGACAGCTCAGTTTCTCTCTCCACCTCTCTCTCTCTCTCTCTCTCTCTCTCTCTCTCTCTCTCTCTCTCTCTCTCTTTTCTTCCCCGACCCTCCCTCTTGCGACGCACACAGACCCGGCCACTGTGTGGTCGGCTAACTTCACCGTCCGACCACCCCTGCGACTGAGACCGGTCGGGATGTGACTGTGAGGGGCCGGCGATCATGACCAGATGAAAGCCCAGCCACATCCTCCGCTCAGGGAGGCGCTAGGAGCTCGGATTTGGCCGTGACTGCTTAGGTTTTTCGCCTCCGTTCTGGGCGATTCCAACCACCGTTTTTTACAAACCAGGTATGGATTTCAATCTTCTCCACACACTCTAGTTGTTTGTGTTAAATTATTAGGATTCTCTAGCTGATAGAGTTTGGGTTTCCTTGTTTTTAGGATTGTAGTGGTTTGAAGTCATGCATAATAATCCCTACTCTTAAGGGACAAGTTATTTTCTGTTTAGACTTAGTCATGTACCACGACTCTAGGACTGTAAGGTCGTGGGTTGTTATTTCCCTTCCTGTTTGATGTAAGGCTATTATATATAGCTGTGTTGGTTCCTTTATTAATTAAGAAGTTCTCCCTGCATTTGTGTGTTATCGTGTTTTGTTTCTGTAAAGTTCTTTGTCGTTGCACTTGGTTCTAACATCTGGTATCAGAGCTCCATCACGGGGCCTGACCAACAGCTTGTACCACAGACATCAACGTGAAGAAATAACATGACAAGCGAGAGCAACTTTGTGCAGCCTGCTATCCCACGGTTCGATGGACACTACGATCACTGGAGCATGCTTATGGAGAATTTTCTGCGTTCAAAGGAGTATTGGAGTTTGGTAGAAACTGGGATCTCTGCAGCAGCGGAAGGGACAGATCTTACTGATGGACAGAAGAAGGTGATTGAGGATCAAAAGTTGAAGGACCTGAAGACTAAGAACTATCTATTCCAAGCCATTGATCGATCCATTTTGGAGACGATATTAAAAAAAGACACAGCAAAGGATATCTGGGATTCTTTGAAGCAGAAGTACCAAGGGACAGCACGAGTTAAACGGGCACAACTCCAAGCTCTTCGCAAGGAGTTTGAAGTGCTGCACATGAAAGCTGGGGAATCGGTGAATAACTACTTTGGAAGAACTCTCATCATAGCCAATAAGATGAGAATTCACGGTGAAAGGATGGAGGATGTGGTGATCATCGAGAAGATCTTGAGATCCATGACTCCTAAGTATGACTATGTTGTATGCTCGATCGAGGAATCAAATGATTTGGATATTTTATCCATAGATGAGCTTCAAAGCAGTCTTTTGGTGCATGAACAACGGATCAGCCGTCACACTGTGGATGAACAAGCCCTTCAGATCACTCACGGACAACCAGGAGGAAGAGGTGGTGGTTCTTTCCGAGGAAGAGGAAGAGGTAGGGGTAGGTTTGATAAATCTACCCTAGAGTGTTATAACTGTCATGAGTTGGGTCATTTTCAATGGGAATGTCCCAAAAGAGCAAGAGATACAAAGGTGAACTTTGCCGAGACCGGTGAAGAGATGCTTTTAATGGCGTATGTGGATGGCATCCAGGCTGGAAGAGATCACTTGTGGTTTCTTGATTCTGGGTGTAGTAATCACATGTGTGGGAAAAGAGAGTTATTTTCACAATTTGATAATAATTTCAGAGAAAAAGTGAAGCTGGGCAATGATATGAGTCTCAATGTGCAAGGGAAGGGCAACATTCGAATGGAGATAAATGGGATCATGCAGGTGATTACTGAAGTTTTCTTTGTGCCAGCGTTGACTAACAATTTACTAAGCATTGGTCAATTGCAAGAGAAGGGTCTTACAGTGCTCATGCAACACAGCAAGTGCAAGATTTATCATCCTGAAAAAGGTTTAATCATGGAAACCGAGATGGCATGCAACAGAATGTTCGCTGTGCTTGGTCGCTGTCCACCAAAGGAGGAAAACTGTTTCTCCTCTATGACCACAGATCAAACTCAACTCTGGCATTGCCGTTATGGTCATCTCAGTTGGAATGGTCTCAAGGTGATCCAACAAAAGAATATGGTGGATGGATTGCCTCAGTTGAAAGCTCCGTTAAAGATTTGCGAAGACTGCTTGATAGGAAAACAACATCGCGATCCTTTTCCAAGGGAAAGCACATGGAGGGCATCTGGAGTTCTTCAGTTAGTGCATGCAGACATATGTGGGCCAATAAATCCAATCTCGAATAGCAAAAAAAGGTATTTCATTACCTTTATTGATGATTTTAGCAGAAAAACTTGGGCTTATTTTTTGGTTGAAAAATCAGAAGCGTTTGCTACCTTTAAATCCTACAAAACTAAAGTTGAGAAAGAAACCGGTGCATTCATAAAGAGACTTCGAACTGATCGTGGGGGAGAGTTCACATCACAAGAGTTCACCCACTTCTGTGATGAGAATGGCATTCAAAGGCAATTAACAGCTGCATACACACCTCAACAGAACGGGGTCGCAGAGAGAAAGAATCGCACTATCATGAATATGGTGCGCAACATGCTGTCAGAGAAACAAATCCCAAAGAATTTTTGGCCTGAAGCAGTGAATTGGACAGTGCATGTCTTGAACAGAAGCCCGACACTTGCTGTGAGAAGCAAGACACCAGAAGAAGCCTGGAGTGGGTTCAAGCCTTCAGTCAATCACTTTAGGGTTTTTGGATGCATCTCCCATGTTCATGTACCTGATAGCAAGAGAGTAAAGCTTGATGCCAAAAGTCTGAAATGCATATTACTTGGGGTAAGTGAAGAATCCAAGGCTTACAGACTATTTGATCCTATTTCTCAAAAAATAATTGTGAGTCGAGATGTGGTCTTTGAAGAAGACCAAAGGTGGAACTGGGATGACAGTCACAAGGAAACTATTTTGGCTGATTTGGAATGGGAGGAAAATGAAAATACAGGTACCAATGCAAGCTTTGGGGAGGAAACTACAGCAAACATCACTCCAGAAAATGAACTTGAAAACATAGGGTCTGTTCAAAGTCTCGAAGAAGGAGAGTCTTCAAGTGATGGCAGTCCTCTTCATGGAGAACGAGTTCGAAGACCACCAAGGTGGATGCAAGATTATGAAAGTGGGCAGGGCCTCTCTAATGAAGAAAATGTCGATATGGCTCATCTAGCCTTATTCTCTGACCGTGACCCTTTGACATACGAGGATGCAGTGAAGAGTAGCAAATGGAGACATGCCATGGACGCTGAAATCGAAGCTATTGTGAAGAATGATACATGGGAACTCACCGAGTTGCCATCTGGAGTGAAGACAATTGGAGTAAAATGGGTTTTTAAAACAAAACTCAATGAACATGGGGAAGTGGACAAATACAAGGCTCGGCTCGTCGCGAAAGGGTACAGCCAACGGTATGGAGTGGATTATGCCGAGGTGTTTGCACCAGTAGCTCGTTTGGATACCATTCGAATGGTCATCTCACTTGCTGCCCAGAAAAGCTGGATTATCTACCAGCTAGACGTCAAATCTGCGTTTCTCCATGGAAAGATAGATGAAGAAGTGTTCGTGGATCAACCACCAGGTTATGAACAAAAGGGAGAGGAATATAAGGTATATCGACTGAAGAAGGCTTTGTACGGACTTAAACAAGCTCCCCGAGCTTGGTACAGTCGAATAGAGACCTATTTTGATCGAGAAGGCTTTGAGAAGTGCCCTTATGAGCACACTTTGTTCATAAAAACGGCAGATGGAGGTAAACTTTTGATTGTGTGCCTTTATGTTGATGATCTTATATTCACTGGTAATGATGAGACTATGTTTGAACACTTTAAGAAATCCATGATGGTTGAATTTGACATGACTGATCTTGGTAAGATGAGATATTTTCTTGGAATTGAAGTTTCGCAAAGGGTGGATGGTATATTCATCAGTCAACGGAAGTATGCTCAAGAGGTTTTGGAGAGATTCAATATGTACCAGTGCAATCCAGTGCTCAATCCAATAGTTCCTGGCATTAAACTTACTAGGGATGAAAATGGAGTAAGGATTGATGGGACATTTTACAAACAGATCGTGGGAAGCCTTATGTATTTGACTGCGACTCGGCCCGATTTGATGTTTGTAGTAAGTTTAATTAGTAGATACATGGAACGACCCACTGAAACTCATTTGCAAGCAGCAAAGAGAGTGTTAAGGTATGTGAAGGGTACAGTCAGTTTTGGATTGTTTTACAAGAAGGGAGGAACTAAGGAACTTGTTGGCTACACAGATAGCGACTACGCTGGTGATCAAAACGACAGGAAGAGCACCTCTGGTTATGTTTTTATTCTGAGTTCAAGTGCAGTTTCTTGGTCTTCAAAGAAACAGCCAGTAGTCACCCTTTCAACTACCGAAGCAGAGTTCATCGCTGCTGCGTCTAGTGCTTGCCAAGCTGTGTGGCTAAGGAGGATCTTGGAGCAGCTTAATCATGGTCAATGCAAACCAACGGTGGTTCACTGTGATAACATCTCAGCCATTAAACTGTCAAAGAATCCAGTCATGCATGGTCGTAGCAAACATATTGATGTGCGTTTTCACTTTCTTCGAAATCTCATCAAAGATGAAGTTGTTGAATTGGTGCAGTGTTCTACACATGAGCAAATTGCAGATATTCTGACAAAGCCACTAAAGCTCGAGGTGTTCGTGAAGATGCGTGGTCTTATGGGTGTCTGCGAATATCCAGGGATAAACTGAATGTTGATAGCATTCAGTTGAAGGGAGGATGTTAAATTATTAGGATTCTCTAGCTGATAGAGTTTGGGTTTCCTTGTTTTTAGGATTGTAGTGGTTTGAAGTCATGCATAATAATCCCTACTCTTAAGGGACAAGTTATTTTCTGTTTAGACTTAGTCATGTACCACGACTCTAGGACTGTAAGGTCGTGGGGTTGTTATTTCCCTTCCTGTTTGATGTAAGGCTATTATATATAGCTGTGTTGGTTCCTTTATTAATTAAGAAGTTCTCCCTGCATTTGTGTGTTATCGTGTTTTGTTTCTGTAAAGTTCTTTGTCGTTGCACTTGGTTCTAACAGTTTGTATGGTTGGATTAGATCATTTTGGAGTTTTGAACTCAATCTAAAACCCAGAAAAAAATTTATTTTTGGATCGAGTTTCCGGCCACTTCCTGGCCAAATTGGAGGTCGGCTAAGTTGTATAAATTGCTCCCCTAGTTTTCTTGATCACGTAGGTATAAGTATTGATGGGTGAATTGAGAAATTTCCGTCATCGAAAATTTACTCAAGCCACCCACATGTGTGGCAGCGGGTGGGCCAAGTTTGGGTGGCCCATTTGGTCCTAAAATGATCCACATGTTGTCCTGAGCACGACGGTATGCTATGATTCAAATTTAGTTATCGTTTCACGGTCGAACAGATTTTTACATATTAGGTGATATCCGGGTTCGATATGTTTGGACGGTTGGATTGACTCCATTTTCAAATATGTTGATCAAGGAACCTCTAGGATCCTGTAGGAACTCGTGGATCAAGAATCGGAGTCCCGGGTACTCCGAACAAATGATTCAAAGTTTAGGCAAAACGGTGACCATTTGATCGTGCGATCAAGAGCGATTCGACTACTCGATCGATACCAAACTCTCGGGACATGTTAAGTAGACCTTGTCGGACTTATAGGAACGTTTGGATTAGAAATCAGAGGATGTGTGCCCTGCGGGCTCAATTGATCAATTCCACGATCGGGGTCCCGTTGAATCATGACGAAACCTTTAGAATGAGCTAAACTTATGGTTACGGACCAATATGAATTGGCAACTAACAAATTGAGGTTGTGATACAGTCAATTTAGATTATGGGCTTTGTCGGCTCGGTTGAGGCCATTGGTAGTTTTCTTTAAGGAAATTTTGTTATTGTTATCTTTCTTTATAATTGGAGGGTTATCATAGAATGATATCATACTATGGAAGATTATTTAAATGTTCATGAGTTCTTATGTAATCACTTTTACTTTTTATGTATTTTATATTATGTTTAGTTGTGAAGAGTTGGGAATGGTTTGTTAATCGAATTTTCATGTGAATAAGAAATTAATTAAATATCTAAGTATATATTTATATTTAATATATATATATACACACACACACACTCAGTGGATTGAAACCGATGAATTATGGATACTAATTCTCAATAGTATGGGGTACATATTTAAATGCAGTTGAGAACAATTTTGAAAGATGATGTATGGTTAAATTCAATTAAGAAATGTTGTGACTGATCTCGTTTTAATAAAGGACTTATGTAATTGGATTTATGAAATAAGAGGAAATTTTATGATTAGTTTTGGAATATAATTTTCAAACTCACCACGAGGGTACCCCCCAGTTGCCTTTGGACAGTCTTATCATTTATGAAAATGCCCCATGAGTTACGAGGACGCCTGAGTCATGTGGTGCAAGGATATGCGTTCTCGGGCTAACTACATGTCCCTGAGTTCTGCAAGGTTGTAACATACATGATACTTGGAATTGACGGAATATTATTGAAATTGACAAAATATTATTCGAATTTACAGAATATTACTGGAATTAACGGAATATTATTGAAATTGACGGAATATTATTGCAATTGACATAATATTACTGGAATTGACGGAATATTAGTCGAATTGACTGATTATGAATGGGGGTATGCCTAGGTATAGAGAATTTAGGTTTTGAGATGTTTAAGCTAAAATTAATGATTTTATCTTGACACTTATTGGTGAAAGTTTTAATACATGTTTTCAAAGTTATGAGATAAGAATTGAGAGTTTTCTAAGTTCAAAGGTTATTATACAATTCACAACTATTTTATTAAGTGATATTTATTCATGTGCTTACTTATGGGTTGAACTTTTTATTATTATTTAGTCTTATTTACTGTAGCACTCCTTGAAACTTTGGTCAAATCTCACTTTGCCCCCCAAAAGTTAAAATGGCCAACTTAACCCTCTTGACCATGGTTTTGTGTTCCATTTTGCCCTCTGCTATTATCTCCATTCATAACTCCGTCAATTTTGATGACGTGGTAGGGCTATTTTCGTATTTTTACCACAAATGATGATGTGTTATGTACATGGCCCACTTTTTATCTGAAGTGAAATAACATATTAATAAAAATAAAAATAATATAATTAAATAATGTATTTGCTATTTAATTAAAAGAATATCTTGTTCTTTGTCTCTCTCTTTCGACCTCTCTCCTTCTTCCTCTAACTTCAACATCATACCACAACCACCACCTAACACAAAGCTATCCTCACCACGACCACTCCAACCCCATCGGAAAATCACCCACCTGACCACAGTATAGTGCATCCATCTTCAACCCTGCAAAGATACATCATTTAAAATCACTAACAGAAAAACCCTCTAAGTAATGCTTCTGGGATTTCAACCTACAGAATTTATCAATCGTCCATGTGAATGCTACAGACAGAAAAAATGATTTTGTTTTTTCTTGACAAACAGAGAAAGTGGGAAGTTACATGCAAGACTGTTCCTACACAAACTGCAACATCCAAGCTCCTGGTCCTCTGTAATTGTATATACATGATATTATATATACACATATGTATCAGTGTATATTTGATAAATGAATAAAGAAAGGGTTGATTATATCATTACAAAACGCAACAACTTGCTCAGCCTCCATTTTTGGTCTACCAACCCAAAAACAGTAAATAAAAGAAAAATCACCATATTATAACAATAATAAACACCAAAAATCACACAACATAGCCTAATATAGAAAACCCATTAACTCAATCATATAGGGCAACACATATGATGCTACAAACAACATTCTCTTATACTACACACCGAAATAAATGTGGACAAAATTACTCTGCTTATTTTTTGAAGCATTGCCCTGTTTTTGTTTTTTGTTGGCATTGATTTTGAGTTTTGAAGAAAATGTTCAGTGATGAGGAAAAGCAAATGGGCGGACAAAATCTGATGCTATGTAGATTGTCTGCAACTTCTACTTGTGGAATGGCTCTGAGGATCTTTGAATTTTGTTTAATTCTACTTGTAGGCCCAGATCTAGGGCTTTCTTGGTCCAAGCTACAAAGCCTCAAGCAAGCGAAGAATGGTCGGGGTTTGAGCGGCAGCCAAGGTGTGGAGGCTGGGAGCGCTTGGGACACGAAGCCATGGTCGTGCTCCATGTCAACAACAATAAGATTATAGCCGGAGAGGCCATCGATCTTGGCGAGGGTTGGGGAGAAGGAGATGAGGTAGCTGTGGAAGTGGAGGTGTGGTTGGAGAAGGTGGTTGATTTGATGGGTGAGGAGGTGGTGGTGAGGTTTAGGGTTTTGACTGGTGGCTGCTTTGGGTGGCGTTGGGTTGGGTGGTGGTTGTGGTCTGATGGTGAAGTTAGGGGAAGGAGAGGGCATAGAGAGACTCAGAAAGATGAAGAAGAAGATCTTTTTAATAAATTAAATTAAATTTTCCATTTAAATTTCTTTTAATTAAACAGTAATTACATTATTTTTATTTTTATTAATATGTTATTTCACTTCAGCAAAAAAAGTGGGCCATGTACATGACACATCATCACTTGTGGTAAAAATACGAAAATAGCACTGCCATGTCATCAAAATTGACGGAGTTATGAATGGAGATTGCATGGGGCAAAGTGGAACACAAAACCATGGTCAAGGGGGTTAAGTGAGCCATTTTAACTTTCGGGGGGCAAAGTGAGATTTGATCAAAGTTTCAGGGGGCGCTATAGTAAATAAGTCTATTATTTATATATGTAAAGAACTACGTGTGGCTTGATCCCTTAGTAAGGGTACATAGGTAACCTAGAGTTATCTAGGTGTAGCCGCAAAATAAACTATTGAATTGTGCTTCGAATTGGTTTAGTTTGAAACCCATTGTAATTAAGCAAATTTTGGTTTACCGTTAATTCTTGTTTATAACAAGGTGAATGTCAGTGTTTTGATTATATTGTACAAGCCTGAGTTCCATTTGAATCACTGTTGAATTGCATATGGACGAAATTCTTGTATGCTGAACGATTGGGATTATAGAATTATGTTTTCTACAGGTGCAAATAATTTGGTAAATGTCTGTTTTTCAGGGGAGACTTTATCGGTTTTCAGGTAGAAGTCAAACCCTAAAGCAATTTTTGAATTAGGGCAAAAATGGCAATTTAGACATTGGTCCCCGACACCTGCCAGGTGTTGGACTCACAAGGGGTTCGACACGGATTCCAAAGTGGAATTTAGGTCGGGTCCTATCAGGCTGCAACTCAAATCCCCTTTCTTTCTCTCATATCTCTCGCGCTCTCTCTTTCTAATCTCATTGTCTCACTTTCTTTCTCTTCTCTCCCTCACTTTCTCTCTCTTTCTTCGCGTCAACAATATTGGAGGCTGATCTCCAGATCTAATGTTAGCCAGCTTGAATATGGAGGTCGGCAAGGTTGCCGCCTCCATTGTTGTTAGCTTGACTCATGAGGAGAGAGAAGGAGAGATGAGAGTGAGAGAGAAGATGTTGACAACGATGGAGGAGGGGAGGGGGCCACAGAGGATGGATGATGGAGGTGGCAACGTTGCAGTGGAAGGCAGCACCGGTCGGAAAGATAAATGGTTTTTTTTCTTTAAAAAAGAGAAATGGGAAGAGAAGGATAAGATGAGAGAGAGTCGGCGGTGGGAAAAGAAGAGAGAGGTCAGTTTGAGTCAGGGGTGGTTGTGGTTATAGTGATGGGAAGGGATAATGGGGTTAGATAAGGGAAATTGGGGATTTTTTGGTTTTGCATATTATTTTTATTTTTAATAGTTTAATTATGTTTTTTAAAAGACATTTTTTATTTTTTTATTTTTTTTTTCACACATGGCACTTAGTTTAGAGAAATAATGGGTCTCATTGGTGCCACGTTACCATTTTTAACAGAATTTTTAACAGACTTGATGGTGAGGGGCAAAGTAAGACACAAAACATCGATCAATGGGGCAAAGAGGATCACTTTAACTTTAAGGGAGTTTAATGGGAATTGACCAATATTTCAGGGGGTACTATAGCACTTAAGCCTTTTAAATATTAATATATTTTATAACCCTATGTTATACTAAACGTATATTGAGATCCAAACTCTAATCATAAAACCCTAACTCGAGTTACGTGAGTATTCGAGCCTAATTAATTGTTAGAGTTTGGAGGAAAATTGGGCACTTAGAAAAAGTGTTTCATTAAATAAAGAATAATTTAATATAACTAAATCATAAGATATTACTTAATTGCAAATATTAAACTATAATAATTTTGTATTAAAAAAATAGAAAACAAAGTGCACAAAATAATTTAAAATAAATAATTACTATATATTAAGTCATTTATGAAATTAGTAAAATATTTAAATACTAATTATTCACTAAATAAATAATAATTAAAACATAATTACTCATTAAAGTAATTTAAAAAGGCTAAAATATTATATAATTACAAAGAAGAAAACCATTTTGGGCAGTATAGCCGCGCGGCTATACTGTCAGAATATTCGAATATATTAAAAGAGTACAGACGCGCAGCTAGACCCTCTACTTTTAATTAAATATTATATTTTAAAAGTGTGGTCGGAATATCTTTAAAGTAAATTTAGGTTTTAGCCACACAAAAATTTTCACTTTTGGAAAAAGCCAAAACTTTTTCAAAAAAGACAGAAAAACCTATCAACTTTCAAACTAAAGACATACAAATGTAAATGATTCCTTAGGAAATTTAAAAATAAATAAGGGCAATTTTGTCCATTTTGGCTTATTTTAAAAAATTTCTATAGACTAATTAGTTATAGCAATTAGGAAATGCATTAAACCGTATCATATATGGATTAGAAAATGACTTACATGTTCCAGGGCGATTGAATTCGGACATAGTTGCTGAACCCCAAAAAAGTTTATGGATTTCATATCAGCAAAAGTCTGTTAAGATTGCATTGTCTCTCATAAGCATTCAGCAATCAACAAAAGAAGAAGAAAAAAATTTGATCCCAAAGGAATATAGGAAATGTACATGTATATATAGTATATATAGTGGCGGTTCTAGCCATGGGCTGGCAGGGCTCATGCCCAGCCCAAAATTTTGACAAAAAAAAATACTAAGTAACTTGCCCAGCCAATAATTCAAAGGCAAGTAGCCCACTCACTTAAATAAAGAATATATGCACTGCAAGTGCAACAGCCAAAATTAAAATCTGATGAACCCGCGTGCAGTCAGCCACCAAACAGAAACTTCACTCTCTGTGAAAAATATCAGCACTTCCCTCTCCGTCTCAAGCTCAACCTTCAGCCACCATCAACTCAACTCTCAACTTCTTTGTAGGAGCAACTTCTCTTCTTGGCAACAAGTATTCTTCTCTCATTCTCTCATTTTAATTATCTTATGCTCTTTAATTTGAATAGAAAATATTCTAGGGTTTAATTAGGAATGAATTCTAATTGGGAGACTTTGTTGAAATTAATTAGAGCTTTGATTTTAGGAATTTTGTTGAGATATTTAATTTGTTGTTGGTATTGTTATGATGTTTGATTTGTGTGTTGTGTTGGTATGTTTGATTAAATGCATTGATTATATTATGATAATTAGTTTTGTTGTTGTTGACATGTTTGACTAAAATAATTTGTACATATTATTTATAGGTTATCTTTTATTATGTCGGATCACAATCGGAACCCCAAGAAAATAAAGAACTTGTTGTCTTTTTTAAGAAAAAGAATGATGGTGGGTCATCATCTAATACGATGCCTAGCACTTCTTTATCTACTCTAATTTGTGATGAGCAAAATCTTCCCGAGTCTCCCATTGTTGAGCCTCAAGTTGAAAGAGTTGAGAGTCAAAGAGTTAATGATGATCAAGATTTTAATATCAATTATCTTGAACGTGATCCAGGATTACGTCGTCTAATATGCAAATATTCAGTGAATGAACAAGATAATGTGCGAAGAGCATATATTCTTTTAGGGCCATGTCAACCCGAGTTAGAAGATTATCCAAGCCACTTAGAAGAGAAAATCTTACGTCAATTTAATAAAAAGTGGTTTGGTCAATTCTCTTGGCTTGAGTATTCAGTTGCTAAGAACAAGGCATTTTGTTTTCCTTGTTTCCTATTTGATAGGACTCAATCATTTCCAGCCTTTACTGTTGATGGGTTTCAAAGTTGGAAGAGAATTGGTGGGAATCATTGTGCATTTCAACATCATGTAGGCAAACTAAATTCACCACATCATCTTTCTATGCAAAAGTGGATTAGCTTAAAAAATCCTTATGTTCATATTGAAGAAGTGGTAGAAAAGCAATCAAATCAACAAGTGATGGACAATCAGTTGCGACTTACAACCACAACAGAGGGCATTAGGTATCTAGCAAATCAAGCATTGGCTTTTCGAGGCCATGATGAATTTATTGGCTCATCTAATCGAGGCAATTTCGTTGAAATCATAAAGTGTTTTGCAAAAATGAATATGGAAGTTGAGAAAGTTGTCCTAGATAAGGCTCCTCAAAATGCTCAGTATATTTCCAATGACATACAAAAACAAATCTTGCATATTTTTGCTACCAAGGTGAGGAAGACAATTTGTAGAGAACTTGGGATGAACAAATTTTGTATTCTTGTTGATGAATCACTTGATGAATCGGGTAAAGAACAAATGGCTATTATTCTAAGATTTGTTGATGGTCAAGGATTTATTCGTGAGCGTTTTTTCGACATTGTGAGTGTTGCAGACACTAATGCCTTGACTCTTAAAAAAGAGATATGCAAAGTGCTTGGTAATAATGGCATTCTAATGGAAAACATGCGTGGTCAAGGGTATGATGGTGCTAGTAATATGCGTGGTTCATGGAATAGATTACAAGCATTGTTTCTTGAAGATTGTCCATATGCATATTATGTGCATTGTTTTGCTCATCGCTCGCAATTAGCATTAAATGGCGCAGCTAAATATGTGAAAGTTGTATGGAGATTTTTTTTAATGCTGACTAACATTGTGAATTTTGTTAGTGCTTCTGTTAAGCGCCGTAATGAGTTAAACTTAATTTGAAAAACTGAACTCAAGGAGTTGTTGGATTCTGGAGAACTTGAGACAGGTAAAGGACTTAATCAAGCTCGTACTTTGAAACGAGCTGGAGCAACTCGTTGGGGATCTCATTTTGCCTCTATTACAAGTTTGATGAGTCTATTTAAAGAGACTAAATTACTTCTTTTAGAAATCAGTGATCATGGACCTAACCAACAGTTTCGTGGCGATGCAGAGAGTAACTATATTGCTATGATGTCTTTTGAGTTTGTGTTTTCATTGGTTTTGATGGAGAAAATTATGGGATTGACCAATTTTCTTTGTCAAGCATTTCAGACGAAAACTCAAGACATTGTAAGTGTAACACCCCGACTCCAAATTTATTCCTATTTTAATTAAATTAAGAGAATTATTAATTTACTCTTGGGTTAAGGGTAATTTTGGTCATTTTCTTATCCGGAAGGATTTTGGGACCACGAGTGGTTTGGTTGCGTAGGTGGTACTGAGACGAAACCATAGACAGGCGGTAGGCTTCAATCGGAGATTTAATGAAGTTTTGGCGATCAAAATAAGCTCGATGGCGGAACCGTAATTAATTTGAAAAGAGTTTGGGGTAAAATCAGATTTTTCACTTTTACCCCTCACTTTCTCTCTCTCTCTCCCGCGTCTCCTTCCTCTGCGTGCGACAGCTCTCCCTCGTCACTGTGCAAACCGAACGGAAACCACCGTGATGCCACCGCCACAGTCCACGACCGCCCTCGAGACCGGTCCCGTTCGACTCGTCGTGAAGTTCCGATCAAAACCCACCTGTTATCCCGACCGAAAAGCTCGAAATCCGGCCACGATATTGACTGGTTCAAACCGGAGGTTTTCGCGCTATTGCACCGCCGTCTCCGCCGTCCATTTCCGGCGAACCAGGTGAGGTTTCTTCTCCTTTTTACGTGCTCTAGCTGTTTTTGGGGTTAGATTAGAACGATTTTGAAGTTTGGAAGTTAGGTTTTGGCCGGTTTTCAATTTGAAATTACGGCCAGTTCCCGTGCGAATTGGACCTCGTGGTAGTTGAATAAAGTGATCCTGACCTTGAGAAGAAGCTAGGGTAGGAAGGGTGAGCGTTGGTGTGGAGATTTTTCCGTCGCCGGAAATTTCTCTACACACCCACGCGCTGCCGGCGCGTGTGGCGGCGCGTGGACAAGGCTGGTGAAGTTGCTTTTCATCCTGACGAGATCCTTAGGTTGCCACGAGTGCATAGGATTTTACGGATCTCAATTTGGATGTCGTTTGACTATCGAACGGATTTCGCATATTGTGCGTTATCCGAGTTCGATAGGTTCTAACCGTCGGATCGTTTCCAAACTGAAGTATGTTGATTTAGGTACTCTTAGAAACCTATAGGAATTCGCGGATCGTGAATCGGAGCCCCGGATGTTCCGATTCAATAATTTGAAGTTTGTGGGATTAGCGATAACCGTAGGATGGGAAGCGATTCCCAAACCTGTAACCGGACCTTAGGATATCCTATTGGACGTACACGCACCGGGATCTTGGGGATTTAAGTATTCTCTTTTGTGAATTCCCGTTTCGAAGTGTATTATGTTAATCAAGGGTTCGTATCTCGAAATAGGTACTTCGGTCGATCATTCGCAGCAGGCAGGACCCTCTCGGGGCCGGGCAGCGTGGGATTACCTGTGAGTGGACTTTGTTTTCAAGCATTTGCATGGTTTTACTGATAAAAGATTTGTGCATATGTTTTTTAAATGGAAATGTGATTTATTAAGTATTTGGTTGATGGATTTGGATATTCATATACGTATTGGCAATATATTTTGAGTATGGCTATGTTTGAGTATTATGGATATGTTTATATAGATTTTGGAATGTCTATCTATATTGCCTATGTATAGAGTACGAGGAGTTGTTGTGAGATTGTGGAAAGATATGAGTTTGAGGGATGGTTGTGAGATGTATGAGTATGTTAGGTGAGTACCATTCCCTGGTTACTAGGCTTCCCACACACGTCGTTGGCAGTGCTGGTGGGGTGGGAAGGCCATGAGATTGCGGGTCTCACACATGTCGTTGGCAGTGCCGGTGTGTGAGACACTTCCCATACATGTCGTTGGCAGTGCCGGTGTATGGGAAGAGTATGTATATTGCTTAGTATTATCACACATGTCGTTGGCAGTGCCGGTGGGGTGATGATACTGTCTACGCGCGTAGGACTTGTTATGAGATTTGTGAGCTACACGTGTCGTTGGCAGTGCCGGCGTGTGAGCTATGGAGTTTCGTCCCCCGGTTGGACTACTCATCCCTAGACGCGGGTTAGTGTTCGAAAATCCTGCGTACCAGCCAACAATCCCCTGGTTGGATTGTTTTCCCCGGTACATTAGTATGGAGAGAAGTATACGTTATATTATAGATATATATACTTATATATGTATACATATGTATGGGTTGGTGAGAGTTGCATACTTTTGGGAATGGAGTTGTGATTTGAGATTTTGAGAGTTATTGGACTTTGAGATTTTATGTTTGAGTATTTGGTTTTTGGATGTGGAAACTGCATGCTTGAGCATTATTTTTACACGGTGGGGTTATTATGTTGTTTTAAATGCAAACTTTATTTTTTGTCCACTCACATATTTATGTTTTGCGCCCCCCAGGCAGTAGTGGCTTTTGGAAGCGTTCGAGCAGGTTGCGAGCTCCAAACTTTCCATCTGTAGATAGGATTCGTGTAAATTCCTTCTACTATATTGTTGTTGTAAACAAATCCTGTTAGATGCTCTGTTATCGCCCATGTTAGGTTGTTACTTGAGGCCGGAGGCCACTTTATTTTGAATTGTTGTATGTTGAAAGCATGCTGGCAGTTGGGATTTATATTATGTAAATTATGCAGGTTGAATGTTGTTGGGTTTGAGCATTTTACAGGGGAGACTCGGCCAAAATTTTGGTAGGATGTCTTGGGTTTTTTAGTAAGTGGGCCCGGCATCGGTGTGATGTCGGCACCAAGACGAGGTCCGCCCCGGTTTCAGGGGAAATTCTGGGGCGGGTCCTGTCAAGTGCTTTAAATTTTGTTGAGAACACAAAAATGCAACTTGAAGATATGAGGGAAAATGGTTGGGATGATTTTTTCATGAGTGTGGTATCATTTTGTGAACTACATTGTGTTGATGTTCTTGATATGGGTGGTCGTTATATAATGGGTACACGTCGTTCTTGCCAACAAAAAGATTTTATTACAATTGAGCATGCCTGTCGCATTGATGTATTTAATGATGTTATAGATTGTATGATGAGAGAGTTAAATGTTAGATTTCCTGAGCAAACAGTTGAACTTCTTACTCTTAACTCAGCATTGGATCTGCGTAATTCTTTCATGTCATTCAATATTGAGCATATATGTAAACTTGCTCAGAAATTCTATCCTGCTGATTTCCTTCCTCATGAGTTGAAAGCTTTAGAAGTAGAGCTCAAATATTTTCAGAATGATATAAAACGTCTTCCATGCTTTAAGAAAATCACTACTCTTCCTCAGTTATGTCAATAATTGGTGGAAACAACTTTGGGGGAAAACTACTATTTGATTGACAGGTTGGTTCGGTTGGTGTTGACTCTTCCTGTTTCTACAGCAACAACGGAACGAGCTTTCTCCTGTATGAGAATTATTAAGAATTGACTTCGAAGCACCATAAGTGATGAATTTCTTGGTGATTGTATGATCCTCCACATTGACAGAGAGTTTGCCAATGCTATTGACAATGCATCTATAATTGACGAATTTAAGAGTTCTAAGCCTCGTAAGATTAGATTTTAGATTTAAATAATGTTGTTTTGTATTGCATTGCATTGCATTTAACTTTTGTTTTTATTTTAGTTTTTGTATTTGTAGATCTAGATGCATTTGAGGGTAAGGCTCATTACGTCCCCCCTGACTAGGTGTATCTTTTTATGTTTATTAATGAAATTCACTCGTACCGTCAAGTTTATTACTAAATTTTGCCCAGTCAGCTTTCAAATCCTGGAACCGCCACTGAGTATATAGCATATATCTCTAAAACTACAATTTGCAACACCAGCATATGGAATTTCATGAATGATCTAACAAAAGATTCTATAGAAGGTACAAACCTTGGTGGATGCATTTGCTGCAATGCTACAAATTCCACCAAATATGTAATTCCGCTTCACTCCCGCAACGAAAGGAGCCATTTCCTCATCTCTGTGTGTTATCCATGGATAGAGCAAAATAAATAAAATGCAAGTTCCATTTCCAAGAAAATGTGTCAGTCAAAAAAAGTGGTTCATTAAATAAAGAACAATTAAATGTAAATAATAATTAATATAATTAAATCAGGCTAAGATAGTACTTAATTACAAATATTAAACTAAACAAAATAATTCTGTATAATAAAAAATAAAAAATAAAAAGCACAAAATAATTAATTCTTCTATATTAAGTAATTTATGAAATTAGTAAAATACTTAAATATTAATTATTCACTAAAGAAATAAGAATTAAAACATAATTAATAATTAAAGTAATTAAAAAGGCTAAGATATTGTATAATTACAAAGAAGAAAACCATTTTGGACTGTATAGCCGCGCAGCGATACTTTCAGAATATTCAAATATATTAAAAGAGTACAGCCGCACAGCTATACTCTTTAAATATTATATTTTAAAAGTATAGTACAACACCAGCATATGGTATTTCATGAATGATTTAACAAAAGATTCTATAGAATGTACAAACCTTGATGCATGCATTTGCTGCAATGTTACAAATGCCACCAAATATGTAATTCCTCTTCACTCCCGCAACGAAAGGTGTCATTTCCTCATCGATGTGTGTCATCCATGGTAGAGAAACACAAATAAAATGTAAGGTCTATTTCCAAGAAAATGTGGCACTCAGAAAAAGTGGTTCATTAAATATAAATAATAATTAATATAATTAAATCCGGTTAAGATATTGCTTAATTGCAAATATTATTCAAAAAGTAATACGTTTTCATCAATCACAATATATGGCATGAATCTCTTCCTTGGCATTATGAAAGCTTTATGGGATTATGACCAATATAGAGGCAGTGATGGCACAGTGCTGCCCGATATGGTGGTAAGATAGGCGGTCCGGCAACTAGCTTGGTGGGGAAACATGGTGGTGCAGCGGCTTGATAAATAACATATGATTAATAATGGGAATTTAGGGTTATACTCATTATTATTGTTTTTATTTTTATTAAAGAATTAATCATTCTTAAATATACGCGGGCATTTAATTAGTTTAAAATTAATGATTTGACATGTGCCACATCATTTGGGATACAAATTGTGGTGTCCCTAACATTATCCAAGAAAATATGGCACTTAGAAAAAAGTGATTCATTACTTAATTGCAAATATTAAACTAAACAAAATAATGTATAAAAAATAAAAAACAAAGTCCATAAAATAATTTAAAATAATTAATTACTATATATTAAGTAATTTATGAAGTTAATAAAATATTTAAATACTAATGATTCACTAAAGAAATAATAATTAGAACATTATTATTAATTAAAGTAATTAAAAAAATGCTAAGATATTACTTAAAAACAAAAAAGAAAATCTGATCTATAGAAATGGAGATCTAAACTTAAATACAAGGAAGCGGGCACACTGACGTGGCGTTTAACCCACATTTGCTCATTTATATAGTAATTTGTTGAGCTCTATACATGGCTAAGAGTTGCACCAATAATGGGATACCGTCCCAAGGGAAATCACCTGAATGCTTTATTTTGAAAAAACAAAACAAACCAAATAAATTATGTGCTAACCAGTTTGTAACGGTATTGTTGTTCACATACAATGATAGGGGAAGCAAAAGTTGGTTGTCTTAACAATAAAACCTGGTGGGCAATCACCAAAAGCCCATGTTTATTGCGGAAGCTCAGATATACATCAGAAAAGGCTAATTTCATCGGTCAATACTCCTATGTACTTCAAAAGAAACGGCCTATAACCAGAGTCACTAAGAATAAACACACGCAAGTCTACCTCAGCTTGAGCCAAACTTCAACAGTTCCCACCTGAAGGGCTGGAACACGAAAAGAACTTCCGGTGTGCTTTTAAAGAGCAAGGCTACACAAACGCAGACAGCAGCAACGGCCACCATTGACAGCATTGCCGGCCTGTACACTAGTGACCTTGTGTTGCCATAAGCTGGTTTCTGTGCACATAACTTACAATGTTGCAGTATCGCTTTCATTTCAATCTTTTCAGTTTCCAAGCTGGCTACTCTTGATGGTTTATACGCTTCAGATTGCTTCTGCTTGCCGTTTCTGTCTAAGATGACACCAGGGATATCAAGCACCACTTGCCCACTTTCTAATGTCTTGCTGATTTTCCTCTGGACAAGATGGACATAGGAGTAGCGGCTTTGGAGGCATGCATAATCATATGGTGTCAATCCTGTACTGTCTCGAGCATTTTTCCATGCTTCAATTCCCAACTAAAGAAAGAAGAGCGATATCAATATGATGAATGGATTATCTAACAATCTACAATTTAAAATCAGCCTGAAGTCAAAAGAATGTGCATGACAGTAGCAATCAACATGCTTGAAACTACAACAATCTAAAGAATCGCATTGTCATTGGTATACACTAAACACTAACAGAATTTAAAACATCCAACAATGCCAACAAATATCTTCATAACGATTTAAAATGGACCCAAAAAAGGTTCATAAAAATTAATTGCAGACCTAACATGCATGAAACAATAAACACAACGACAAGAGACACAAGTCAATTGTATGAGCAAAGGTCAAATGGATACTATATGCGATGGAGGTTGTGGCAAGCTCATAGCGATTTCTAGGTAGAATTAGAAATATAATATATAATTTTGATCAAGGAGAAATTACCTTTCCAGGATCATCAGTTAAGGCATCCAATACGTGCTCATAGCCATCAGCACTCGCAGCAACATGAAGAGGAGTCAACCCCATGGGCCCAACTGCATCAGGTTTAAACAAGAAACTGTTGCCATCCCTGTCAACTTGTTGCTTCTGCTCCGATCCTGTTAAACCTTGATTTGGGATAAATTTTAACAAGAACTCTACCATAGATCTGCAATTTCTTCGCACAGCTCTGTGGAGGAGGCTCATATCCAATAACGCAAACTCAATGGAAGTATGTTCTCCAGCATCAACAGTACCCTCAAACAGAATGCCCAAGAGTTTCTTCACTACAACACACCAATCATGCTCAATCGAAAACTCCATAAGCAACCTGAACCTGCTGAAAGGAAATAGATCCAGGTTCAGATCCGAGTGACCAAGTCTAAAATTAGCTCGACTCCTATGGAGGAGCCAACCCAATTCATGTATAAAGTCCAAGGCTTGATTCTTGGCTTCCAATTTTTCAGCATCAGCACTTTCAGCCACCTCAATCTCACCCTCCAGCATACAAATTTCTGAACATACTTCCTGCTCTGCAACTATAAAGGGAAAGAAGCTGCTGCTGAGACCATGATCTTCGACCTGATAATAAAAAATTTGATTATAAAAATGAGAACTACATATTTCAAGCATTCTTCGGCAACAGAAACAAATGGTATATGCAGAGCATTCTTCTGTTAAGGCACTGTCTTGAAACTTTCTCTTTTTCCGTTTTAACCTTATGACCCATTTCCTTCTAGCTTCTTGTTTATAGCACTTCAAGTTGTTCGATATATTCTTTTCAGACTTCTTTTGAATGCCCAGCTCCTCAATGCACTTTGGTTAATGTAATACGAAAATGTTTTATAAGCAAAATCTATAGAGGGATTCTGGACCAATTTTGTGAAAAATGGGTGGTTCAAAATGTACATTACAAAAGAAGGGGGAAGGGGAAAAAGTTAAATTAGACATATGATAGAACCTCAATGAATCCTCGCCCAGTAACATCTGGTATAGAGCAGGAGAATTTGAGGCACTGCAGCTCATCATGCTCAACAGTTGTATGTACACCATCCATCACGTCATAACAAGTTTCTTGCACCAGATACTTCCCTTCTAGAGCACAGAGTAACCTGTCAAGAGCTACGGTTTAGTATTTTCCCAGTTATCCTGAAAGGTATTAATTTTGAAAAGCATCTAAAACTAAGAGAGGTCTACAAATCAGTGGGCTTATTGAAAACAAAGTAATGAGGATGAACAAAAGATGAAGGAACCTTGTGGCAGAATGAGAAAGGTTAAAGCCTTTTACTACAAACTGAGCCCTCTCAGATACAGAGACTGCAATTGGTTTGATGTATGATATCCTGCAACTCTTATCGCTTTTAAGAGGTAAGGGTGTGTCTAAGACAACTTGACCTGCAGGACAGGCGTAAGTTATCAAAATACTTTCTCTTTCATAACATAATTTTTTTTGGTCAATCCCCATATGTATTAGAAAATAAATAAATGAATAACTAAATAGATCATGATTCATGACAAGCAACAATAAAGCATAATGAAAAACTAAAATAGAAATATTTTTATAGACACTAAATACACGTGTGTACACACACATATGGAGCCATATAGACTACGTGTATAGATACATAGAGAGAGAGAGAGAGAGAGAGAGCACAAACCATTGTACGTAAATGCTACAAAGTGTTGTACCCTAGTATACACCCATCCTGTTCTCCAAAATGGATCATTGGCAGCATCTAGAAGTGTTTTCAAACTGGAACCCAGATGACAACAGAGCTGTATGCAAACATAACAACTAAGGAGATGAAGAAATTATCTTCCTTTTACAAGGATCAGTAACCTAATTCTGGCATCAGAATAGAAGCATACCTCCTCCCACATGGATTTTTCTAGACGAAGGTAAATTGTCAAGATGATACAGCCCGGCCTTATGTAGCTTTCAATGTCTGTAGGGCTGTGGGATAACCAGTCGAGGATCTGATATTCAAAATAATATATAAAATATTTATATCATGCTGTGTGTGGAATGAAACACCAGGTTACATTGAAAAGAGTAAGAATCAAGGCAAAAATGAAAACCTGTGATCGCAGAATGAATGGAAGATCATTTGGGTCTTTTCCGAAGAGTTTAAAAACAATTCGATCTGTGCGACTCTGATATGTGGCAGGAAAAGAACAGTTAAGAGAAGTAAAACTGCAGGCAAATTTTACGTACTGGCCTATCAAATACAAAATGTAGCTCCACTTTAAATGCTGTATAATGGTTAATGACAATTGACAGCTTGATCCCTTGTTTCAAGAAAAAGAAATAACAAAAAGACAAAGTGCAGTTGAGAACACAATGAAATTAAAGACCAAAGTTTGTAGGTCAATATAATTGACGAACAGGTGGGAGCCACATGATTACGAGCAGTGGGCGGAGCATCATCCACAAAAAAGGCATTTATAAGCCTTATATTGCCAAGCAATTATATAGGAATAGATATAATTACAACAAGGATATATACCTGAGCCTCTCCACTGGAACTTGATGGTGACTGAGTAGAAGTTAAGTCTGAATTCCCACTTGTCTGAGGTGGGCTTGACTTGTGGGAATCGCGCTGCATCCATGAAGAAAAACCAAGAGATGCAGTCCCTGGACTTGCAGGAACATGAGAATTCCCTAGGTTCCCTAAATAGTCCTGTGAATCATCATATGTATTATTTAAATCAATGCCATTTAACTGGAACCTTCTACTTGTAGCTTCCGGTGTAACTGATTTTGATTCAGAACTGTCTCTTGAGGGTAGTGGCTCAGTGGCCTGTAGACCTGAAAGAACTTGCAGACTTCCAGGATCATCAACTGAAGATATTCTCCTCTCTAACATATCTGATGCAGGTACTACTGAACACTGTCCTACAGGCCTTAAATCCTCAAGATTAACACCATCATCCATATCTGGCACCTTTGCGGTCTGTAAAGATGTCCCACTGTTAAATAAACCTTGAGATCCCTGCAGCAATGTAGATATGTTTCTTCCATCTGCCGTACCAGCAAGATTGGCTAGGCTCCTCAGTAGATGAGATAGCAGATCCTGATCTTTTGTTTGATCAGAACCGCTAGCTGCAATTTATACAAGGCATAAAATGTGGAGTCAAATAGGTCTAACAAATGACACACATAAAATGAGAGGACTAAAAGAAACATAATCAATCACACACTAGTATAATACGATTGTGGAAAAAATTTCAAACAAATTTTTTTTTCTGGGATCCATCAACTGATATACAAATGCCTCCCAATAGAAACTAAATGTAGACTTTGTAGAGTTAATAAAAGTTGAGTGACAAAGCTATTTTCCAACAAGCCTCAATAAAAATAAAAAGTGAATGAACATAAGAGCATGACAGCACCAGAAATTTGACACTGGAAATAGCATCAAGCAGAAGATCAATCATGTAACCAATTAACATCAATTCAATGTCCAGTAAAACAGCAGACAATTGAATGTGCGATAAATAAGACAAAGGCTTACAGTGCATATTGGAGAGTATTCTCAGCAAGCTAATCAATAGATAACTGCTTCCTCTTTCATCATTCAATGAACCTCCATTAGCTGTAGTATCAGGATGTGTTTTTCTTCTCCTCCTATTATGGCCAGCCAAACGCCTGCGACAACTTCTCTTCCCTTCATCAAACTCTTGAAGAACATGAAACCTGTCCATGGGTGCAACCCTGTTACATTAAATTCAACAAAAGAAAATTTCTGCAGAACTCTAATATACCTAACACTGCAATAAACAGCCATGAACCCAAATCATAAGAACAACAATCCCATAATAAGAATCTTACAAAACCAAACTCTGTATTTCATCTTCTAGAAGGAATGTGTATTAGAAAGCAACAAATCAATGACCTTATCTTAATTCAAGAAAATCTTCGAAATGTTTCTACCAAACAAGAAATAACAATACAATGGAACTAACCTGCTACACTGTTGACAGAACCGCTGCATAGCATTTCCCACCAAAGCTGTACTTGCTTTAGAATGCATATCACAGACCTTATGCCGTCGGTGGTAATCCTTGGCATTGCTAAGATCAGCCGTACAGTCCTCCACCTGACAAACTGCACGATTTGAAGTAGTCCCAACTATCTTTGTCTTCTTCCCAGCCTGTACCTCTCCTTCCATAATGGGGTAAGCTTGCCCACCAAGATTAAGATTAAGAGACCCAGCTTCATCATGAACTCCGTTTTCCACAAAAACAGCCCTTCTCCGTTTCTCCAGTTCTCTTTTACCTTTCTCATTCCCCGGACTGATATTGTCTGATCCAGAAGAAGAACTGTTGGACAAACCAGCATTGGAGGGAGTTTCTGGCCTAACCGGAAACAACTGCTTACTCCTACAAGCAGATGGTACAGAATTCAAGGGACTAGCAGTAAAAAGATCACCGTCCCATTTCCAATCATTCAAATCCCATTCGAAACTCTTTTTTCCAACTGCCTTCATACCATAGTAACTATGAGCCTTGCCTCCAAATTCGGCCTCCATAGATCAAGATACCAAAAACCCAGAAATATTATAATGCCTAAAGTCAAACTCCACCAGATACAAATATACCCAATTGAATAGGAAACAAAAAGAACTCAGAGATGAAACTATATATTTTACTAAAGAAACAATTACTTAACAGCTACAACACAACAAACCCATAAATTGCTGGAAATTGTTCTCTCTACTGTCCCAAAAATCCAAAAGTAGTACACAAACATATCCATGGAGCTCAACAACAGCTGCCCAGAGCCCAAAATCCACCAATTACCCACTTAATCCCTCAACATCATATACACAACACCAAATTCACTAGCCCTCGATTACATCTTGAGCAATGCTTTTAAACTTCATAAAGAAAACTTCAGCTACACAACTTAAAGGACAAAGCTTTATGGAAATAAAAAGGGGAACGACTGAAAGAGAGAAACTTGCCGGCAATATGTACGAGTTGGTGAATTGGTAGATGCTAAGAGATGATGAAGACTGGTGAGATCGCCGGATGAGGCAGAGAGAATATAGGGCCCCGAGGCAAAACAAATCAGCACATGAAAATTAGGAAAAGGTTAGGAAAAGACTGGTATGTATTAAATGCGGTCTCAGTGGAGAGAGGTAGTGGCCTCAGAAGCAGGGGCACTCAAATGACTTCTTTATCCTTCAAACTCATACTCCATTTGGATGCGAACTGGACTTATTTTATTGTAATTAATTCACAATCAAGATTTGGTCGCTCAATGATTGAACTCTTATTGTTGCAATTAAAACCAAATAATAGTTCAAACATAAAATAACGTAATAATTGTGTATATAGGAAGATGAATCTAACTTATCGCAGTAGACAACAATTGTATATCAAAATATGAGTCAACTTTGACTAAGTGACTCGGTTTAGTTGTTTGATGACATATCCTCTCTATTAGTGTTTGATGACATATCCTCTCCATTCGAAGTCTCGTGTTCAAATTCCTCTCCCAGATGACATATCCTCTCCATTCGAAGTCTCGTGTTCAAATTCCTCTCCCAATCCCCACTGAATGGAGACAAAACAGGAAATTGGGCTATTTATTTGGTTGGTAAATTAGATTTGGACTGCATTGAAAATATCTAGTCCCCTCGATTTTTTATAGGAAAAGTTCTCCAAAATAAAATATTGGGATCATTTATCCCAAGTCAACCTAAAAACATTCTGGAATTAATTAAGGTTCGGCGTTTCTGTTCATACAATTTAGAACCATCAAATTGCACCAATAAATTGGGTTTAAGCAAACCAATGCTGTATTTTTAAAAAGAAATTAAACAAATAAAGTATATGCCATCATGTCTATATAATTAGTCAATACTTCTATGTACTTGACACTTTCCCTATACATACTTTATATGAACTACCAATAATGCATACAGTACACCTCCCATCAAATCTTAACGGATACAGAAAACCGGTACATACGTTCCCTATAGAGTTATAGGTAAATATAGGATTAACAGAAATGGCCTAGAGCCACGGTGTGACAATAACTCAGACTTAACATGGTTGACTGCCTTAGCTTGGGCCATACTTCAAGAGTTCCCACCTGAAGGGCTGGAACACGTAAACAACTTCAGGCGAGCTTTTAAAGAGCAAGGCTACACAAACACAGACAGCAGCGATGGCTACCATTGATAGCATTGCCGGCCTGTACACCAGTGACCTTGTGTTGCCATAAGCTAGTTTCATTTCACATAACTTACAATGTCCCTGCATTGTTTTTATTTCAATCTTTTCAGTCTCCAAGCTGGCTACTTTTGCGGATTTATGTCCATCTGATTGCTTCTGCTTGCTGTTGCTGTCTAAGATAGTGCCAGGGATATCAAGCACCACCTGCCCGCTTTCTAATTTCTTGCTGATTTTCCTCTGGACAATATGGAGATAGGAGTAGCGGCCTCGCAGGCATGCATAATCATTTGGTGTCAATCCTGTACCGTCTCTAGCATATTTCCATGCTTCAATTCCCACCTAAAGAAGGCAGACCCATATCAACATGATGAATGCATTATCTAACAATCTACAACTTAAAATGAACGTAAAGAAGTGTTCTTAGCAATTAGCAGCAGTCCTAACATGCTTGAAACTAGAATGATTTAAGGTATCAAACTTCATGTGTGGTAGAGAATGAACAGAGACACAAGTCAGTTGTATGAGCAAAAGGTCAAATGCCTAGGAAGGATCTGATGGTAGCGAACTCATTGTGATTTTTACATACAAATATAAATAAAAACTTCATTGTAGACTAAGGAGAAATTACCTTTCCAGGATCATCAGTTAAGGCGTCCAATATGATCTCACAGCCATCAGTACTGGCTGCAACATGAAGAGGAGTCAACCCCATGGGCCCAACTGCATCGGGTTTAAATAAGAAATTGTTTCCATCCCTGTCAACTTGTTGCTTCTGCTCAGACCCTGTTTTATCTAAACCTTTATCTGGGACAAACCTTAACAAGAGTTCCACCATAGACCTGCACTTTCTTCGCACAGCTCTGTGGAGGAGGCTCATATCCAATAATGCAAGCTCAATGGAAGGATGTTCTCCAGCGTCAACAGTACCCTCAAACAGAATGCCCAAGAGTTTCTTCACTACAGCACACCAATCATGGTCCATGGAGAACTCCATAAGCAACCTGAACCGTCTAAAAGGAAAAAGATCTAAGTTGGGATCCATGTGACCAAGTCTAAACTTAGTGTGACTTCTATGAAGAAGCCAACCCAATTCATGTAGAAAGTCCATAGCTAGGTTCTTGGCTTCCAATTTTTCTGGTTCTCTCTGGATGTCATCAGCAGTTTCAGCCACCTCAATCGCACCCTCCAACATACAAATCTCTGAACATACTTCCTGCTCTGCAACTATATATGGAAAGAAGCTGCTGCTGAGACCATGATCTTCAACCTGGTTAAAATTTAAGTCAGAAGATTCAAAACTACAGACTTCATGCATTCTTCACAAACTGAAACAAATAGTTTTACACAGAGCACTCTTCTATTAATGCACTGTCTTGAACCTTTCAAGTTTCATTGTAAGCCTGATCCTTCTCTTTTCTTGCTTCTTTTTTATAGGACTTCAAGCGTCTTTGGTATATTCTTTTCACAATCCAGTTGAATGCCCTTTTGAATGTAATAATTGAACACGTTTTCATAAGAAAATTTTATATAAGGATTCTGAAGAAAATTGTGTGAAAAATTGGCCAACCAAGATGTACATTGCAGAAGAAAGGGAATAGGTTTATATTAGCTAAATAACAAAGATGATTGCCTATAGTGAGCCAAGATTCCACTGCTCTGGAAAACAAATTAACTTCCAAAATTGGATAGCAGTTTTCAGAGTAACCAAATGCAACTTCTGGAAAAAACTAAATGAATGCTTAGTGGTTACACGGTGGACTTCACATGGCCTCTGTAGGTCTGATATCAACACAGTTCAAATCACTAGACTGAAGAACTTTTAATAAAGGACACATATCACTGGTAGAGTTCAATATTTTTTACTGATCTTGCTCTGTTAAAAAAACTCATATAATTTATCATACACATACCTAAATTTACTACCAATAGCTAAAGCTCACTTCAAAGGAAATATAAAAATATATTAGGCATATGACAGTACCTCAATGAATCCTCGGCCAGTAACATTTGGTATAGAGCAGGAGAATCTGAGGCACTGTTGCTCATCATGCTCATGGTTGTATCAGCACTATCCATCAAGTCATAACAAGTTTCTTGGGCTAGATACTTCCCTTCTAGAGCACAGAGCAACCTGTCATGAACTAGGACTTAGTACTTGCCCACTTATCCTATAAATTCTGAAACATCAAAAACTAGAAAGGTCCAAAATCAATGGAGGTATTGAAAAAATCAATGAGGCATGAATAAAAAGATGAAGGATACCTTGTGGTGGAACGAGAAAGATTAAAGCCTTTTACTACAAATTGAGCTCTCTCAGATAAAGAGACTGCAATTGGTTTGATGTATGATATCCTGCAATTTTTGTGGCTTTTCAGAGGTAAGGGTGTGTCTAGGACAACCTGACCTGCAGGACAGACATAACTAATCAAAATTCTTTTTCATTCATAACATGACTGTCCTGGTCAATCCCTACACGCACTAGAAAAAATATAAATGAATAACTAAATAAACCCTATATATATCCTGTCCAATACATATACATAAAAGAAAGATGAGAGAGAGAGAGAGAGAGAGAGGGGGGGTAGGTAGGTAGAGATAACAAACCATTGTACGTAAAAGCTACATTTTGTTGTACCCTCGTATACACCCATCCTGTTCTCCAAAAAGGATCATTGGCAGCATGTAAAAGTCGTTTCAAATTGGATCCCAGATGACAGCAGAGCTGTATGCAAACATAACAATTAAGGACAAGAAAAGAGATCTTTCCGATACAAGGATCGGCAATCTACAATCTGGCATCAGCCTAGAAGCATACCTCCTCCCACGTGGATTTTTCTAGACGGAGGTAAATTGTCAAAATGATACAGCCTGGCCTTATGTAGCTTTCAATGTCTGAAGGACTGTGGGACAACCAGTCGAGGATCTGGATATTCAAAGTAATTTATAAATCAGCTGTCTGCGTAATGAAACACCAAGTTACATGGTTAAGAAGAAAAATCCAGACACAAGATTACCTGTGATCGCAGAACAAATGGAAGATCATTTGGGTCTTTTCCAAAGAGTTTAAAAACAATTCGATCCGTGCGACTCTGAAATATGGCAGAAATAGAGTGGTTAAGAGGCATAACACTGCAGAAACATTTTACAGACTAGCCATTTACATTAAAAATATATAATAAAAATGATGCTCCATTTTAACTGCTATAGCCTATAACCACCTATAATTTGACTACAAATCTATTAACGGTATCAAACAGAAGCATACACATACATGCATCTATACAAAAACAGCAATAAATAAAAGAAAAAAATCCGTCTCAACTTTTATGCCACAAAACAAGTGCTTATTAGGTACACCATAACCAAGTACTTCATGTTTCGTCAATCAATTGACAAGATAAATGGACAAGTTCAGAAATCAAAACATTGCCACCAAACTGCTGAATCAAAGAGAAAGCAAAGATATTCTTGTATCCAAAAGAAAAGAACAGGTTACGGGATATACTACTGATTAATGATAATTGACAGCTTCATTTCTTGTTTCAGAAAAAAAGAACAATTTGATAAATAGAACACCAAAGAAATGAAAGTCTAAATTATTGAGGTCATTCAATATAATCTGATGAACAGAGAGCCAAGTGAAATTAGACAGTGGACTGAGCAACATCCACAATAAAGTCATTTATAAGCATTACAATACCAATCAATAACATAGATGAATGAGATGCAATTAGAACAAGAATATACCTGACCCTCTCCACTAGAAGTTGATGGTGACTGAGTAGAAGTTGAGTCTGAAGTTCCACTTGTCTGAGGTGGGCTAGACTTTTGCGACTCCTGCTGCATCCATAAGGGAAAACCAAGAGACACTGTCCCCGGATTTACAGGGGAATGAGAACTCCCCAGGTTCTCTAAATAGTCCTGGGAATCATCGTACGTATTATTTAAATCAATGCCATTTAACTGCATCCTCCCCATTGTAGCATCTGGTGCAACTGACTTGGATGGAACACTGTCTCTTGAGGGAAGTGGCTTGGCAGCCTGTAGACCTGAAACAACTTGTAGACTTCTATGATCAGCATCAACTGAAGATATTCTCTTTTGTAGCAGATCTGACGCAGGTACCGTAGGACACTGTCGAATGGGCCTTAAAGGGTCCTCAAGATTAACACAGTCATCCCTTTTAGAGGCTGAAACAGAAGGCCTACTGGGTTCACAGCCATTGGAAACCGTATCTGGGACCTTTTGTGCAGTCTGGACTGATGGCCCACTATTAAGTAAACCTTGGGATCCTGGCAGCAATGCAGATATGCTCCTTCCATCAACTGTACCAGCAAGATTGGCTAGACTCCTCAAAAGATGAGATAGCAGATCCTGATCCTTCGTTTGATCAGAACTATTAGCTGCAATTTATAGAAGGCACCATATGTGGAGTCAAATAAGTCTGACAAATGACACTAAATGATAAGAAAAACAAAACAAAACAAACAAACAAACATGATCAATCAAATACTATAATAACATTATTGCTGAGACATAATTTCCTAAAGAATTTGTTTCTAGGGAATTGGAATTCCCTTACCAGGCCCACTTTTCATGCGTCTTAGAATGTGAAATATGGGCAGTCCAAAACCAGAGAAAGAAAGTGCACAAAACAATGGTGCAGAGGATGAAATTTCAAGCATACAAGGAACAATCTGGAGTAAGAAATTTGAAATTTTTTCAACATTAAGGTCTGTACATCAAACTCAGGGACAAGGTCGCAGATTCTAGTCTCATGCCTAGGCATCAAATACAAACTTCTTACAGAAAAGCTGAAAAATTTTCATGCTAGCCATCAAAATTCAAATTTTCATCAAATTAACCTCAGAACAAACTAGCATTTTGTCATCTGTATTAAAAATAGAGCACCTTAAGCAGTTAGGGACCCATCAAATTATATGCCATTTCCTCCCAGTAAACAAAACAGGTAAACAAATAGATGTTGATTTATTAAAAGTTTATTGACAAAATCATTTCCAACAAGCCTCAGTAAAATATTGACTGAACATAAGAGCAGAAGAACACAAAAACTTTGACATAGCCCATGGCATCCAGCACAAGATCAAATTTGTACCCAGTTTAACATCAATTTAATGTCTAAGTAAAGCAGCCAGCAATTAGATGTGCAATAAGACAAATATTTACAGTGCATGTTGGAGAGTATTCTCAGCAAACTAATCAATAGATAACTGCTTCCTCTTTCATCATTCAAGGAGCCTCCATTAACTACCGGATCAGGATGTGTTTTTCTTCTCCTCCTATTATGGCCAGCCAAACGCCTACGACAACTTCTCTTTCCTTCATCAAACTCTTGAAGAACATGAAACCTGCCCATGAGTATAACCAAGATGCATATTCAACAAAAGGAAATGTCTGCAAAGTTCAACTATACATAACAACACAGAAATGAACAGCTATGGACCCAAATCATAAAAACAACAAACCAATAATGAGAAACTTACATAAACAAACTCTGTAATTCATCTTGTAGAAAGAATGTCTATAAGAAAGGAACAGATAAATGACCTGGACCTTAATTCAAGAAAATTTTAGAGATGTTCTCACCATACAAGGATAACCAAAGAATGGAACTAACCTGCTACACTGTTGACAGAACCGCTGCAAAACATTTCCCACCCGTGCTTTAGTTGCCTTAGAATGCATATCACAGACCTTATGTCGTCGGTGGTAATCCTTGGCATGGCTAAGATCAGCCTTACAGTCTTCCACCTGACAAACTGCTCGGTTTAAAGTAGTCCCAACTATCTTTGTCTTCTTCCCAGTTTGTACCTCTCCTTCCATGATAGGGTAAGCTTGCTCGCCAAGCTTAAGATTGAGAGACCCAGCTTCATTATTTAACTCTTCATTTTCTACAAAAGTAGCCCTTCTTCGTTTCTCCAATTCTCTTTTACCTTTCTCATTTCCTGGACTGATATCATCCGAACCAGAAGAAGAACTGTTGGACAAACCAGCATTGGAGGGAGTTTCTGGTTGGACCGGGAACAACTGCCTACTTCTAAAATCAGATGGTATAGAATTCAAGGGACTAGCAGTAAAAAGATCACCGTCCCATTTACAATCATTCAAATCCCATTCCAAACTCTTCTTCCCAACTGCCTTCAAATCCGACACCATCGGACCATAGAAATTACGAGCACTGCCTCCAAAAGCCTCCATAAATCAAAATTCCAGAAATACTATAATGACTACAGTCAAACTCCACCAGAAATAAATACCCAATTCAACAAGAACCAAATGAACCCAGCTATGAATTTCTAGATTTCACCTAGAAAATCAATAACTTGACATTACAACCCCATAAATTCTGGGAACTATTCTCTCTAGGGTCCCTAAAAATCCAAAAACAGTACACAACATATCCATGACCATGGAGCTAAAACAAGCTGCCCACTTGGCCAAACCCCCAATTACCCACTTAGGCCCTCAAAATCCTCAACAACATCACCATACTCACAGCCCTCAATTCCATCACAGGCAAAGTTTCCAACTTCAGAACCAAACAGCCTCAAGAACATAGATTTCTGCTGAAACGGAAAGCAAAGAGAGAAACTTGCCGGTAAAGCCGAGCTGGTGATTCTAACAGTAGCTCTGGGGATGCCTGCTGAGATCGCCGGAGGAAGCAGAGAGAATATAGGTACCCGAGGCAAAACAAAGCAGCACATGAAAATTAGGAAAAAGGTTAGGAAACGACTGTGCATAAAATGCGGTTTCAGTGGAGAGAGAGAGAGAGAGAGAGAGAGTACTTTTTCACATTTGTTTATTTATAACAAATATATGACGCCATGGGCAAGGAATCTACGCCTCCACAGCCGCGTGTACGTCTCTCGCTGTAAAAAGAAACTCATTTTTTCTTCTCTGTGACAAAATACGAACAAGCTCTCATGCCGTGTCTGCAGAACAGTGCCCATTGAAAATCGTAGCTCTGATTTTTTATATAATTAAAAAAAATTAAAAAAAACTTTTATTTTTCTAGTCGGAAGATTTTAAAAAAAATCGATAACGTTTTATTGATCGGAGTAAAAAGTGGAGCTTTTGCCACGACACTGGAAGAGTGACTGCAGTTAGTTACGGCGGCGTGCAAACACGACTGACGTGACTTTCAGGTGTTATCTGGGATTTACCGCGAGTTTTTTTGTTTTTTTTAATAAATAGCCTCCCCCACACAAACTGTTTTTTTTAATTTTGTTTATAAATAAGAAAATAATTATTTTACCAACTTCCAAACTGAAGAGACAGGAATGCCCCTACATGAACTTAGCTAAAACCTAACAAACCCGCCGAAACGACGTGTATAAACAATTTTAAATCAAAATCTCGACGACAATCAACGTTTTTATCCATTTTCAAATAATTTTAAGTTGAATTTTGTTTTTTTTACGGCTCGAGAATTGCGTGAATTATGAGACTCAGTCGCTTTATAAATTATATTTCTTAAGTGGTAAAAGGTAACAATGGATTTTTTATTATATAAAAGAGCCAAATATTTTATTGATAGGATAAATAAAAATAAGTACAAAGCAACTAAGGTGCCAAAAAAATATGGATACAATTTCTCCTATGACTAAAAGCAACAAGTTGAATTGATATTGAGAGAATATGCACAACCCAAAAATTGATTAAAATCCCTTAATCAACAACCATAAGCACATATATATACTCAAACATACAATAAAGATTTGCCGCACAACAGCAAAAACAAATATATATTAAACAAGGCCACCGTGAGAATCTAAAACAAACTAAGAAAGAGGACCACCGCTTCACATCCTCTCGGGTAACTCGAAGAGAGTCATAGAGTCATACCAACTAAAGAATCCATAGGAAAAAGGAAGAAAATGAGAGAAGAAGAAAGGGAATAAAGTACGAAGGGTGGCCAATGAGCTCCAAAGGGACAGCAGCTAGGGATTTTTCTTTTGTAACAAATGGGACTTAAGAAACCCTAAACTGGTCAATCAAGTTATTTTTTATAATCCCCTTCAACAAGTAATTCCAACAAAAAAACCAACTTAATTGCAGTAGCTAATCATGATTAACGGTTACAATCAATGTTTAGTGTAATGTTGTGATTAATACTTCTAATCATTCAATGAACAAAGATTTGATTAGCATTACTGTCCACACGAAAACCTTAACTTTAGCAATCTTCAAGAAATGATTAATTTCATTGCGCAGGACAAAGTAAGGTCTGATAAGACCACATTGTAGCTTAGTGTTTGGTATAGTGGGGTTGTTTACTTTCTTCTTCATAGTTATTATTATTATTATTTTGCTAATTTCACCCCAGTTTTTGAAGGAATTAAATTCTATCCTCATGATGAACAAGGGTTGGAACTTAGAAGGAAACCCACGGTCTTGTGGACCATGTTAATTTACTATGTGGGTACTACTCTTCTTTTGCGCTGGGGACACCCATGTGAGATAGGAACCTATCCAAAGTACCAGTACGAGAGCTTAAATTGTGTGTTATATAGACTCCTCAAGTTCTGGCCTTAGTTAACTCCAAAGGAACCTAAAGTTTTCGTGTCTATTCATGCCTAGAGCTAGAGGGTTGCTTTCCATATCGCTCACAAATACACGTACATGAGTGATTGTCAGTCATTCACACATGTGAACTGAGTGATTGTCAGTCATTCACACATACAAACTTACAATAGAGGTCACGTACATCAATAATTGTGAATCATTTGCGTGTATGTAATGCAAATTGAGTTTGTCTTAACCTAATTGCCCAAAATAAAAGCAAGTGCTTTGTGAAACATACATATATATATATATATATTTTTTATGATGATTTAATCTACTACTATTTTCTACCAACAAAGGTCATGAAAAACATAACTATTCGTCCGAATGTCCAACTTTTCTGCCTCTTATAAACTGAGAGAACAATTGAAGCAAAAGAGGCCGTTAAAGTGAGATAAGACAACTGTTAGATAAGGAGAAGGCTTTTGCTACAAGAATGTCAAAAATTGCATTGGTATTTGGAACGAGATAGATAAGAATTAAGAATTACTACTATACATGCTAAGATTATGCTAGTATCCTTTATTCATGTGCGCATAATTAACTATTTGTGAGTCATCAGTCTACATACATTCTACGATGCATCAACGTACGGTTCACAATCACTCACGTTATGCGACGTGGTTGGTGTTCGGGTATTTGGAGAGAGAAAGCAAAGCAACACATCCTAAACATATATATACATATTACATAAGGTCTCATGGGTTCACACGCTCATCCCAAGCCTCTATATATATCTCAAGGAGAATCCAAAAACTGTGCATATGCGGTCCCCCAGAGACCAGATGGTTGGCAGCTCATGTGCATGTTATGGGAGGATGGAGCCTCTTCCGGAATGTGGGCCAAATTTTATTAGTGTCATGCATCCAATTGAGAGATCTCTTTCTTCTTACTTAACTTTGTATTTAAAATATATATTAATTTCATGCTATTTTGTTGTTGTGAGTGTGAGGCTCCAAAAGACCAAGGCTCTCTTATTCATTAAAAATGAAAAATCTAGGGTTTATATTTTGATTACATTAAAAGAGAAATGATCACTGTTTCTGCACATGGGTAGGGTTATGGTCAACATGAGTAATGCGGTAGCATGGGTACGTACTTGGTCAATATTGCTTTAATTGACTTGTTTCGGACAAATCCTTCATACATCTATCAACAACCCTTTAGTGTTTGTGTTTGTGTTCGGCTTTAGCCCTCCTCGTTACCGAAAAATATAACTGTTATTCAAATGGTGTTTGTAAAATATATATGTGGAATATGTATATCAACGACTAACAATCACTTACGTGTTAATATTGAACTCGATTTTTATCTAACTATGGATTATTTTTCTTGAACCCCGAATCCATTTCCAACATGCATTATATATATAAATATATATATATGTCGTTTTGTAGGAAAAAAGATTCATTCATGCACCAAAAAGTGGACAGATTGTTTGCTCCAAAACGTCATTGATCTCGTCAAAGATTTAGCTTTTAAAATCTTACAATATTATGTTTGGGGGAAAAAACACAAGAATTAATTTCTAATCATATATTAATTCAGGCTTTTGATTGTTTGGTAAAGTCATTAAATCATGATTGAATTGTGGCTATGGAAAATTGAATGGCTGGACCCCCAAGATGTCGGATATTTTGTTTCAAGGAGCACAAGTTTTTGTCGATTTGGCAATTGCAAGTCACAGGAGCACATCAGGTCATCTGCAACCAGCACCCTAGCACTCCCCTCCCTTCCCTCCACGTTGACGGCCGTTACGGATAACGACGTAACGCCTCTTATCATTTCTTTTTTTTTTTAAAAAGCATTTTCAAGTATTCTAACCTCTCTTAAAAAAATATATAATATATATATATATATATATATATATATCCGTAGGTTTTATTGTCCACTTGCCATGCTTTACATGCTAGGTATGAAAATAAAAATAAAATAAAACAAGAGAAATTGATGAAATAATTATAGTTGTTCATTATCCAACCAATGGTAATTGTCAAGGAGTTTGTAGCTTAAGTGGTTAAGAGCAATTACCCTATACCAAATTATACTCATAAGCCTATTCTTGTCAAACAAAAAACTGACTTTGGGATGAATCTCAGTTTTTCCCGGAAGAATTTCATTTATCGCCCATGCTTGCCATATGACCTTTTATATATGTATGTTGGTGTAAAGTACAACTTTTGGGCTAAAGGTTTTTATTTTTATTTTTTATGAAGCATTGGGCTATAGTATTTTTGTAGAACTATGTTTTGCGGGAGACCAAGGCCACAAGCATTGCTTATTATAACATATTCATTTTATAATGATGCCTTATTTAATGCCATATTTCTTAATTGTTGGATCAATTAACTAATTTGATCTCCGATTTAAAAAAAATGACATCATCAAAGGGCCTTAAATAAGGTCCTCACTATAGAATTCTACAATATACGGACCCAACCCAACCCTAAACCACTATAAAACACACTCATGTGAGACTGGGAGCGTCTTGCAATCGTTGCATGAAAGAACAACCCGATTTTGAGATTCTTGCAATCCCTCTATGCGAAAACATTTTGGTGATTATGAGTTGTTTTTGTATTGAAGAAAAAAAACAGGACACACTAAACATACCTAAAATAAAATGGCAGGCAGGCAGGGGGGGGGGAGGGAAAAAATGGAAAAAAAAGAAAAAAAAAAAAAAAATATTTAAGTTGAGAACCGCAATGAAAAAAGATTGCAAAAAATTTGGGCCTAATATTTTGAGCATAAACCAACTGGACCTTGAAAATCATTTAGACCATAACTTTGGACCCAACGGAGAACAATGCGCCCAAATTATGATCCAGATTTGCCCTATTGTTGGGGCTGACGGGTAACCCAGCCCATTAACAGTCGGGTGCTTGATGGGCTAGCTGAATTGGGGGGGTGGTTTGTGTTGGTGTCATTATCAATGAAAACATGAGTTTTTTTTTCCTTAATGAGAATGAAAACTTGCCTAATGAATCAATCGATCTGTTACCTACACGCAACTGAAAATTTTCATGTCACGCAATTTATCTCATAATATCCAAAATTCTTATTTGAGAAAGAATATATAGTGTTCAGAAAGAGAATGTTTGGAGTTGTATTAGAGAAAAAAATGAAAGTGTGAAAGAGATGAGAGACAGTTCCAAAAAAAAACAAAGAGATGATGAGAGACACGACAGGAGATACCACACTCCATTGAGATCACCCTCGGTTTGTGGTGGATTTCAATAAATTTTTATCTTTAAATATTTTAAGTTTTTTTTTAATTGGACGGAAGATGATGATTCGACAAAGCTTAGAGCTAATCGTATAACACATTTTATTATCTATTTTCTCATCATGTAACTTGTTACGGTAATTAGAAAATAAACGAATGTACGTACACATTTGTTTCATGTAGTATTGTAATACTGGCAGATATATTTCGACCATTCATGTTACTAAAGATGAAAAAAGAAAACTAATGCATGATAAGATTTACAAATACATGGAAAATATATATCTCATTATATTCTTCCATCCATAAAAAGTAGAGATTCGGTTGTCATCAGATTTGAGTGGCTGCTTTTATATTTCTTGTTGTGAAAGTTATTGACTTCAGGCTTGCTTGCTTTAGGGCATTCAAAGCTAACAATATGTCGTGAATTTCTCTGTACTATGTGTAGCCATATCAATGTTTGAGTTTCGCTGTCATCAATACTCATTAGTGTGCGATTTGTAATTTTCTATATAAATCAATACCTATGGCAACTGGCAATTGTGGTGCCACGTGTAAGTCCTTCCGGCTCAAAATTGCAAGTATGTTCCCTTAACGTTAATGTGAGGAGTAAGCCAATATTCTCTAACTTTTTTTCATTAAAAAAAATATATATAATAATAATAAATAATAAAATATAATAAATAATAAACTCAACACCCTGTTAACAAGTCTCTATCTTTTCGGGATGATGTATCAAAAACATTCCAAGACTAAAAAATTCCGATAAGGCTATACAATTTTTTTTTTTTTTTTTTTTTTTTTTTTTTTTTTTTTTTTTTTTTTTTTTTTTTTTTTTTTTTTTTTTTTTTTTTTTTTTTTTTTTTTTTTTTTTTTTTTTTTTTTTTTTTTTTTTTTTTTTTTTTTTTTTTTTTTTTTTTTTTTTTTTTTTTTTTTTTTTTTTTTTTTTTTTTTTTTTTTTTTTTTTTTTTTTTTTTTTTTTTTTTTTTTTTTTTTTTTTTTTTTTTTTTTTTTTTTTTTTTTTTTTTTTTTTTTTTTTTTTTTTTTTTTTTTTTTTTTTTTTTTTTTTTTTTTTTTTTTTTTTTTTTTTTTTTTTTTTTTTTTTTTTTTTTTTTTTTTTTTTTTTTTTTTTTTTTTTTTTTTTTTTTTTTTTTTTTTTTTTTTTTTAAAAATACGCCTGTCTTCCTGCTTCGCCAAGGTGCTGGGGGTGCTCAACCCGCAAAAGCCGCTCGGCTTGCAGCGGCGGTGCAGGGCGCTCATCCTACGCCCGCTGGCGGTAATCGGCAATGGCTGGGGGGGGGGGGGGGGGGCCGGGCTCGGGGGGGGTGACCAGTTCCTGACCATTAATTAAAGCTCTCCCATTTATCATTTCATTAGGAAAATATGCTTTTCCCTCACTCAATTAAGATGGTAAGTATCTTTCATTCCCTAACACAACATAACCAACCCCATTTCCTGATACCCACATTTCAGCACTCATTTTGTCGCATTTTATTTATTTTTTTTTTTTTTAATTTATAAAAAAACTCATGTGAAAGGGAAAAAAAAAAAAACATGATCTCTCTGCGAACACTTAGGTTAAAGTTTGTTCACACACACAACAATCAATTATTATTGGCACTAAATCAGAACATATATCGCAAAAATACACATAAAAATCAAATGACCTAACAAACCCAATTGCAACGCAAGTCCACGATTTTTATAAGCGCTCGTTTGTGAGTAATTCTTGATAGGTCAAAGTGATTATTTGCCCTTCCAGAATCACTCCCAACCGAGCCCTAATTCGATTAAAATCAATCACATCCATACACACAAAATGCCAATCTCATAAACATCACTAGTAAGCCAATTAAATTCTTTAAAAAAAAAAAAAAAAAAAAAAAAAAAAAGAAAAGGTAGATAGGTACTTTACTAGAATGTTGTTTAAATTAACACTAGTACTAACCAAGTGTCCTTGAACCGTGTCCCTTGTGGTTCTTGGCAGTGTCATAAGCAGCATCAAAGCTTTCTTATTGTTTTCATCATCATCATCTGCTTCAATCCAGTCCTCCAGAGATTTTCTCCTTGGCCCACTCTGCCCATGACTCTGAGTCTGAGCTTTCTCTGCCCTCTCTTTCCTTCTCTGCGGCCTCGTCCTGCGGTTGCCTTGTTTTCACCTTAAACCCTCATCACTGGAAGACGTATGGCCCACACCAGAGCCTCTGCAAATGGTGGCAAGCATCACCGCCATCACCACCCCAAGAACAAATAGCACTTTGAAAGTCGCTTTGAAGCCATGAACAAAGTCTGAAGAGATTCAAATATGCCAAAGTGTTTCTCGAAAACTGAAGTTCGTGATATGTACAAAAGTGTATTGGAATGTGAGAGAGGTTAGGGTTGGGGAGTTGTGGTTTTAAGAAGAAGAAAGAGAGGGCAGAGGAGGGTGTATGAGTAAGAGGACAGGTGTAACACAAGGTGGCAAGTTCAGAACGTGTTCAGACTAGAGAGTTGGCACGTGTCATGCTGATGCCTCCCAGGTGTCGACAGGGCTTTTTGTTTTGGCTTTTTTTTTTCTTTTGATCGAATGTGTCGACAAGTTGGGATTGCAGTTCGCGTGTCTCTTCCTGAATGGAACCGCATGAACCTGTGAAATAGCTTCTTCTGCATCTCTCAATATCCGTGGCCTGCTTTAGTTTTGTTTTAGGATCTTTGGAGATAATATATACATAATTTTATCACTTTTTCTGAACTTATCTATACGACCAATGTTGTTTTAGTCTCTGCACACTTTTGCATCCATTGAAAGTAAATACGCATATATTATCCTCAAAAAGAAAAAAAAGATATGAACAAGATCCATAATTTTTATATACAAGAATTGAAATAGTTCAAAATTCATTTTATATTTTGGGAAAACTTTAGAAGATAGTTGCATGAATTTTAAAAATGATTGTTGTTCGGATTATGAGAGAGTTTCCCACCCCACCCCTCTTTTTTTTATTTAAACTAGCCCCTTGGTGCAAGTTGGTTTTTATTTATTTTATTTTATTTTAGAATTTATGGGTCCTATTTTGTTAGAACATAACTACTCATTATCTGATTTTATTTTTAATTTTAATTATTTTTTAATATAAAAAAGTGTGAATTTACCATATTATCCTCATTTAATTAACATTTTCAATTTTTAATATTTCATTAACTAATGACGTTTTCTAGTATTTTGAATGCTTCTCCATTCTTTGCCTTTTGCTTTATATAACTGTATATGCTAAAACACTCATTTAGGTTATCGTTGTCCAAAGGTCTAATGTTTTAGAACCTGCAAGGTGTGATGCATGGCAGCTGATGAGTCAGAAAATAATAACAATTGCTTGGAAAATTTGTCCCAGTTTTTAGTTGTTCCTTACAAATACAAAAGGACTCATTATCTATCTCAGTTTAATTGTATTTAATATTTATCTTCCTAAATGCAGCATCATACGTCGAGCATAATGTTGAGTACTTTGTTTGTAAGGTTGCTTTGAGGCCATGATGAGTCTATGAGAATCTATGCCTAAAACAGTCTGAAGAGATAGATTCTAATATGATAATGTTCTGCGAATACACAACTAGATTGGAATGTTGAGAGCAATGGGAAAGTTCGGAGTAAGACACATCACATTGAAACCTACACCCCTCCACAAGCATAATTGTACAATCAGCATTCTGCATATGGAGGAGAAACATGCTTACCCGAAAAAAAATTCATGCACATTTTTCTCATACACAAAAATTTCATGCAAAGTTCCTCGCACAAGTTTTCTCATACGCAAAAATTCATGCAAGTTAAAAGGGTATAGAGCTAGACTAAATGCCTTTATTAAAATGATGGCGTGACTGGAAAATCAATAAGCTTGTTTGACAAAACAAAACAAAGATCCTAAACTACCTTAAGCTTAAAGAGCAAAAGCCTAAACTGCCAATAAAAAATGTAAAAATATACACAGGTTAAAAGCTGAAGCACCCTACTTAACGAGGTCCTTAAAAAATAATGCTAGGAATCTTTACACGTCTTCTTATTGTGGCCAAGCCCCTTGCACTTGCTACACTGGAGCTGACGTTTTATTATGTCTAATGATTCAGCCTGCTTCATCTTTGGCCGGCCTGGCGGCCGTCTGGTTGGTGGAGGGGTAACAGTAACTGATGCCAGGCTTGATTCACCCGGGAGTGGCCTGTCTACATTAGGAACAGGATGAATTGATTCTGCATAAGTTGAACGGTAACTCTCGACTGTGAAGTATCTGGAGCAGTAATCATATGGGTTCCTACCAATGCATTCAAAGACAGCAATAGCATGGCAGCAAGGCAGACCAGTAAGTTGCCATCCCTTACAGCTACAATCCCAATGGTCGATATCAACAATATCAACAGATTCTCCACGAACCTCGAATGTGCTACCTTGTGAGAGCAACACCTGAAGTGATCGAGCAATTGTCGTTTCTTTTTGAAGCTTTTCCTCTTTAGATGGAGTTAATCTTGTTACCCACTGGTTGGACTCCACCCTGCGTGAATAGAAGGCTTCCATCGTCTTACCTCGCAATACATCAATCATCTGTGTAATTGGCAACTCATGTGCCTCTGATACCCAGCTGTAGAACTGCTGTCCAAAGTTTGATGTCATATGGTTGTACCTGGCTCCTCCAGAGAATGCATTAGCCCAGTGCTCTGGCCCACTTTGTATGACCCAATTATAAGCTTCAGGTGAAATACCTTTTATGTTATCAGCACTACGCTGGAAAGCCTCCAGTTTGGGTGCATAAGCAGCAGCATAAAAATCATTGATCATAAATCGTCTTGCTTCATGAGAAAATTGCCCCTTCAAGTCCTTGTTGAGTTTTTCAGCAAGATGCCTCAAACAATAGCAGTGGTAGCATTTATCAAATACCTCAGTCAATGACTTTTTCAAACCATTCTGAACATCTGCAACAAATGTAATCTGCTGAGATATTGACACTGCAGATTTCAGTTCTAATAAGAACCAATGCCAGTTATCATCAGTCTCCGCATCCACAACAGCAAATGCTAATGGAAAGATACCATCATCACCGTCTGCCGCTATTGCGGCCAACAAAACTCCTTGATATTTTGAGTTCAGAGGAGTGCTATCAAGAAAAATGAGAGGGCGGCAACCTTCTCGGAAACCCACAATTGATGCATGGAAAGATACAAAGAAGCGATGGAAGCTTGAGTCCTCCTTAGTGGTAAATGTAGCAACACTCCCTGGATTAGTTTCCTTTATCCTCTCGCAGAAATACGGCAACTGATTATAGGCCTCTTTATAGGAGCCTTGAAGCTGCTCCCTGGCAATCTCCTTGGCACGCCATGCCTGAGAATAATTCAATTGAATCCCATATTCTCGCTTAATGTCGTCTGCTATATCCTTTGGCTTGTAGTTAGGGGAAACTTTCAACTTCTCCTTTATGATACTTCCCACCCAACCTCTAGTTGCCCGATACCCAGCTTTCACAGCAGCTCCTTCACATGTATGATCTGTGTTCATTTTTTTGATACAAATCAACTGGGTAGTAGACAACCTTGATGCATATATCCTCCATGGGCAACCTTGAGATTTGCATTTGACAGTAACACGATGACTGTCATTTTTCTTGTACCTATACGCGAAGCCATGTGCAATTGAAAACTTATGCAATGCTTCTCGGAATTCACCAAAACTATTAAACCTTTGGTCCACACCAGTGATGGTATTTTCCCACTGTTGTGCAGCTTTATGATGCTTATCATCACTAGAAGAACCAAGAACAGAAACCAAAGGGGTTTCATGGAGTTCCATATCAATTTGGTCAATGGCATTGCAAGTATCAACTCGCACATCAATAGGCTCAACAATAGGAACCACTGCTTCTGACACAGTTGTCCTGCTCGACCTGCATGTCCAACACATGTAGGGTAACAATTCCCGATGAGATTTTTATGCAAAACACATGTAGGGTAACACTTCTATTAAATGTTTTTTTTGGCACACAAGCACAGTACTATATAATTACACAACAGAATACAAAGAGGCATGCACGTGTAACACTCTGTGCAAGATAACAATGGAGGTATAAGCACATTTCCATGGCCTCTGTTCCACATTGTGATTGCTGCAATTGTGACCCAAACCGAACCATAAAAGGTTATGCATCCAGGGAAACAAACACACAAGCGGGTATCGAATCAGCAAGAAATAAGATGAACAAAATAAAAAGTACCTACTAGCAGGCATGTTCGACACATTTCGAGCAGTGGCTTCCTCTGACATGACAAAAACATCGACTGTAGCTGTATCCCCAAGGAAATTGACCATGCGTTGCAAGTCCTTATCTTTAGAGATTGTAATGAGAGTCTTCTTATTGCCCGGAAGGAAATACTTGATGGACATTGTTTCAGCACTACAATTAAACATATCAGCTATTTCGGACTTGAAATCACCAAGCAGTGTTTGTTGATCAATGTCAACCGCATAGGCCTCACCCCCAGTGTACGATAAACTTCCATCCTTATTCGTCACAAATTCTCCACCTGATTGGCATATTGCTATAACCTTCTTTGCAGCCATGGCCTACCCACCCAAAAAGGATATTTTATTTATTTATAAGTTTATACACAGGAAGTCATAATGGAAATAACAAATTTGTTCGAAGTCAAGTTTACAGAAGCAGGTTGAATTTCACAGTTGATAAGAGACTAAATCCCATTTTTTGAAGCCAAGTTCACATAAGCAGGTTGAATTTCACAGTTGATGAGACTACGCTTCGAACTACATTCACAATAATAACCCTAGAGTTTGAAACTTTTGCCCATATCTATACCCTAATGCTGAAATTACACAAACCCAATGTCTTATTTGGGAGAACAACACGAAATTTTCCATCTGCAGACGTTACTAAAGTCACAAATCCCACGGGAAAAGGTGCGGAGCCCATAATAACCCCTAAATCCAAATTCAAAACAAGTACAACAAACAGAGCCTATAATTAAATTTAAAAGAAAAAAGACAAATCTTTTGCACTGTGAAAAAAAATGAAAAAAGAGATAGAGGAACAAGAACCCTAATATGAAAAACCCAACCAGAAAATTCATAGAGATAGGAACCCTAGATTGCATGGATAATAAAAATCGAACCTTCAAGCCAGACTGAGATGAATTCCTCTGGTAAACCTATAAGACGCCTTCAGTTCGTCTACTTTTCCGAAAACAGGAGAGAGAGAGAGAAGAGAGAGAGAGAGCGGAAGGTGTTTGCCCGCTCCGAAACGTGCACATACACAGAAAGAGATGGAGCGAACCGTGTAATGACTTTACCCGTCATGCTTCACTGCATCCGTATCTAGATTAGCTACGGTGAGCCCACAGATTTTGAACCGTAGATGTTGCGGCTTCTTTGGTTTGGACTTGTTGAATGGTTGAAGTTTTAAGATTTTGTTTTTTGTCTCAATAAATCCTTGGAACTGGACGGCGATTATTGAACCAATGAGGTATGATTGTATTGGTATGTGGTACTTTAGATGATCTCCTTTCCCAATCAGATTCCGTGGGCCCACATTAATCAACGTGGGTCTCACCTAATTGGACAAACGATGTTTCACTGTTTTCTAATCAGCACACTGTATCAGCATACTGTTCCGGTCGTCCAATCCTCTAATTACACGTGTTTCATATATTTCTGTTAAAATTAGTCATGTACAGTGTACATACCTCCTACTCTGAAGGCACTTTAGTAATTTGTCACCTTGGAAGATGTTGTACATTATGCAACTCTATCCCTATTTCTTGATTGCATGATTTGGACTAAACTTTGATCAAGGTTTCATTTGTGTGAAATTAATAATGAAGATATGACAAGCTAGTTAATTAAAGTTGTCTTATTGATCCAAAAGAAAAGGTTTGTCTGAACATTAGTGTTAGTACGTACAAATTGCATGTTAAGTTTAATTGCGCACGAGAGCACTTGATGTTATCATACATTTATCATACATTTATTGTTATAATTCACACGAGCATGTTGAGTAAAAGGCTTGTAGTTCAATTAGTTAGAATTACTTACTCATCTACCTTAGGTGCAGGTCTCATCCAGACTGAGAAGAATTCCTCTGGTAAATCTGTTGGATGCCTTCACCACCAGCCTTTAGCCTTGAGATTGACTGCCTCCGAATGTAGGATAACCATGGTGCGTCCGCCTTTTTAAACCGTTCATCTTACATCTTCTTTGCTTTTGACTTTTTCGATGGCTGGAGATTTATTTTCGTTTTCATTAAACCCTTATACTTGCATCTGCTTTGAGTCATTTGGCAAAACGAGCGTTTGTGGCATTGTGGGTTTTGAATGGAGAGCTGAGAAGATGTGTAGCAATGTAGTTGTAGGCCTTCCTTCCCCTCCAAATCTTAACGGGACTCTTTCTTCTCCAACTCCCACTTCGGTAATGATTAATAAACACACACACACACACACTCTCTCTCTCTCTCTCTCTCTCTCTCTCTCTCTCTCTGTTTCTGATTATGATAATTGTGAACTGGCGATAACAAAAGTGGATAATTTAGCAGAACACAAAAGATGGAGACCACTTGGTAATGAACCACACTGGGGTTGGAGGGTATAAGTGGCGTTTGGTTATTGCTTATGACGGCACCCGCTATGCAGGTTATTGTTCTCTTTCTTTCTTCCATTAAAGCATTGAGCTTTGCCTCCTATTATGTGAATTTTGATGTGCTTTGCTTTCTAAGCTTTTTCCAGTCATGGGTTTTGCTAATTATTATGTTTGATTTGAAGTTAGAATTCAATTCTTAATTCACCAGTGACAACCCACTTGATAATTTAGAGGAAAGTGATGACCTTTTTTTCTTTCTTCTTTTGAGTTCTGATGAAAATTGCTCTGCTTGGAAATGGAAATGTGCTTCAATGATATTTGACATAATGCCCCCATGTATGATTACATTTCCTTCAACTTCTCCAACTTTGTCTGTGTAATTTTTCTAGTTGATATGGCAAGTTTCCAAATTGGGCATCTTATAGGCATGAAGGTGGTTATTTTCTGTCAATTTTGAGATATTTCAGATGCCCATTTCAAAATCCCAATTTGATATTAAGCTTCAACTTTCTGCATCAATCATCTCCAACACTTCCATGAATTAGCAGGATGGCAATACCAGAGTTCACCACCTACAATACAGTGCTTTGTGGAGAAAGTTCTAATGCAAGCAACAAAGCTGGAAAGGAAGGATCTTAGTTTGGTTGGTGCAAGTAGGACAGATAAGGGAGTACATGCTTGGGGTCAGGTCTGATTTTCTTTCTTACTCTCATCAAGATTAAACACAACAAGCAAATCCACCAACATATCAAAGACTTACTTTCAGTTCAGCTTTCAGGTTGCACACTTTGTCACACCTTTCAACTATGACAGCATAGATAGCATTCATGCAGCTCTCAATGGTCTTCTTCCTTCTGATATTCGAGTGAGGGAGATCAGCCCTGCAGTGCCCGAATTCCATGCTCGTTTTTCAGCGAAAAGCAAAATTTATCATTACAAAATATATAATGACACATTCATGGACCCTTTTCAGCGTCACTATGCTTACCATAGTGCTCATAAGCTAAACCCCGCTGCTATGAAAGAAGCTGCAAAGTATTTTATTGGAAAGCATGATTTCTCTGCTTTTGCCAATGCCTCCCAGAAAGAACGAGTGCGAGATCCAGTAAAGAATATATTCCGTTTTGATGTCATTGAAATGGTAATACTTCAAACCCCACAGCAAGATTTCTTCAACAGCAGTTGAATTTTAGGTTGCTCTTCATTTGCTGTTGATGGATTGATAAGTCATTCCATGAAGTACATCCATGTTTATAAGTTTTTGTTATGAGAAATGTATGATTCATTACTGATTCATCATTCAAATCCTTGTCTAGGGGGCTCTTTTACAACTAGAAGTTGAAGGCTCGGGTTTCTTATATCGACAAGTCCGGAACATGGTGAAGCATTCACAACCTTAACCATTTTCATCAGAAGTTATTTTCTTTTTAGTACCATGCAATGCATTTCATCAAATGGTAGTATAAGCATTTTCTGTGAAACACTTGTGCAGGTCTCTCTGCTGCTTCAAATTGGAAGGGAAGCACTTCCTCCTTATATTGTTCCCATGATATTGGCAACACGAGATCGCAGGGAACTTGCTAAATATGCCATGTTTGCTCCACCTCAGGGGCTTAGTCTTGTGACAGTCAAGTATAACGAGGAGCATCTAAGGCTTCCATCTGGTTGCTCCACGAACAGTTTTGGTAGGCATTATACCATAGGCTCATGTAAGCTTCCATTCTACTAAGACTTAACGAATTTCATTTGTACCAAAACAATAAACAAAGAACCAATAACATGAGCATTCAAGAAATGGTGTGACCAGGGGATTTCAATCTCTGTTAAAATATAAAAGTTGTTGCCTTTGGATCTGTTAAAATTACTTGTGTATTTATTGCATCATCACTATTTTTCTTTTTTTATATCTATCCAATTTTCAGAAGGTAGTATAATGTTGAAGCACAAAGAGAGTTTCAGTTACCAGAACTACAATGGCATTCATCAAAAATAAAATTCTCCAATAATACACCACTTTACAAATGGCGAATGAATTTTTTTTTTTGCATTAATGGGAGAATCTCCCTCAAAATGACCCGACAATATAACCCTATCAAATATCAAGAGCACATGGTATTATGTCTCGTAAAAACGAAGCTCTATCATGCATTCTTGGTGCTTTGGCGAATACCAAGCAACGGCTTTGGCTGAACCAAGGACTTGCAGTGCATATTCAAAGGCAAATACGGGCTCGTCCACGCGTATATTCCAGTCTTGGTTCTTTAGTTCAACTGCAACTCCTGAATCGACCCTGAAACTGAAAGGTCCAGCAATCTGCAAGAAATTGCAGAGGCAGTTCAAAGTCAACATTCATTTCAACTTCATTGAGATTCAACAGCTACATAAGAAACGATCATAACCTGGACTGCTTTGAAACCCAGTTACTACAAAAGTGCAGCCCAAGATCAACACAGGAATATCCATTACAAGAACAAGTTTAACTTATACCTTAATGTTTCTCTCATTCTGAAATCACACTTGAATTCTGGGAAATATTTTTTCCAAGATGGAAAATATAATTCATATAAAAGAAATATAGATACCTGCTGCTGAAGAGAAAGTGTGGCATTGGGGCAAATGTCCTGGATAGCTTCCAAATTTGGCTGTTGAGAATTGAAAAAGTCTTGTGCTAGATGTGTAGCACCTGAAAGAAATTTAGAACCAGAAGGAAAATCCAAACGGGCATGAAAGCGAGTAAGATCTAGGAATAGCCTTTGGAAGTTTCCATGCTGGGCTGTAAATGATGCAGATGCAAATATATCTGCTAGAAAGGCAGATTTTACTTCAGGAGCCCGAATACTAAAGCCTCTAAAACCCTCAGGATCATCATCTGCGATTTGTGACCTAACCGAACTATCACCAAACGAGGCAGTCATAGCAGCACCTGTGTATGAACGAATTTGAATTATCAATTAGTAAGAGTTGTACATGTATAAGACAATGGCCAAGATGCTAAGACAACAACTACTCCACTCAACTCACTTGATTCATAACTATCAGGGGTTGGCTAAGCTAAAACACAGTACACAAAAAAGTTATGAACATCATAAAATTTATGCTACAAAGGGCACAGAGCTACTTGATCCCAATTTTGGGCAAACGTTGTAAATCATTAATGCCACCGCCTGATGGCTTCTTTTCTTTACCCAGAAAACATCTCTTTCATATAAGCAAAAGGGTGTCTAAATAATTCTTATAGTAAACCTCACCCTCTTGCCCCTCTCCTATGTATTGTCATCTACCAGTATAATTCAGCAATAAAAAAAGGCAGTGTCTTACCAATAATCCCCGAAGCCGAAACATGAGGATTTGAAAGGAATATATCATATGGTTGCACCATTCTCAACTTCTGAGCATTACTTCTCCAAAGCTCAATGTTCTTCTTAAAAGAAAAAGCACTTGTGACAGACAAACCAGGAAGCAGACTAGCAGGAACCCCATCGCTCTGACCACTGTCAAGGCGCTCCGGTGAACCTGAATTATGATGGGCACATATATGATAACTGGCCCCGGAGTCAGAAGCAACCGAAGCCAGATCAAGTGACATTGAGAATGGCACATCCCAATAATTACCAGGCTTGTCAACAAAAAGCCCGGGCCAAACTGCCTCCACTGTCAAATTGTGATGAGGAAACTGAAATTTACACAACAACCAAAGCTTTATCAGTAAACCCAGCCAGAAGAAGCACAAAATTGACACTTGGGTAAACACAAACACACCTTATGCTGAAAAAGTGCCTTCTTTCGAGCTTTCTTGTCATCACCATAAGCCTCCACACTAAACACCAATGTGTCGTCAGGTGTCAACAAGAAGTCAGAACAGAAAGAAAGAGCATACAAGGACTTATCACGCAGGTGGGTTCCAATGCTTTGCATCCATGAAGATGCAGAGTCTGGTGGTGTTGTCTTCCCACTTTTCTTAACAGAGGATAAGAACCTCTGCAAATTGAACTGGCCCAGTAACGTCCCAAACCTACAGAGCTTTTCAATTCAAGAATTACTGATTCAACTTGAACCCACATAAAGAAAAACGGTGAAGATGAAAAAGCAAAAACGAATTGAAGTGGATTTTGGTGGCGGGTACCAATTGTCGCTAATGGGTATGGTGAGGACTCGCTGAAGATTGAAGCCATTGGCGGCGGAGTAGGAAGGGACAAAAGGGGCAGGCATGAAACGCTGCATGAAGTCAATTTGCTTGGGCCTGGAGAGCCTGGCGCCTCGGGTCAGACCCAGAGGAAGTGGGTCTCCGGGAACCGGTCGCCCCAGCCCGTCAAGGGTCCTCGGGGTCGACATGTCAAGGTCCCAAAAACTTCCGTCCATTGCCCATCTCAGCTTCTTCATCTCCATTTCCAGATTGCTTGCTCTTTTAGCTTCTTCTGCTGCTTCTTAAACCCATTTTGATTTTGCTTTAACAAAGGTATGAACGACGAGTCGTCCAAAGTCTGGAAACGACAGTGCTTCTTATAGGATAGTTCCCATATATTTAACCTTTATCTAATTTAGCAGTTCTGCCATTTGTGTATCTAATTTGAAATTCCCAAACCACAGTTTCTGTGTATAGGGGGGTTGGTACGGTTCGGTTTTTGCTTCAAATTGGAATCAAAATCGGTATTATTTACCCAATTTGGTTTGGTCCAATTTTAACAAAAAGATTTATAAAACTATCCAGTTTGAGTTGAATTGGTTCTAATTCGGTTTGGTTTTGAACCAAATTATTATTACTATTTTTTAAAATTATTTTTTTAATACAAATTTCAACTGAAATTTTATTTTTTTGGATTGAAAATTAACAAATTATCCAATTTCATACAAAAAGAAATATTGGGTCTAGAAAAGAGAGATGTTTTGAAATTGAGCTTGGATAAATATTAGTTATAAGATTAAAAATAGGGAGTTTCACTAAAACACCCAAAATGGGAGCTGAAATTATAAAAAAACCCAACATCCAAAACACTTTATAAACACACCCAAAACTCATCATTACACACACTCAAAACCCATTTATAAACACACCCAAAAAATATACAATTGTTGACTTTGGGGTTGATTTTGGGTGTGTTTCTATATTTAAATAGTGTTTGGGTTTTTTTATAAATACATGTCTAGGATTGAGTTTATTTATAAATTTGTATTAAAAATATTGCATTGGATATAAATAAATATTAAAAAAATATATATATTTTAATTTGCTTGGCCTGATTTGGTTTGTTGGGGTGTAGAATTGAAACGGGAACCGATTAGAACCGGTTCGGTTCGTTTTTTTAAATTGGGTTTGACTTTTTTGTCAACATGATTTTTTTCGGTTTCTTCCTATCTGTTTTGGTTCGATTGATTAGTTCTTCGGTTCCAATGCCCACCCCTAATGTATAGTCTCTAGATGTATTTTTACTGTGAGATTTGAAAAGAAATGCCTTTATGCATGCAAAACATTCTAAGTGCGTCCTAACCGTGAGAGGCCGGTTACCGACTAGTATTGTCAGTTGACTGGCCTCTCATAGCTCGCATGCGAATACATGTTTCCCTATAATTGACATTTTGAATTCTAGTATAATTGGCACTTCGAATTCTATCAACGTAGGGGTAAAATACTATGTCGTGGGTTCAGTAATGGATGAAAATAACCTCACGTTGTTAATCTGTCTGGCATAAACAATACACTCATCATTGGATACGCACTGATTACTAATTAGTAATCAAACATTATTATTCATTATTAGTTCATAACCTTGAAAATTGTGAAGTGCCTGGATCATTCATACAGAACAACAATGGAGTCAAGATACTACAATAATTAGCATGGTCAACATGGTCAACTTGAGCAATATTTACAGCCAAAAATGCACTTCTACAACATAAAGTCGACCTCGTCATCCACAGCAGACCCATTAAACCTCGAACAGTAGTATGAGTACGAATCATGAGCAAGCGTCTGCAGTGGTAAAAGGCATAAGGCATATATATAAGTGCTCTTTCAAAAAGTTGAGGGTTGTAAAATAGTCTTGTATTGCTTGCTTATTTTCATGTTCATTAATATTGTAGTCTTGTTCTCTTTTTCACATTGTTACCTCACAGTATCAGAGTTCTGGTTACAAGAGGTCCTAAGTTCGAAATCTCAAATCCTCATTCTCTACTCATTTGGTAATTTACACAGTCAGCCTTTAACGTGCAGGGTTGCGCATGAAGATGACAATGTTGGCATTCCTTAACAATTTAAGCTTTGGTGTTTAGTAGTTACCTGTTCCTGTGAGCGGAAATACATGAAAGGTGTATAATGCAAGAAATTTGACACTCTAGAGGTATATATATCGGCATACCTGTAAGATGAAAAATAATTGAGAATCATTGTTAAGGACACTCAAAATATAAATTTTTATTTGTCACAGACGTGAACCAGAGTCCTGTGATGAATGAAATATGAACTGTCGAAAAAAAAGAACATACTTCTCAATTTGTCTCATCAGATGGCTTTTATCCCAGAACCCTGCACGGGAAAGAAATCCCCACCTAATGCACAGCAGGTTCACGAGGTTAACTGTATATTTATGACTGAAACATTTTCCACAGATATACACTAGTAATAAAAATAATCAATTCCGTATGTTTCCCAACCCCATCTTACCTTTTGTTGAAGAGCTCTCCATCTGCTTCTAGCATTGGAGCAATTTTCTGGTCCAGTCTTTGCATAACTATAAGTAGCTTTTGCATGCTTTCTGAGAGCTCTTGATCATCCAAGTTTGTTGCAGCAAGGGTCTGAAAGTGCAGAAAAGTTCAGATAAAATTAAGAAGCACTACATTATATAAACCATTTTTTAATTTATATTTCCAGTTCTATCATCTCTTGGTCCACACTCTTGGATTAGGAGTTCATACTGTTTGCTGAGCGGTGATGCTTAATGGGAAAAAGAAAATGTAGCATGGATTCAGTTCAGAGGTAACACCAGGCTTAAGAGTTGCACCTATCTATTAGTATAGAAATGTTCAAATGATAACCAGATCATCATGACTTTTATTTATTTTACTCAAATACATGCAACGGTGAGTAGACAATATTTGTTAATTGAAGCAGTAATTGTTTAATGCTCAAGGATACAGATACAAGCATAAAAAAGAGAAGATATGAAAAATACATTGAGATATTATCACTATACATTACAGGAATTCAGTGATGGATAAAGCTTACTTGAGCAGGGCGTCCTTTAGTTCGCCTTTGCGAGGCGAGCCGAAGTTGGTTGAAAAGATCCCCTACAACCTCCTTTTGATTTATAAGCTCTACCAGTGATGCTCTATGACCCCGGCTATGGATCAAAGCACTAAACTGCAGCCTCAAAATTTCACGAAACAAACGGACACCTAATCAGCATTTAACAGTTCAAGGATGTTAAATCTCTCAATTAATAGGATACCAAATTAAAAATTATAGTCCATAGGTGTTTGGTCTGTGGAACAATAGAATATTTATATAAGGAAACTGGCAAGCAGCTTCTTTGGGTTCCATTTGTTGTCTCAAAGTGTTTTTTCTAGTCAGTATATTGTTAATCATGCCAAAATTTTCAATTCTTCAATGATAGTGAGATCTCAACTTTCAGAAACATGATAATTGCACTTTCTCTTCTGTGCTCTTGCATGTAAAGAGAACATCAACTACACAAACCTCTTCTTCCAATTCTCGACAAATCAATGCTGTCCGCCATCGCAGATGAACTTTGGATTGACTTACATCAGTGTAGATATGATCACCAACATACAGTATTTCATCTCCATGAATATTTAGAGAATTCTCAACCATCTGAGCACTTCCCCCAGAATACAATCCCCCTGCAAGAAGAAGAATTTGAATGAGCATGAGATTGTTAAATAAAACCAATGCCAACAAAGTAAAGAATTATTAAATAATATGATCCATACAAAGCCCAGAGGAATTTAATATATTGAGATATAAAAATGATGTTGAATGAGAACAAAAACAGCAGAGATTTGACCAACTTAACAACTTAGTTATTTAGTTAATTAATGTCACAATAACAATCATTTATCAAACATGATTATTTAGCTAATGTGCAACCAAGTGACATTCAAAGCAAGTGCAACCACTGAGCACATGAAATTAACAACTTCACTGTATTTTGCCTTAAAAATAAAAGAATTTCAGGGCTAAACAAGCACAAGTACTGAACATTAGTCTTCATCACCTGTTTTAGCCTTGAAGCATGGACGCATGAGCCCCTCTCCTGTCACCACCTCATACATAGGGTGTGACATTTGGAAGAACTCTGGCTTCCTTGCGGAGACTATTACCTGAAAAGGAGCGTAATGGACCGAAAAAACCATGACTCACTGCTGTTAATGCGATCACAATTCTAATGATCATTAAGTTTCAAGGCAATCTTTGATTGTTAAACACACACACACACCAAAAAAACACTGCTCTGTGATAAAATTATGCTGCTAGTTTAAGCATCATTCAGGAAAGAATGATCCTGAGACTTCTATAGCAGAGGTCCTATAAAATAATTACTATTCAATATGGCATGAAGTTATAAGTATACAAACGACATTTACTTACAATGTCAAATAAATCCCGCCAACCCATATCATTGGGAAGAAATCTGTTGAAGGAATGCTGCATCATTTTGTCTGTGTAATGATAATCTGAGTTGGTAATGAGCAGAAGCTTTTTACCAGCCTAATGCACGAATAGGTCAAAGTAAATAAGGAGTTAAATGATGTCACACGCTACTGAAAGATAAATTTCTATAAGACGTACCTCCTTTTGATCCAAAAGTGCTAGGGGTAATTCTGGATCAGGTGTCACAAATAGTTCAGGCTTAGACATTATCTCACTCTGCATATATACCAGAATCAGTTCATGCTCATGAACCAATTCTTACATATCTAATACACAAATCATAAATATATTAACCTTTAGTTGACCCTCTACATGTGCCCTGAAGAGGGCTCTTCCAACAGCCTGAAATCATGTCAATAGTTAAAAAGGAGCAAGAAAAAACCAATACCAGGCTCTATAAAATTGAGGCACAACATATTGCCTTATAGAGTCCTTTATAATCAAGTGGACCAAGTTGTGCTGCTATGGTTCCATCATCCAATCTGTCAACCATCTGAAAAGAATCATGAGTCAATGTCTGCATACGAATAAACTAAATCCATAAAAATAATAGCAATAAAATGAGTCAGAAGTTAAAACAGTGCTCTAGCTAAGACAAAACAGTACCTGCATATAAGCGACAGCTTCTGAGACGGAGAACAGTGTATTAAGGAATTCCCATCGACCTTCCTTCCGGAGGTCCACCAGTTCCCTCCCGTACATCTCACTTCAATGAGTAAAAAGTTAAGCCACACTATAGAATATATGATTCCATCTTTTCCCAAAAATGATATGCTAAAGTGCAAAATGTTGGAAGAACCTAAGCGCCACATACACAAAGTTATAATACAAGGGAAGACCAGAGTAATAAATCTGATAATAGGAACTTCCATAGGAAGTCTTATTGCTAATGTTTTAACAGCACAATGAATGCCTGCTTTGCATTTGCACTATGACACTAATCAAAATAAAAGCTTCATAGTGTACCTTACAGCTCGATTAGATAGCATCTTCGTGCCATGCATAGCCCTCTTTACATAACCAAATCGATCAGCCTTCACTAAGTTGCCTTTCTCTTTGTCTATGACAAGGCCTCTAATAACCTATGGGAAAGGATGGAACAAAGGTAGGAAGGAAAAACGAAAATTAGATCTTATGACTTGCTTAAATGTAAATACTCAAAAACCTTTTAACTTGTTTATAGATGCTACCAAGTCAGGGTCAAACGCAAGACCATCAACAGGGAAACCCACTTTCTTCAAATTCTCCATACAGTAATCATAAGCTCTCCCTTCCCAAGCCTGCAAAATACAAATCCATGTCACACAATAGCCAGAATAGTAATGGTTGAGGTTGCAACACTAGTCACTTGCACATGCAAAACTATATGATCTTGATGTTGCATCAAAGCTGACGCGCCAACTAATGCTGAGAATAAGAACATATTTTAAGCTGATGACACTTACAATCACATTATAATGCATCAAGGTGTAGTCCATATCATATCCAATGGCACTGATTGATCGAAGATTCAATGTGCGGCTACAAAAAATGCCACGAGCTGATTGTCTTGACGAAAAAGGAGTCTGCATATAAATATTGAACATGGTAGTACTATAAGCAAATGATAAGAGGGATATCCATTGGTTCAAGATTCAAGAGAACCATATATTAAAGAAAAAGATAAGAAAGCAAGGAGATAAGGTAATGCATATATAGGACCAAATGTTTGCAGGAAAAGGAATTAAAAAACAGCACCGGGATACCCAAGTCTCTGAGCAAGTCTTCAGCTTCTTCAGCCTCAACCCTGGCTACTTCCTCAATTGGACCTTTTAAAGTTGCTTGACTATCAATTCCTACATTGGTTCATTGAAAAGAACAAAACTTTACACACACACACATATATATATATGGTTGTAGTTTCAAAACTGAAAGAACGAAATAGAGCATTGGAGAGGAAAGAAAGTTACCAAAGGCCTCAAGATGCTCCACCTTGACATTCAAATCCCCTTTGGTTTTCTCTCCCAAATAATCAACTTCGTACTTGCTTGACGAGGTGAGTGAAAACACTGACTTCTCATCAACGCCGCTACTGCTACTGCTGGTCCTGCTGCTGCACTGGCACTTCATTACATGATTCCAGAGTAAATTCTTGCTACTAAGAATGCTACGGGACATGGGTCGGATTCGAACTGGACTTCTGAGATAGTTGGTGGCCGCCATTGAAACGGAAGTCGCTCTAAACACTGAGAAATTACCCAATGCCTCAGTTGTATACATCTCTATCTCTCTCTCTCTCTCCTCCCTCTTTGAAGCTGAATGTTGGGTGTTTGCAGAGCGCGAGAGAAGAAGCAGAAGTAGAAGAAAAAGAGTGGGGTCTCAAAATATCTGAGGAGAGTTTTTGGTTCAGTCTCATTCAAAGGTAGGAAAGGCACTACTGAAAGTGAAGGTTTGCTTTTCTGTTTTCGTGGATGAGATTGATTGGTTTGTCGCTCAGCTGCTGTGACTGCTGCTCTCTTTGGAGTTTGGTCTATCGGTCTTTGCAACGATGGTGATGATGATAAGGTCAAGCGCTTTTCGGTTTTGTTTTGGACAGTAAACGATCTAAAAAGGCCTTTGGACATTTGGTACATTTTCCCAATTTTTTTGGGGACAAATTGATCTCGGGTCAGCTTTATTTTCTTAGATTTAACGATAACTTTCTTAACCTTACTAAATTTATGCAAACATGTCTACGTTTTCAAAAAATTATTTATGTCATGTTGCCATATATCTAAAATGAATGAGCTTTCGCTATTCTTGTATCTGAGGTTTCATATTCGATTTCTCCATCCTTAATTTCGTTTGTATAAAAAAATAAGTGAGCTTTTATAAAATTCTATAATAACTATGACCATAATGGGGGAAGATTTCGGGGAAAATCAAGTGTGGGTAAGGAGATCCCCGAATTTTAAAAATTCTCAGTTGGAGATGGGCTAGGATGGTATCATTATCCCCATCCCCGAACCTGGCTCGATTAGTGATATAAATTTTTTTAATTAAAGAATATATAATATATATATCAATAAACCAATAGGAAACAATTCATGATTCTCTTGGTTGACCAAGAAACATATGGAAATTGTTTGTTTATGTGTTCTCCCTGATTTGTTATTAGAACCTCCCATTCCATGTTGTCTGATGAAGCTACGGTGCTGGTGTTATAGTGCTTTTTTTTTTTTTTTTTTTTTTTTTATTTTCGTAGTTTGTTTTTAATGTGTTTTTGTTGTTTGTTAATTTTAGAGGTAAAATAAGAATTTTGCGACAAAATATTTAGTTTTTACTGTGGAATATATGATAGTTTGTCAAATTGTTTAGATGATTTTAAGTAGTTAAGTTGAATTTTTATGGTTTAATTGAATATAATTGAGTTTATTTTTTTGGTCAAAATTGAGTGTAGTATATTTTTATAAATAAAAAATGGGGATTCGGGGCGGGTTTGGGAGACAACCCCCCGATAGGGATGGTGACGGGAATTCCCCGAAATTTCTTATTGGGATTAGGGCAGGGACGGGTGTGGAGATGGTATTGTGATACCAGTCTCTGAACTGGCATGTTGCCATCCCTACATATTAATGAGAAAATTAAGAGGTGCAATAGTTTAGTTATACATCACATGGAAATAGGAGCACTCTTATGATTTCATCAAATTGCCCATTTTTAAATGGATCGGACTATGAGACTAGTGTCAATTTGATCAAAATATTGGGGGCATTTTAGGAATGATTGTGGGTAAAAATTGAGTAGAATGTGAAAACATAAGGTGAGTGAAGAAAATAAAATAGTAGGTGGAAATAACTACACTCTTGTAATTTTATCAAATTACCCATTTTCTAATGGACCGGAAGTAAATCAATGGCCAATGAATACCCATGCTCAGGTTATGTAACCATAAATGAAGCCTTTTGTGCCAATGAATATTAGTCCCATCACATATCTTCCTTTTCTACTTATTTGGCCCATCACATATCTTGCTCAATTCACTTGTGGCCCATCACATATACTTAAACTCAACCTTCATCAAATATGCAAGTGCTGGTAGCTTAAGTGGCATCGGAGGTCATAAGTTCGATTTCTCTTCTCTAATATCATTTGTATAAAAAGTAAATAAAAAACTTAATTGAATATCTTATAATTAAATTCAACTCATCCTGCGCTTACCAACTTGGAATTGCTTCAATTTGAATCTTCTTCAACAAAGACCAACCATCCTTGAAAACTCAAACTTTTGCGATTAATTGTTGTTTGATTATCATTAGAGTCAGTAATCACAAAAGGCTGCAGTTTTAGGACACAGTCATGTTTACAAATCCATCAAAATTAAGTTATTAATAATTCTATCCATAAACATCCTTTGGTCAACATGGATGTCTACAAAAGATCATTTCTGTTTCTTGGGGATTTCAAGATAAGTCCATTTGTTCCTTGGGAGAAAAGAATAAAAAAACACAAGGATTATTTAGCCTTTGACCATCTAGAATTCTATCCATAATAAGTCAATGGCAATTGCATATTTTATTGTGAAAAGCAATTTTCCGTACCCCTTGACCATCTAGAGATTCCCAGCAAACATGAGGGAGCAAAGTGCCACCTTTGCAAACTGAACCAGTCAGGCAGTGACTGTTCGTCATAAGCATATTAGACTAATTACCCATTAATCTATTATTAGTCAGAAGCATCCTTAACAATATTATAATCACCTTGTCATTCATTTTCTCTGTTTCTACTTTCTACCAAGTACAAGCTCATCTCATCTTCCCAGAAAATGATAAGTGAAAAAAAAAATGTAAATTAAAAAAATTAGACCAATATCCCAACAAACTTCCAAGAAGTTCAAAGATTAACACAACAAAAACACAAAAAGAATGGCAATCGAGAGGATTGACTTGTCATGTCTCATGTCTAATTTATGCCATCCCTTTATTAAACACACGTGCATGTATTTGTTAGAGTGACTTGTGGATATTGACTTACTTTCTTTATACACTAAGAATTTCTATTATAATTGTAATTGATTTATTTTAATTCATGATTTCTTACTGTAAATAGATTTAGGAATTTATTATTTACTTGCCACTTCAGGTTTCGTTGTATTATAAATATGACCTCTTACAAGGAGAAGAATACACAAAATTCCCACAAACAAATATTCTATCATAATTTTTATATTTTAGCATGGTATCAGAGCGGCGATCTTGGAATTGCTGACTCTAATTTCAAACCTTTGTCACCGCTATGAGGGTTGATGATTTTTTCAACCCTCATGGATGTAGCACCACCGACTCCTTCTCTCATTCTCAACCAACCATAGCCGAGTTGAGTGCCCATATGACTCAGCTCCTACAGATGCAGACTTTAGCCCCGAATATGATCCTGAATCAGGATCCTATTTTGATGACCCCGAACTCGATTCGAAATCAGGATCCTATTTTGATGACCCCGAACTCGATTCGAAATCAGGATCCTATTTTGATGACCCTGACTATGACGACGATGACGACCTCGACTCTGACGACGACCCTGACCCCCACTCTGATGATGAACCCGACCCCGAATTTGTCTCTGATTTAGACCACGATCCCGACTTCAACTCCGACTTCGACTCCGGCCTTGACTCAGGATCAGATCCTGATCCGAATTCCTACTCAACCTGTATCTTATGCCTCTCCGCTGCACATATTTTGACTTCTCGCCTAACGACCTTGACACATGGACCAGATTGCTCATATTTTGGTGATTCAAGACACACTCATGAGACTTGTTTTAAATTGCATGGCTACTCCGATTGGTGAGCTATTCTTAAAGATCAAAGACAACACAATACGACCAGTAATGGTACTAGTTATGGATTCCGTACTTCCGATAAGATTGATTCAAGGAGCTGGATAATTGATTATGGTGCAACTGATCATATGACGTTTGATCCTGATGATTTTATGAATACTACACAACGTCGACGAACTTGTATTGCAAATGCCAATGGAGTTACGTATCGTGTGACAGGGGCTGGCATTGTTGCACTCTTATCTTCTCTCTCACTGTCTAATACTTTACTTGTTCCATCTTTATCCACTAAATTGTTGTTAATTAGTTAGCTTACTGAACAATTGAATTGTTGTGTACTCATTTACCCGAGTTTTTGTTTGATTCAGGATATTCACACTAAGGAGATTCTTGGTTGTGGTACTAAAAAAGGGGGGCTATATTATGTCGATGACTTCAGTCCCGGTGTGGCTAACAGTGTGACGCATCCCTTTGATAACAAACAAAAGCAAATCTGGGTGTGGCACCGTTGTTTGGGACATCCGTCTTTTAGTTATATGAAGCATCTTATACAAGATTTATTCTCAGGATTCATGGACTTTGACTTCATATGTGATACTTGTATTTTGGTCAAGAGTCACCGTGTGCTCTACCCGTTGAGTACGAACAAGTGTACTACTCTATTTACGTTAATTCACTCTGATGTCTGGGGACCTTCCCCTATCATTGCTCCTTCTGGTGTTCGATGGTTTGTCACATTCATAGATGATTGTACACAGATGACATGACTTTATTTGCTAAGAATAAAAATGAAGTGTTTTCCCATTTTCAGTCATTCTACAAACAGATGAAAACTCAGTTTAATGCTCAAATCCAGATTATTTGCTCAGACAATGATGGAGAATTTTTCAATCATGACTTTCAGACTTACTTCCAACAACATGGAATTATCCATGAGACGACTTGTCTGCAGACACCACAACAAAATGATGTTGCTAAAAGAAAGAATTGACATCTTCTTGAAACTGCCTGAGCACTTCTGATTGGCGCTCATGTTCCTTGCCATCACTGAGATAATGTTATTGTCACCGCAACTCACCTGATCAACTGCATGCTTTCTGGTGTATTAACCTTTAAAACTCCTTTACAGGTGCTTGCGCAACACAGACCTCTGCCCTATATTTTGGCACTCACACCTGGAATCTTTGGATGTGTGGCTTTCGTTCATCTCCACAAAAATCAACATAGCAAACTTGATCCCTATGCTCTTCGTTGTGTTTTTGTGGGTTATGCCACTAATCAGAAAGGCTACCGATGTTATCACCCTCCTACCCGATGTACCTATGTCACTTTAGATGTGACATTTCTAGAATCTGAGTTGTTCTTCCATGACATATCATCCAATTTTATGCTTCAGGGGGAGATACGAAGTGAAGAGCAGAATTGGAGCAACTTGGAAAACGAAGAAATTTTCCTCTGTACAGAAATGATTGATTATCCCGAGTCTGGAGCACGAGATTACTCTCTGCCGAAAAGCGATCAATCGCCCATTCATAGCGATCAATTGCCTGACCCACCTGATCCATGCGAAGATATTTCTGATACGAGTCTCACACCTACAAACAATATAGAACAACAAGATGAAGACCCCCATCTAACTCAACAGTACCAACAGACCAATTTCCTGAGAATATCCTTGAGGTAACTACTTCTACTAGACTTGTGTATTTAGAGGATAAAACTATTGGATATCTATTACCTTTTAGGCAGAATCGTGGGAAGCTACCAAACCATTATTCACTTGATATTGGCAAGACATCCAAGTATCTAATTGCAAATCATGTATCCACTGAGAAGTTGTCTGAACCACTCGAGGCTTTTGTGCACCAGTTGTCTGCTATCCATATTCCAACTAAGGTCTCTGAAGCATTGAAATATCCTAAGTGGGTCAAAGCTATAAAAGATAAGATGAAAGCTCTTGAGAAAAATCAGACTTGGACATTGGAGACTATACCACAAGGAAAAAAGACTATCGGATGTAGATGGGTGTTTACTATAAAACACAATGCAGATGGATCTATCAAGCAATACAAGGCAAGACTTGTGGCAAAAGGGTACACACAGACCAATGGTATAGACTATGAAGAAAACTTTGCTCCAGTTGCAAAGTTAAACACTGTTAGAGTCTTATTGTCCCTTATAGCTAATTTGGATTGGCCACTACACCAGTTTGATGTAAAGAATGATTTTCTACATGGCGAACTCATGGAGGAGGTGTACATGGACATTCCTCCTGGATATAATACTACTCAGACTGGAACAGTTTGCAGGTTACGAAAAATATTGTATAGATTGAAACAGTCACCACGTGCATGGTTTGGACGGTTCACCATGGCAATGAAGAACAATGGTTTCAAACAGTGCAACTTAGATCATACTCTGTTCTTGAAACATCGGAAAGGGAAGATAACATCATTAATAATCTATGTTGATGATATAATTATTACTGGGAATGATAAACAGGAAATATCACAGCTACAAGACTATTTGGCTACTAAGTTTGAGATGAAGGATCTTGGTGGACTCAAGTATTTCTTGGGAATTGAGGTGGCTCGATCGCAGCAAGGCATATTTCTCTCTCAAAAGAAATATGTCTTGGACTTGTTGACAGACATAGGAATGTTAGATTGTAAACCTGCGGACACTCCTATTGTTCAGAATCATCATCTTGGAGAATATTTAGATCAAGTTCCAACTAACAAAGAAAGATACCAAAGGTTAGTGGGAAAATTGATCTATTTGTCACATACTCGACTAGACATTGCTTATGCGGTGAGCGTTGTCAGTCAATTTATGCACTCTCCAAGTGAAGACCACATGAATGTAGTTCTTCGGATACTTAGATATTTGAAGTAGCACATGGAAAAAGGACTTATGTTCTCAAAGCATGGTCATCTAAATATTGATGGTTATTCAGATGTAGATTGGGCATGTAATGTAACAGATAGAAAATCCACATTGGGTTACTTCACATTCGTGGGAGGTAATTTGGTGATATGGAGGAGCAAGAAATAGAATGTAGTAGCTTTATCCAGTGCAGAAGCCGAGTTCAGAGGCATGACTAAAGGGAGTTGTGAACTTCTTTGGTTAAGAAAGTTGCTTACTGAACTTGGGTATAAACCTACATCCACAATGAATCTCTTTTGTGACAACAAGGCTGCTATAGCTATTGCACAGAATCCAGTTCAGCATGATTGTACTAAACATGTTGAGGTGGATCGACACTTCATCAAACAGAAGCTTGAGGCTAAAATGTTTCAGTTTCCTTTTGTGAAATCCGAGGATCAATTGGTGGATATTTTGACAAAGGCGATTTCCAATAAAGCATTCCACAATTCACTGGATCAGTTGGGCATTGGCGACATCTATGCACCAACGTGAGGGGGAGTGTTGGCGTGACTTGTGGATATTGACATACTTTCCTCACACACCAAGAATTCATATTATAATTGTAATTGATTTACTTTAATTCCTAATTTCCTACTGTAAATAGATTTAGGAATTTATTATTTACTTGCCCATTTATGTTTCGTTGTATTATAAATATGACATCTTACAAGGAGAAGAATACACAAAAAATTCCCACAAACAAATATTCTGTCATAATTTTCATATTTTAGCATATTGATATGCATGCCCAACACTCCAAGTTTCATATAATATAATAAAAATATAGTCAACCTCCAAAAGTCATATTGGATCACCCAAATTGCAGTGCTCGAATTCTTCTTTCTATTGCACAAACTTGCGCATCACTCTTAGTTTTACTTTTTTTTAAATACAAATTTATAAATAAACCCAATCCTAGACATGCATTTATAAAAAAACCCAAGCACTATTTAAACATAGAAACACACCCAAAATCAACAATTGTATATTTTTTTGGGTGTGTTTATAAATGGGTTTTGAGTGTGTGTAATGATGGGTTTTGGGTGTGTTTATAAAGTGTTTTGAGTGTTGGGTTTTTTTTATAATTTCAGCCCCCATTTTGGGTGTTTTAGTGAAACTCCCTTTTTTAAAAGACAAAAAGAAAAATGGGAAGGAATCAAACCACATATGCTCACTTCACGCTCATGTTAAGATTAATTATTCTACTTCGGAAATGGAAATCTTGGATTCATAGTTTAATAATTTTGAGTTTGATGTTCGCATTCTAATATAATATCACAGCTGAGTTATCTACGTATTTAGTTTGAGCATTTTTCGTCAGCGATAATACACAAACACTTCCATCCCATGCCATAGTAGTTTGTTTTGCTACCATTCCTTGTTTTCATTTAGATGTATTCTAATCATATATCCCCTTGACAAAATACAACTTAATTAATTGTCCAAATTATGAACATAATTCCAATCCCAGCTTCATATTTTACTCATTCTGTTATGTAGATAGACTGTAGACCCTGATTAATCTAAAGGGCAAAGCATAATCGATTGGTACCTTCTACCTAACGTTGTGATCTGCTTACATATCATACAAGTTAAATAATTACAGAGGAAGGACAAACAACTAGAGATTGATATATAGAATATGCTAGTCAATGTGTCACATGTCTTGTTACGTCTCCAAAATGATTTCTTTCCACTGGTCTCAAGTTTTTGCAGGATCTTTTATTTATTTATTTATTATTTTTATAAATTCAAAGCAATATGATGGTAGGGTAGGTGATGAAGGGGTCTAGTTCAGTGAAAAATTGCCTTGACTTGCATATTAGTGGTTTCAAGTTTGAACTCTCATGATACAATTGGCAGTGTGTGTAAGAAAACCCCGTCACCTTCCTAACTTTGCAAAAAAAAAAGAAGGTAAGGTATATTTAACTTTAATTGCAAAAGAAAGACGGCCGATTCACATTGCAAGCAGCAGAGCATAGTATCTGAGCTGACAAATTCAACTTTAACTTTTTGAGCACCTTTCTTATTGAGAGGGGCGATAGTATACTAAACTCACACATACTACAAGGATATTAGGACTCGAACTCAAGACCTTGCTTGAAAGAGTAAATACTCCAAACCACTAACACTAGTGGGTCCTTTGCAAATTCAACTTTAACTTAATGTCAAAGCAACCCATTTGATTTCCTGCCTAACCAAAGCCACCAAGAAGAGGAGCAGAATTTTACATCTTTCAATTTAGTTTTAAAAGTATGGATAGTTTGAACGTTTGACTAGTCTTGTATCTACACTATCTTTCTAGATGGTAGGCTGTAGGCTGATGTGCTGCCTCATAAAGCAATGCTTTCGGGGGGAAGTACAACAATTTCATCAACCCATTTCCTGAAAGTTTGTAAACTTGTTTCCTCCTCAGTGAGTAACTTCATCTTTTGGTGATATTAATGTTTCCTGCAACACTTTTTGAAGTTGTATCTCAGTTGTGGTTATGTCTCTTCTATTTAAATTTCTCACCTTTAGAGCATGCATTAGCTGCCCACACGGTTTCTTTCTCTTTTCTCCTTCGTTTGATTCCTAGTTTCGTTTTAGTTAGTTTCAAATTGTATTTGAGAAGTTTTGTTCTCAGCATTCTCACTGCCTGCTGTGTGAGGCTTCTTAATGTTTGGTTTGAGTGTAGTATTTTTGTTATTGCTTGTTCTTTTCTTGCGTTGTTTCCTTTTCCTGTCTGTGTTCACCCTTATTTTCTATTTTCATCCAGTTTAGTCTCCCCCCCCCCACCCCCCACCCACCCAAAAAAAAATAGTTCCTGATCCAAACCATAAATGTTTTGTCTTGCAGCTCTGATCAAGTTCTCTGTCAGATATAGTAGCAACTTAATTCTCTGAGGTGCTTGTCGTAAAATATAGCAGCTTTACTATTGCTGTGAATAACATGGCTGAGGAAAATCCTGCGGATGGAAATGTAATGAAGGAGCAGGGAACGGCAGCATCGAACGGCCACTCAGCAGTAGTGGAGGACTCTCAAAACAACCCCCAAGATACAAGCAAGAGCAAGGAGGATGGCACCAAAACAGTACCATATTACAAGCTTTTCTCCTTTGCTGATTCCTTGGATTACCTGTTAATGTCTATTGGTACAATCAGCGCTATTGGAAATGGGGTCTGTATGCCTCTAATGACCATAATCTTTGGAGATGTGATCAACTCCTTTGGAGGAAGTGGGAATAATAAAGACGTGGTTGATGCAGTTTCCAAGGTAAATATTCTGTGACTATAAACTGGTAGATAGTTATCTAGGCAACAGCAGCAATAGTAAAGAACAAAATTCTACTCAATACATTGCTGTATCCGGTTCTATCAGAACTGTGAGCTTACTTCTGTTTTAAGATCTATTTTTGTTCTCTGGTTCGTCTAACTTAGTAGAAATTGTAATGAACAAGGCTTAATCACATATAATTTTACCAATTCAATATTCTCAGGTGTCTCTAAAGTTTGTCTACTTGGCGGTGGGAGCTGCTGCAGCTGCATTTCTACGTAAGTACACTGAACTGCCTGCAGGTGCACCAAACAAATAATTTGGCTTTTTGGGAACTGAGATTAGTAGCTTTTTCTATATGCCAGAGATGTCTTGCTGGATGGTCACTGGAGAGAGACAGGCTTCTCGAATAAGAAGTTTATACTTGAAAACAATATTGAGGCAAGATGTTGGCTTTTTTGATAAAGAAATTAACACTGGGGAAATTGTTGGGAGGATGTCAGGTGATACTGTGCTCATTCAAGAGGCCATGGGCGAGAAGGTATTTACATGCCACACACAAAAGCCTTCAGCTGTTGCTATTTTCTCCAGTAACCTCTCATTCTTTCATTTTCTTATTGCAGGTAGGAACTTTTATCCAGTTAATTGCAACATTCGTAGGAGGCTTTGTTATAGCATTTGTTAAGGGATGGCTTCTCACCCTTGTCATGCTATCTTCTCTCCCCCTTCTTGTCCTCTCTGGAGCCGCCATGGGCATCCTTATATCAAAGACGGCATCCAGTGGACAAACTGCTTATTCCGTGGCAGCAACTGTGGTAGAGCAGACAATTGGTTCAATCAGAACAGTAGGCCTACTTGTCTTTAAGATCTTTAAAACAAAAATTTATTATTTCTATTTTCTTAGTGTAGAACTAAAACTGATTGGTGTTCCCAATTCAGGTTGCATCGTTTACAGGAGAAAAGCAAGCTATAGCTAATTACAACAACTCCTTAATTAAAGCTTACAACTCTGGTGTGCAAGAGGGTTTGGCATCTGGGTTCGGAATGGGTTCGGTTATGCTGATTATGATGTGTAGTTATGCTCTGGCTATATGGTTTGGAGGAAAGATGATACTTGAAAAAGGATATACAGGAGGGGAAGTCATTAATGTAGTTTTCGCTGTGTTGACTGGCTCCATGTAAGTTCCATTTCAGTAAAATTTAATGAACAAATTTGTTGATCCTAGTACTATTGTACTAGTTAACATGTTTGCATTTTTGCGTGATCTACTGACTACTCCCCCTCCCCCCTTCAGTCCAAAATTTGATATGTGATTATTCAGAAGATCAAGATATAACTTTCTGCTTTCTATGATAAGTTTTCAGGTCCCTAGGGCAGGCATCTCCATGCTTGAGTGCAGTTGCTGCTGGACAGGCTGCAGCTTATAAGATGTTTGAGACAATTGACAGAAAGCCAGAGATTGATGCTTCTGACACTAATGGGCAACGATTACATGATATCCGTGGAGACATAGAACTGAGAGATGTTTATTTTAGTTATCCTGCAAGACCGGATGAACAAATATTCGATGCATTTTCTCTCTCAATACCTAGTGGTGCAACTGCTGCTTTGGTTGGAGAGAGTGGAAGTGGTAAATCAACTGTAATCAGTTTGATTGAGAGATTTTATGACCCCCTAGCTGGCGAAGTTCTTATTGATGGTATTAATCTCAAAGAGTTCCAGCTGAAATGGATCAGACAGAAAATAGGCCTTGTCAGCCAGGAACCCGTTTTATTTACTTGTAGCATTAAAGATAATATTGCCTACGGGAAGGATGGTGCAACCACTGAAGAAATAAGGGCTGCGGTTGAGCTTGCCAATGCTGCTAAATTCATAGACAAACTGCCGCAGGTTAAATTCATTTAAACTCTCATCGAAGTTCTGGTATTTTGTTATCTGAACTTTTTGTGTGAATTCTTAATTTCCACGACCATGGAAGCTTATTGAGACATCCAGTGATCTTATCATTTTGTCACATGAATTTTCTAAAAACTCGGATTATTTCGATCAACTCATTCAATTCCTTTTTTCATTTGTGGTTTTGTGATTTATGCATTTAGGGACTAGACACAATGGTTGGAGAGCATGGAACTCAGCTATCTGGGGGCCAAAAGCAGAGAGTTGCAATAGCTAGAGCAATTCTCAAAGACCCAAGGATTTTACTTTTAGATGAAGCCACAAGTGCTCTTGATGCAGA